ACCTGATTTTCATTTCCAAACAATATGCAATGTCCCCATGACGTTGAGGTACAATGTCAATCTATTTCGGTCATCATACAGTAAACACCTGTCATCTTCTCATCAATGACATGCATCAAAACAGTCTCGGGTTCGATGTGTGTAAAGATTTTAGACATTTTCTTGGACACTTGTACTGCTTCTAAACAGTTTGCTGCAATTATAAATTGCCTGGCATGTGCACACATAGGGCTCAACCTATGTGTAGGAGATGTTTTAATCCACTCTGAGGTGATTTTGAGTTTTAATTTGGCCACAACGTTCTCTGTGTGTTCAGCAAATAGAATGATTTTTAATGACAAATCTTATTTTGATACATGCTTTGAAAATTTTCTAAAACTAAACATTACACTCTGTGAAAATTCATACGCTTTTGTTATGCTAGTGATTGCAATCAAACAATGTGGTTAAAAATATGAGTCAGTGGCACTAAAACAGCTTCGAACATGAATCGAACATCAAAAGGCTAGTCATTTTAAACAATACACATTAGTTAAAGGCATGGTTCTGCCAAAAATAAAAGTCCTCTAATCATATACACTCAAAAAAATAAATTGTTGAATAAACATGATTTAATCGTGGCAGCCTTTATGCATCTAATCCAATCAAGTAAACCTGAACTGCTTTGAACATGTTGTATGAACACAAAGCACATTTGTAGATAAAACATGGTTTCAATATGTCAGTCTAACTTCTTTGCAACTAATTGACTCAAATGTTTGTATTGTGTTCTTCTAATTAAAATGATTCTAATTTACTAATTTACTCAATGTGACACTAAAGCTTTACTTTAACAAAATTATGTCTTGTTAAATCAGCTAGTAAATTTCTTGTTCAATATTGTTGTTTAAATTACATTTTTTAAATGACAATACTATGAAGCAAGATTTAAAATTAAGTAATTCAACACAAAAAGGACAGAAAACATGTTATATATGTTATATATGTTATATATATATATATATATATATATATATATATATATATATATATATATATATATATATATGTATATATAATTATTATTATTATTATTATTATAGCCTTTAGCAGGCACCAATCACATTCTTCTTTAATATTCTGATACAAAATGTTATATAATATCCAAAATTGTAATATGTAATATAAAATGTATAAGAAACATTTAGCCCACAAAATAACCTTGGCTCTTAAGAAAACTGATCCCCAAGCAATACCTGTAGGACGTTAACATCATTTTTTTTTTACCAATTGAGTTTAAACAGCTTTCTTCACTTTGGTACTCCTATTCAAAATGTAAAAGTATAAACTCTCCCTTTACTCATTAAAAACCTTTATGAGATTCTTTGTTCTGTTAAAGTTTTGTTTTTCCTACTGTAGAAGTCAATGGTAACACATTTTCAGCTTTTTCTAAAATATATTCTTGTGTTGAACTGAAGAAATAAATTGATAAAGATTTGAAACCACTCAAGGGTAAGTAAATTGTGAGTAAATATTCATTTTTGGGTGAACTATCACTATCAGTATCTTACCTATCTTACCAATTTATAATTCTTATGCATTTATACACAAAACAGCATTATACGAACATAATATACAGTTCTTTCTGTTATTAAACCTGCTAAAAAACCTTTTTTCAGCCTATGTGAAAAATGGTGATACTGTAATAGCACATATCTTGATAAAAGCTTCAGGTTAATATGAGATCATACCCAGCAAACAATTTTGTGTTTAACTGACGTCTAATAGACATCTAAACGTTGACAGCTTGGCTAAACTTAGGCTGTCAGTGAAATTCTAAAAGACATCTAAGAATAGCCCAAAACTAGACCAGTCGTCAAATAGACAGATTAGACAAACTTTATATGTGTAGTCATTCATTTCTGTTTACTTAATGAATAGTCTAGATTTGGCCTTTGACGTCTATTAGATTTACACTGACAGCCCAAATTTCATCTTTTTTTAGTCAGGACGACTGTTTCGACGTCTATTAGACATCTTTTAAAAACATAAAATGCTTGCTGGGTATGCTGTGCGTGCTCTCCCATTTGGACACTAATGATTTAGGTAAAAAATAATAAAGAAACATTTGAGTTTCTCTTTGCTACAGCTCACAAACTTTACACTCTTTCTGTCTTTGCCTCATAAACCCTCTGGAATGACTGCTGAAAGCTGCTTTATAGTGAATCAATAATGCTTCTGCAGGGATTTCAGTGGTTTGGCTTGCCCTCGGTGTGTGTGTACGTGTCCACATGAGCGTGTGATCTCTGTGTAGAGCATATTCAGAGGGCACTGAAGTGTGGTGACTAGCCAGTGGAAGGGGGGCTGTTTAAAAGGTATCCATGGATACTGCCTTTCAAGGACACTTTTGAACAGTTTCAATGCTGTGAACAAATATGTCCATGAGCATTTTCGCTCTGCTCTTATTCATCTCTTTTATACAGGAAGATGGTCATCTACACTGTTGCATTTGTGATTCTGAAATGGTCTGGGGTGTATCTTTTCAAAAGATGTAATGAACGTGGGTAGAACTGAAGAGCTTGTGTTTATGAGCACACTGGCTGCAAACTTCAGAAGCCCGGTGGGATGTCCCAAATTTCTGGTGTGTTTTGTTCACCCCAGGAAAACGGGGGCCCTGGAGGGAGGAGCCCAGAGCAAAGTGCAGGATTGCACAGCTTTGAACTTGTTATGCAAGAAATGGGTGTTTGTATCTTGTTTGTTGCTTTATTCAGCACCAGCTCAAAAGACCAGTAGCAGATCGGAATTTTAAATGTTTTTAGGTGTTTGATGCTCACTAATCATCTATGTATTTGATTCATAATATACTACAGCAATATTTTCAAAATATTACACTTTAAATGCTCTTTTAAAGCGACATATTTTAAAATGTAATGTAATGTTGTGATGACAAAGATGAAGGCATTTCACTTTCAGTGTCGCAGGATTCTTCAGAAATCATTCTTCCACGGCTCATTTGGTGCATGTGGAAACATTTCATGTTATTTTCAATTGGTGTAAACCAGCGGTGCCCAAACTCAGTCCTGGAGGGCCGGTGTCCTGCATAGTTTAGCTCCAACGTCTTTCAACACACCTGCCTGCAAGTTTCTAGTATACCTAGAAAGAGCTTGATTAGCTGTTTCAGGTGTGTCTAATTGGGGTTGGAACTAAAATATGCAGGACACCGGCACTTCAGGGCTGAGTTTGGACACCCCTGGTGTAAACAGTTAGGGCAACACGGTGGCTTAGTTTCAGTCTGTCGCCTCACAGCAAGAAGGTCGCTGGTTCGAGTCACGGCTGGGTCAGTTGGCATTTCTGAGTTTGCATGTTTTCCCCATGTTGGCATGGGCTTCCTCCTGGTGCTCCGGTTTCCCACACAGTCCAAAGACATAGGGTAAAGGTGAATTGAACTATTGACTGAAACTGAATTGGCCATAGTAGATGTGTGTGTGAGTGTGTATACACTAGGTGTTTTCCAGTCATGGGTTGCAGCTGGAAAGGGATCCTTTGCGTAAAACATATGCCGGAAAAGTTAGTGGTTTATTTTGCTGTAGCGACCCTTGATGATTAAAGGGACTAAGCCGAAAGAAAATGAATGAATGAAACAAATGAATTAAAATTTTTTACTTACAAATATAATAACAATATTTGAATAAAAGTGTTGAGCAAATGCATAATAATGTCCTGTAAATGCAAATGCAGTATAGCAATATTTAATATCAATACTTTCGTGGAAACCTTTCTATAGATTAGATGTGGATAGAAGTCTTAATATCTTATTTTTATGACATTTTATAACCAAATGTTTTGTGATTTATTTTACAAAAATAATGTTGAAAAAATCTTCCTAATTAAAAAAAAACTGAAGATTTTTTTTAACAGTTTCCAGAAATATTAAACTAGAAAACAGTTACTACCTTGTATTTGAAATTGCAATAAGGTTTTTAGAACTGAATTTACTGTTCAGCATCTCCAATAAATCCATCCTTGCACTCCTCTTTCTTAATAAACATTAAAAATTCTTAAATATTCTTCAAGTACAAGAAATAATAATTTGTGAGTGTCTGTTTGAATAAAAGTGTTGAGCAAATTCACAACAATGTCCTGTAAATGCAAATGCTCTATAGCAATATGTATTATCAATATTTTTGTGGAATCCCTTGCAAAGTATTATCTGTGGAAAGATGTGCTTATATCTTATTTTTATGGCATTTTTATAACCAAATGATTTATACAGTAATGTTTTACATAAATATTGTTGAAAAAATCTCCCTCTCAAAAAATTAAGATAATTGCATTTTTCACAGTTTTAACAAATATTAAAATTGAAAACAGTCACTACCCTGTATTTGAACCTGTAATAAAGCTTTTAGAACAGGATTAACTGAATAAATTCTTTCTTGGAGTGCACTTCCTTAACAAACTTTAACATTTCTTAAATATTCTTCAAGTACACAAACTCTTATGAAGAAAATAATCATTTGTGGGTGTCTGTTTAAATACAAGTTTTGAGAAAATGCATAACAAGGTCCTGTAAATGCACATGCACCATAGCAATATGTAACATCAACATTTTTGTAGAAGCCCTTATATGGGATTATGTGAAAAGAAGTCTTAATATCTTTTTTTTTTATAGCCAAAAGTTTACAATTTTTTTATGCAAATAATGTTGTAAATCATTTTTTACAGTTTCCACAAATATTAAACTAGAAAACAGTTACTACCCTGTATTTGTAGTTATAATAGTTGCATTTTTACAACCGGTTTTACTATACTGCATCTCCAATAAATCCATACTGGAGTGCTCTTCCTTTGCAAACATTACAAATATTCTTCAAGTACAAGAACTTCTATGAAGCAAATGATCATTTGTGGGTGTCTGTTAGTGTGTGCACATGGGAATCCTCCTCCTAGGTTGTGAGCATTCTTTCTCTGTGTGCGTTTTTGTGTGTATGGCAGCGAGGGGGTGTTGATTTATGTGTGAGTTCTCTCATTGAGTAAGAGCCCCTGATCTGAGCCCCATCTCTCCGCTCCATTTGCATTCACTGGCTAAAACTGGCTGGCAGGGCAACGCGCTCAACTTTCTGTTCCAGGCTTTCGAAACGATCCAAAAAGTTTTTTATTGAATTGGAGTGAAGGGGACAGAGAGAAAAGAGGAGAACAAGAGGAAGAAGACAAAGATAAAGTACAACTAAAACCTTAGACTTCCTCGGGAGCAGGGGAACAGGTGGGCTAAACTGAAATAAACGGTGTGTTGAAGCTGGAGGCAGGTGAGTGGGAAGAGGAGATTAAGATAAAGAGGACTGGAGAGATAAGATGAATGAACGGAGGGAAGGAATTGGGGCTCAGAATAAAGTTGCAGAGTAGAGGATGAGGGAGGACCCGGTGCGTTTACCAACTTTTTATGAATCATTGCCTCCATGCATTATTTGGGCACTGCATCCTCTTTATTGCGTTGTGTTCCTGTGGCTGTTTACGTAATACATTGTAAGTGCTTTATATTCATTGTGTGTGTGGGTTTTCACGAGGGAGCTGTTTGATCGCGTTTTATTTTTTATAGTGTTGACCAGAAATATTTTCTTTTCTTTTTTTTTTTACCCTGGAGAGTGAAATATACTTATTATGGCACTGAGGTTATATTGTAGTCTCATTTGTTCATTTTTGGCAATGCAATAAAAGGTTGGTCCCACTTTATATTAAGTGGCCTTAATTAATATGTATTTACATAGAAATTAATAGTTTGTTACAATGTACTTATTGTACACGTATTTACTATGTACTTATGCTTGATTAAGTACATGTATGTATTTACATCTGTAATTAACTTTTGTAATTACATTTGTAAATACACTGTTGACCATCCCTTACACCTTAACCCACCCTTAAACCTACCCATGCCACCAAACCTGTCCATAACCCAACCCCTATCCCAACTCAAAAGCACCACGTGTTCTCAAATACATGATAAACACAGTAAGTACATTGTATTTATTTATTTTTTTATGAAAGTACATAGTAGTTAAGGACACTTAATATAAAGTGGGACAAAAAAGGTTTTTAGTACACTTATAAGGCTGTAATGTACAACCCCAAATCAGTAAAAGTTTGGACAGTATGGAAAACGCAAACAAAAAAAGTAAACAAGAAAAGTAGTGATTTTTAGATTTACTGTGACTTGCAGACAAAATGACAAACATTATTTACTGTGTTCCTTGTGATTTTTATTGTCGACCACACCCCACCCCCCCCATTAACATGTATTCCAATTTTGGATTTCAAAAAAGTTGGGACAGGAGTAATATAGGGATAGTAATTAGGTACAATAGGTAAACTATGATATCAACAGGGGATTGTAATTATGATTTGGTAAAAAAAAGTAGCATCCAAGAAAGATCTAGTCCTTTAGGAACAAAGATAAGCCAACAATCACCAGTAAAAATGTGAGAATCTGAAGGAATTTCAGTGCGTAAAGGACAAGGGGGATTGCCTAAACTGAACTACCATGATTTCTGATTCCTCAGACTGCACTGCATCAACAATCCTCATTTATCTAAAAGCAATATCACCACATGGGTTCTAAGATACAAGTACTTGACTGTCCCGTCTGCAGTCCCGTCCTGTCTCCAATAGAAAAAGTGTGGTGTTTTTTAAAGCGCAAAATGTGACAACAAAAACACCAATCTCTCAGGCGGAACTGCATCAAGAATTCTCATTCATCCATAAGTGATATCACCACATGGGCTTGGGACTACTTTGGCAAACCTTTTTCATGTACCACAATACATACATCCACAAATGCCTGTTAAATCTGTTCTGTGCCAAAAGGACACCCTATGTTAGCAGTGTCAGAAGTGTCGTCGACTTCTCTGGGCTCGGAGGCAACTGGGATGGACCATCACACAGTGGCAACATGTACTGTGAACAGATGAATCAGTATTTCAGGTATTTTCTGGGAGAAATGAATGCTGTGTGCTCCAGACCAAAGAAGACAAGGATCATCCAGACTGTTACCAGCAACAAGATCCAAAAGTCAGTGTCTGTTATGGTATGGAGTTGTGTCAGTGCCTTTGGCAAAGGTAACTTGCACTTCTGTGATGCCACCATTAATGCTTAAACGTACAAATACATTTTGGAGCACAATATGCTATATTCTTTTTCAGGGTTGACCATGCATATTTTAACAAGACAATGCAAAACCACATTCTGCACAAATTACAAAGTGGTAAATGTTTTACTGTTCCAAATTTTCTGAAATGTGTTGAAAGAACCAAAATTGGAATGTGTTAATTAAAAAAAAAACTATAGAAAATCATGAGGAACATAATATATAATGTTTGTTGTATTGTCTGCAATGAAATACAAATTCAGAAATTACTACTTTCTTTTTTATTTGCGTTTTCCATACTGTCCAAACTTTTTTTGGGGTTTGGGGTTATTTATTATATGGACAAAATAAAAAAAAACTGTTGTTTCTTATTAAGCTCTATCATAATTTTGTTATTGTGTAAAACATATTTTATTTGGTAATACCTTTTCATCATTTACACAAGCGCAATATTACACACCATTAAGGGGATGCAGACAGAAATGTGCATAACAGCATTGTGAGAAATTTGCAATCTTGAAAGCACAATGTTTACATTTTGCATCTTACTTTGCAATATTTTATGTTTGGCCTGTAATCATTAGTTTTGAATATGTTTTGGATTTATTTTTAAAAATATTATACTTGCCATGAAGTTCTAAATAAAGTGAGAAAATAAACACATATAAAAAGCAAGTCTATTCCATGTGTCAATGTATATAAACTCGTAATTGATAGAATTGACAGAAAAACTAAAACTATGACAGAAAATAACTTTACCAGGGTTATATCTTGATATGGTGTTTTAGTCATATCGCCCAGTACCACTTATATTTTTGGAGCATCGCTCTCTAACTTGCTCCATATATTTTCACTTTGATTGCATCTTACTTCTTTATTGTTGACCAGAAATATTCTCCTTTTTTTGCTCTGAAGAGGAAGATATTGGTAGTTTATATAGCACTGAAAGGTTATAGCAAAGCATTATATTCACTTAAAAAACCCAAGGTTTCGGTTAAGTTAGTTTATTTGATTTTACAAATATAAGTAGTTTAAACGTAAAACTATTAAGTTGTCCCAAAAAAAACTCAAGAATTGTAATAATTCAGCTCATTTTAAATAAGTCGTTTGAACAAGTAGCAAAAACATTTTGAGTGCCGTTTGTGTAGTTTGCACATCATTTATAAAGTGCAGTAAATTCGATTTTTCATTGCAAAAGACTGAAGGTACCAAACATAGGCTCATTCTGAAAACGTAGCCCTATCTACATTTCTGGAGATCACAAATTATGTAGCCAGAGGTGTGTATGGCTGCATTTTGTCTTTAAAATAAACGCTACTAGGTGGTATGAATGCATTCTTTTTCGCGATTACCAGCTGACTGCTTACCTCTGTATGGACAGCTTTCTAGCTGTTTGTCTAGTGTCTCGTCATGTACATCAGCAGACTTGTAACGTGAAGTGGAGTTGACCGCGATGACAGGGTTTGAGTCTAATGAAGCATGGTTTTAGAAGGCAGGTTAGACAAAAACACACCAAAAAATCAAGTAAAAAAGTAAATAACAGGGTAAGATTGTAGGAAAATCTGAAAATGTGGTGAAAATTAGGCTGCCGCTGGGGCTTTTCTTTTTCTGGATTGCTTTCGAAAACACTGTTAGTTGGGTTTAGAGAAGTAGGTGGGCGGGTCAATTGGTGCTTTTGAAAACACTATCAGTTAGGTTTAGGGAAGGAGCAGGGTGGGTCAGTCAGTCGACAGCGGTCTCTGGTGGATTTACGCGAGAAAAACAGGGAAAAAAGGGGGTTCTCAAGGAGTGTACACAGTGGCCTCTGGTGGGCTCACGAGAACAAAAACTGAGGTACAAAAAAAGTACCTCCTTCGATGTATTTGGCACTCTCCAGAAATGTATATAGGGGTACGTTTGACAGTGTGGCTGGGTTGGATTTATTCTTTAACACAAGGGTCCTTAAAATTAGCTTTTTAACAAATAATGCCAATATCAGTTTATATATTTTCATTTATGCAATTGGCAGATGCTTATTCAAAATTACTTGCATTCCCTTTCGCTCAAAAAAGTTGTTTTATTCTCAGAGATTCAAATGCATGACATTGGTGTTGCAAGCCCGGAATGCAAATCAACACATGTAATAAAAAGTAATTGCATTATAGTAGCTACACTGTAAATAAATGCTCGGACAACATGACGGAATTAAGTTAACTTATTAGGTTTAACAAATTTAAGTGGATTGAACTTATAACAATTAAGTTGTCACGGAAAACCACTTAATAATTGTTGTTTCAGCTCATATTGAATAAGTATTTTGAACAAACACCAGATGTCTTTTTTTGAGATATAGGTCTGTGATTGGATGACTTTGAAATGTTGACCTTGTAAAGTCAAATGTGTTGAATGTTAATTTAAGGCTTGGATGCTGAGGTAATTTCATTAAAAGGATCACATCAGTCTGTCAATACTCTGTAAGCCATATACTTTACCTCCTTCATAAATGTTTGCCTTCAGTGAGTTTTTCTCACCAAGTCGATACATGCGATTTAAACAGATTGTGTCTCTAGGGTGCCTCATGGATTTGAGGATGCAGCGAGAGGAGGCATCGGCTCAGGAAGTGTTCAGCTATGCCCAGATGTCCACCCTGGAGAGAAACAGCGGTGTAGGAACGCTGAGTCGGCATCTAGAGCGCGAGCGATTGGAGAGAGACGGCTACACGGTGGATGTCAGAGCCAGTGACCTGCAGCTGGATCAGCCTGGCCCGCTACATCCCTGCTTCAGCTACAGAGTCTGGCTTTACAGTGTGGTTGTAGGGGTAAGCAGATTTGCACCACCTTGACTGACAGACTTAGCACACTGATTTTCTCAGTCGTCTAAATGTGTCTATCTGTATCTGACCCTCAGAGCAGCTTGCTGATAGCGTCGGCTTTCTCGCTCTACATGGGTAATGTGTTTCCTGCTGCAATGGATTACCTGCGCTGTACTGCTGGATCTGTGAGTGTTTCACCTTGGGTTTGTTCGGGAAGGATTCATAGGGCCATTTGTCAGACTGACATTCGTGTATGTGTTTGCTTTTGGCTTGCAGAGTATACCAGCAGCAGTGGTGAGCTTCGCCATTGCCAAGAACAGACAAGTCGCAGTAAGTGAACCATTGTTTTTTTTCAGTAAGTACAGAGAAATGAACTCTGTCTACCTCAAGGAGCCATTGAATGAAAATCTGGATATATCTATGCATAGATGAATAATAAGACATAAGCATACCGTGATCCACAAACACCACTGTTTCCTCATTCCCATCTAAATCCTGTGTAAAATCCCAGTGAAAACAGGTAATTCGGAACAAAACAGCAGCTCTGATGTTTATTATTATATAATAATCTGTTTGTTTGGCCACAACATTTTCTAGTGAGATTACAACAATAAAATTATTATCCATATTTTGAACTAGTTAGTATTGACTATACTATGTATGTGGTACTCTTATTTTGAAAAAGGGGGAGACCCGGAGACTAAAAAGAAGCAGTTTTGTGAAGTAGGCCATGGCCACAGAGTGTTCACAGCTCATCAGAACACAAAATCCAAACTATGTGGATTATAACATTTATTCAGCGCCACCCTGAGGAAGCACACAGTCTGTTTAAATGTATCTTTTGTCAGTTTTGTCAGTGTATATTGTGAAATCTGCCTCATGCATTTGTAAGGAGGCAACACGCACATGTAAACTGCTGTGTTGGGGTAATTTGCGTGGCTATAAATGAGCATAAAAAAGCAATTCTGGAGAGTTTTTCAACACTAAGCCACATACATACTGTCAGAGAAAAGTTTAACATTATAAACCAATGCACTCTATCGCACCTTTAAATAGATAGTTCAACAGGGTTACATATAGAAACAGTAAAAAAATGTGTGTGTGTGTGTGTGTGTGTGTGTGTGTGTGTGTGTGTGTGCGTGTGTGTGTGTGTGTGTGTATATATACAAATCTGCCACTTTAATAGAACAGAATGGAATGCCTTTTATTTCGACTCAATTCAATTCACCTTTATTTCTATAGCGCTTTTACAGTGTTGATTGTGTCAAAGCAGCTTCACATAGAAGATTATAGTAAATTGAAACAGTGTCACTACAGTTTTCAGAGTTGAAGTTTAGTTTAGTTCAGTTTAGCTCAGTTCAGTGTGGTTTAATATATTTAATACTGAGAGTACAAACATTGAAGAGCAAATCCATCGATGCACAGCTCTACAGGTCCTGAACCATGCAAGCCAGTGGCGACAGCGGCGAGGAAAAAACTTCACCAATTGGCGAAAGTGAAGAATTAAAAAACTTCGAAAGAGAAACCAGGCTCAGTTGGGCATGACCATTTCTCCTATGGCCAAACATCTTGTGCAGAGCTGCAGTCTAGGTGCTGGAGGCTGGAGAAGCTGGACTACAGGGAAGACTTATTTTTTCCTGTGGCATCACAGGAATCAGTCACATGCTCTCCACTCCTCCAAGACCACCACAGCAGCTGCTCAGGATAGGGCCTGGTCCAGGATTATAGGAACCTTGAGGTCATGTTACCCCGGGTCTTGGATCGCATCAGTGACACTGCATAGTCTCTGGGGGATCGGCATGAGTATCCCTAGGTGGAAATAGTGAATAAAGAGAATAATTAGAATGGCTGCTGTTCATAGTGTATATAAATGAGATGCAAAATAGTATCATAGCACTAGGTCTTTAATCTAGTTTTTAACTGCGAGAGTATGTCTGAGCCTCTTATCAGAAAGGCTATTCCAGAGTTTAGGAGCCATAAATGAGAAGGCTCGACCTCCTTTACTCGACTTTGCTAGGTACTACCAGAAACCCTGAGTTTTGAAATCTTAAAGAGTGGGTTGGATTGTAGCGAGACAGAAGGTTGGTTAAATAAACAAAAGCAAGGTTATTTAAAAATTTATAGGTAAAAAGTAATGTTTCCTTATCAATACGAAACTTAACAGGCAGCCAGTGTAAGGATGATAAAATAGAGGTGATATGATCATTTCCTAGACCTGGTAAGAACTCTGGCAGCTGCATTGTGTGCTAGCTGAAGTTTGTTGTTATTGCGACTGTACATGTATACAATGTACATAGTATACATGTGCAATAGGATTAAGTGCCTCTCACTACTCAGTGCAAACATGTAAATATATCCTTGCAATACAATTCACACTAAACAAGTTACAGTAGAAATAACTGTAGACGATTAACAGTAATACAAAATAGGGGATGAGCTACAGATACCATCATGCACTTCACTCACACACCAGTTCCTTATTCTCCCAGATTATACACACACCCACACACACAAACACACACACACACACACACACACACACACACACAGCTGGAAGCTCACGATGTACTGATTACTATGACTATAAAGACAGCTCATTCAGATACTCTCTTTGCTGAGTCTTGTTAAATAGTAAGTGAGTATTTCCTTGTCTTGCCTTGCCGATCTTGTTGTCTTGCTTAGTTGAATGAGGGTTTAGTTTTCCTATAAATTATGACTTATCTCTAACTGAAAATGATGACTTAACAACCACAGTTGTCATAATTTTACTCACCCATGTCATTCAAAGTCCAAGATTATTTTATTCTTCTTTTAAATCTTCTTTTAAAAAGCTTAAGAAAACCTGACAGATTTCAAGCCCTCCTTTGATACTCTTCTCTTCTTATCCAAAGGTGTAATGCTTCAGAATGTTTAGTAATTCATTTGATAATAGAAATGAATTCTTTGTATGTAAAAAAACTGAGAAATATAAAATGCTTAAACATGAAGTGAGTTCATGTCTGTTTCTTAAAAAAAGATTGTTTAATATAGGTAAATTAATATTAATATGCTTTTACAATTTACATGAATTCTATAAAACAAATGAATATACATTTTAAACACTGTTCATCAATTATGTCTTCAGTTAATAGAGCTTAAAAATGCAGTTTTTATTTCTATATGTATTGATGATGTGTCTTTCTGTAGATTTTATATCTAGCAGATAAATGCAGAAGGACTTTTCTACACATACTGTTTTATGTTTCCAGGTCTCAGACTTTCAACTGGTCTATGTGTCTTCCTTTGCTGTGACAACCACGTGTCTGGTGTGGTTTGGCTGTAAACTGGCCATCAGTCCTTCAGCCATCAATGTAAGAACATCACACACAACTCTCATACCCCTAAAATGGGTGTCAGGTAATCTAAAAAAGGGTGGTAACATCAAAATGAAATGGCTCAAGTGGCTAGTGGCTTATGCTAATATCAATACAAGTTTTTAAGATGAATTGATAAGGTTCATGTTATATACTTGTTCTGATCTGTTGAACTAAATGTGAGCTGTTATAACAGTTACTGCTGTCTGATCCTTTAAAGATTAACTTTAACCTGCTCCTGCTTATTGTGCTGGAAGTGCTCACCGCCAGTACTGTTATTCTGTCAGCACGTTCAGTGGACAACTGCTGCAGTCACAGCAAGGTCTGTATTCATGGATTATTAATAGTATATAATGTACTGATTAATCCATTTTTTGACTATTTTTATGAGTGTAGACTGCAGTGCTACTCTAATTTTGACCTGTGGTTACAAATCTGGAAATAACCAGTATTTTAACTGAGGTAATAATGAATTTTGGTTGTGAAAATTGTTTATACATATCTGCAAATTTGTTTTTGTAAGATTTGTAAGATTTCTTAATCTAACTCTACATGAAACAGTAAATGTGATTTTATACAAGTATTGGACATTAATTACACTGACACAGCTGTGAGATGCAAAGCATGGTGGTAGGTGTGGTCTGGTTGAATTGAGTGTTTGTGGAATGCAAGACGGATGAAGGGGCATAACTTGTATTAAGTTAGAGGCGTAACTTGCAGTTATTGACATCCCTCTGAACCATGCAAGATGTCACAACGAGATGTTGTTAGCAAGATCGCAGAAATACTTAACAGAGAACATTTTCAGCAAATGTTTTCATCTTCAGTTTACTCCAAATTTATCCACAACCAATTCATTGAATTGTTGTGAACATTGATAAATGTTCTTTTGTCAGTTCATTTTTATTAATTTGTTTCATTTAAGAAAATGTAGTACTTCAACTTTAACTTTAGTTGCCACTAATGTTAGTTTCTTATTTTCTTCTTTTTTGTGTGTGTTATTATTTAGATCACTGATTCTGCATGAAACATACACTCATTTGTGATTTTGGGGGGAAAAAATCATTATGCTAAATGTTTTTTGTCATTTTTATATTTCTCTAGTTTTAGTTTATTTGGTTTAGTGTTTTTAATAAATTAACTTTAGCCTTTAATATTTCAAAGATTCCTCAGAATTATATATTAATTTTATTAATGTTTATGTTACAAGTTATGTCAGCTTCAATGTACAATTTGCATAATAATTGCATAATATTTTGATGCTGCTTCCTAGATTCCAACTAAAGCAAGATATCATCGCCATGCGAAATGTCTATGATTTACAATAATTGTCTGCAGCTTATGCAGTTTACATTTTACATGCTCTCCCTCTTTTCCTCATTGCTCTCATCCATCTTTTTCTCCAGCCGGTGTCTGAAGGCCCAATGATTGTGACCCAAACATCGTTCCCCACTCGTCTTTTCAAGGCCTTCGCCGTGAGTCGCCTACAAATGAGATTACGTGTGTGTGTGTGTGTGTGTGTGTGTGTGTGTTTCGTCACTGTATATTCACACTGTTTCTCCAACATAGGTAATTGAGCTCATAGTGGGCATCGCTGCAGTTTTTGGAGGAATTATTGCCCTCAATTTGGGCGCTCTTCTCCCAGAGCCTTACCTTTCTGTTACCTTCTTCTGGATTCTGGCAGCGGTGAGATTGGTTCATTTTATTAAATACTAGAACTGATTATTGTAACCAGCGTGGTTCATTTTTTCTTTCTTATGTGATACAGTGTTTCCCCAGTGCCATCGCCAGCCATGTGGTGGCAGAAAATCCCAGCAAAAGTCTGGTGAGTCTCCATCAGGATCTCTCTCCAGCAATTATGAGCAGTGCAATCGAACGTCCCTGGAGCATGTTCACCTTTCTCATTCATTCACAGTTGAAGTCAAAATGATTAGCCCTCTAATTTTTTCCTTTTTCAAATATTTGCTAATTTTGGTTCTACCCAGGTTTTGGAAAATATTTTTTTAACAGTTTAGTTATGTTTGATTTTCTTATTAAACCTGAACCCCTGTTGGCATTTTTTGGAACCAGCCCCGGAAATATTGTGCTTGAAGAAGAAATATGTAGAGTTATTGGTTTTACCACAATATTGGTTAGGCCAGGGGTCACCAATCCTGGTCCTGGAGGGCCGGTGTCCCTGCAGGGTTTAGCTCCATCTTGCCTCAACACACCTGCTTGGATGTTTCAAGTATACCTAGTCATACCTTGATTAGCTTGTTCAGGTGTGTTTGATTAGGGTTGGAGCTAAAATCTGCAGGGCACCGGCCCTCCAGGAACAAGTTTGGTGACCACTGGGTTAGGCGTTTAATTCTTGTCTATTGGAAAAAAAATCTGAACCCCCATAGTAGTAGATGGATCAAAGACAGGATGTATTTTAACCAGGTTAAACAATCAAATGCACTCTCAGTGAATTAGAACAAAGGTTCAAAATGTATTTTTTTGAAACATGGTCACCCTTTCTTACATGTTAACAATTTTCAATTCTTAGAGCAGGGGGATATTTAATCCCGTAGAATCGCAAAAGGTCCCCCGCACAAAGACACCCCCCCCCCCCAACATTTTTTCTTTCCACTTTCCTGTCACTGTAACCTTGCGATGCCTTTCACAATGAGCTTGCTTGTAATAAAGGTATACAGAACCTTCCAAATATTACACATTGAATTGTTCTCTTTTAATGTGTATCGTATATCTTTTTATATTTTCCTTTTTACATTTTTTACTAAATTTATTTTATTTATAATTACTGTATTGGTGTTGTGTATGCACCATATACATACACTTGCTCTGCATTTGTATGATGCTTGAGGAGTTTTATGGTAGCAGACATGTCTGGAAATTAGTTTTGGGTATGTTTGTTTGTTTGTTTTTTTGTTTGTTTAGTTTTTTGTTGTTGTTGACTATTTGTTTTCTGTTTTGTACAAATGTATGAAAAAATTGCATTAATAAAGTATAAAAAATTCCCAAATGATGTTTAACAGAGCAAGAGATTTTTCACAGTATTTCCTATAATATTTTTTTCCTCCTGGATAAAGTCTTATTTGCTTTATTTAGGCTAGAATAAAATGAGTTTTTATTAAAAAAAAAAAAAAACATTTTACTGTTAAAATTATTAGCCCTCTTAAGCATTTTCCCCGATTGTCTACAGAACGAACCGCTGTTATGCAATGACTTGCCTAATTACCCAAACTTGCTTAATTACCCTGGTTAAATCTTTAAGTTGCACAAGCTGAATACTAATATCTGGAAAAATATCTAGTAAAATATTATGTGCTGTCATCACGGCAAAGATAAAAGAAATCAGTTATTAGAAATAAGTTATTAAAACCATTGTGTTTAGAAATGTGTTGAACAAATAGATTTCCATTAAACAGAAATTGGAGAAAAAATATAAAAGAGGCCTTATAATTCTGACTTCAACTGTAGCTTTCGCTATTTCTCTTTCTATTGATGGTCTGCCTTCTTGTTTTTGTCTGCTGTAGGTGGAAATGCTGATTGCTATAAATAGTGTGACTTCACCACTGCTCTTCTCGGCCTCTGCATTCTTATCCAGCAGTGTGATTAGTTTTATTGAGATCTTTCTGCACGAAGTAGCATTAGCCAAGGTGAGTCATTTCTGTGCACCAAATCAAATTAGTTCAAATATGTCAGAGTTTGACCTTTTCTGGCTGACACCTTAAAGGAATAGTGCATAGAAAAAATGTGAATCTTGTCATTATTAATACGTTTTTGAACATGGATCAATTAGTGGGTCTGTTTTATTTTATTTATTTATTTTTTTGCAAATATGAACATGGCAATCATGCTGAAGTCTGCAAGATAAAAATCGATTGATAGCAAACTCATCAGCAGAAATCAATCCATTACTTGGACCAGTGAAACAAGTCTCATAATTCATAAATGAAATCATAAAAACACATTTGTTTGACTTATCTAAAATATAATCGTGCAGAATAAGGCATCAGTTACATTTAACAAATGCTTTTATCCAAAGCAACTCACATCTTTGAACACACCCTCCCGGGGGTTGAAACCTTTTGTATCACAAGTCCAATTCTTTAACTGTATTATTATTATTAATAATAATAATAATAATTATAATAATAATAATAATAATAATAATAATAATTATTATTATTATTATTATTATTATTATTATTGTTGTTGTTGTTGTTGTTGTTGTTGTTGTTGTTGTTGTTGTTGTTGCTGTTGTTGTTGTTGCTGCTGCTTTTTATTTAGGGATGCACTGAATTCTTGGCCAAAAATTTAATTTACAGTTTGTTGTTGCACTGACCATACCTCAAGAGCAGCAGAGAACATTGTTGTCTAAAATAACTTGCTGTATAGTCTATTTGTTCCTGCTTCTTGCAATAGAGCTCCTGTGCTGTCATGGTAGCGCTAGTAAAATAATGACTCCATTCGTTCAGTCAATAAAATGTTTAAATGAAAAAAAAAGTACGTTTTTTTTTATTAGTATAACTTATGATATTGAGTAAATGTTTAAAAGTCTTACAAAACTAATTCAAATTTTTTTTGAAAAATGAATTAATTATTACAAAGAAACCAGTTTTGATTTTTGGCTGAGCGCTTCCAGAATTGTTGGTGTCGCCCCAGAATTATTATTTAAATTTTTCGGTTTTAAACTGTTATTTTCAAATTTATAATGACTAGAAATATTTTTTCAGTTTTTTATTTTAGTTTTAGTTATTATAACAAAACTCATGCAGTTCCACAGAATAAGGCAATGGAATTAACTCTTTAAATGACAAATTTTGATACTTTTTTAACCTTTACATCAATCTTTGATGTATATTAAGTTTATGAATGTATGTTGTCCATGCAGCAGTCGTATGACATCCTGCTGTTGGTCCTGATGCTGCTGCTGCTGGTGCCAGCGGTGCTGACTTTAGCCACTATTATACAGTGTGCTTCCTACAAGAGCCAGGTCCGCATGGGTGCTAACGAATGGGACACACTGCGCAAAAAACACTGTGAGGTAAACACTCAAACATAGAGCCCAGTAAATGACTGACAAGTCAATTTAAGAGTACAGAAAGTGTATGTACTATGAGTGCTATAGACCATTTTGAGGGATGTAAACAAAAACAATAGTCCCAATGTATTTCCTGTTTTACATTTTTAATTTCGATAGCTACATAGAAACCAAAAAGAGCCACATATTAATAAATAATGTTATGATGGCTGTTTTAACATTTAGTTATGATTGAATTACTCTTGTTACAGTTATGAAAGAGTTTGATAACAAGCTGGAAATGTTCATGGGCCAATGTCATGAGCACATTGAAATGGTCTACTCTATATGCTCATGTGTGAGATTAATCAATTGAGAACTGTATTGTGATCCGCTGCTTTAATTCTGTGAAAGCACACATTGTGGGATTATCAAAGAAAGACGGGACGATTATTGGGTCATTTGTTTGACATCCTCCCCTTTTTTTCTTAAAGCAGCTGGCATCAAATGGCACATTAAGGGATTTCGACAAAGAAAAGGCCTGGAAGGCAGTGGTCGTCCAGATGGCCCAGTGACCAAAGTTGCTTGAAGAAAAAGCAGAGAGAAAGAAAGTGAATGTACAAATATAGGAGATGAGAATGTCTGTTGGAAAAGAAGCATCTTCTTTTTTTTTTTTTAGTATGAAACAAAACATTCTGTGTTAGCTGTCAGCTCTCGTGTTTATGAGCTATTCATCGCCGTTCAAACGTTTGAGGTCAAAATGTTTTAGATTATTACTTCATTTTATAAACAAAATAAAGTTTACACTTTTATTTGACAAAGATGCATTAAATAAATCAAAGAGCAAGGACTTGTTTACATTGTTAAGAAAAATTACTATTCTGAAAATATCCTGTCCTTCTGTTTGGATTTTTGGGGTTTCTGCGCTACAAGAGAAGAATGTCTTCAACAATAATAGTAATTAGAAATAATAGTAATAAGACATTTTTCTTGGAGTAATGATGCTGAAACTTCATCACAGAAATAAATTACGTTTCACATATATTACAATAAAAAAGATGAATTAAAATCATACTGATATTTCACATTATCACAGTGTGCTTGTTTGTTTGTATTGTAATTTTAATCAAATAAATGCAACTTTGGTCAGACTTCATACAAAACTATAAAAATCCCAGACTCCAGACTTCTGAACGGTGTTGAATGTCTATCACATTTATTTCTGAATGACAATTTAGCAAAAAAGAGAGCAAACAAGTGGATTTTAAAACATCTTTTGTACTCTTTTTTTTTAAACCTGTGTCTCACAATCATGAATTTAGTCTGAAGTGATAGAATGAATGGCTGAGCAAGTTAATATGCAAATCAATAGTGATCACGCCATGCATGTACAATCCGCAGCACTTTTAATGCATTTTCAAGAGGTTGGAACAGTAGGGGACCTAATATAATATATGATGAATTTAATAATTCTAACCCACTTTTAATGGACCATATTGCTGTTCACTTCCTTGCTGTATGCAACTGTTTTTACTTTCTTAGATTTTTATTTTTGTATAAATATATATGCGTCTTGTGATGTTTTTGTAGATCAATAAAGTTTTGAGGGGTGTTTATGTGAAAAGTGAATTAATACTTGTTTTGGATAAAGATCTAAACAGCTGAGTTTGTTTGATACGGTTTCAAAAGATTAAGCACAGTCTGAGCCTTATAAATACTGTAAAATAGAGATAAAAAAAATATCTGGATTAAAAATGAATTTCTAAGACCGTAAAAATGGATCTTGTTTCATAATTTATTCACCTTGTTCTTTTTCTGTGGAAAACATTTTTGAAAAATAATAATAATCAACAAGAGAATACATTTCTCACAAACAAATAAATGAATAAATAAAACTTATTTTGTGTTTTAAAGAAGAAACTCAGTCAAGAAAGTCATTCTTACAGAGTTGAAAGAACACTTTTGAAATTGCAAGTTGCATTTTTGGTTGAGAACAAAAAATAATTTAGGAGATTTGTTTAAACTTTGTTAAGATGTTATCCATTTAAAGGGATTTTATTGACAATTCATGTATTTAATCTATATTTATTTTCAGATTTCAATTTATTAAGTTCAAGATATTTGTAAAAAAAATGTTTAATAATAATAATAATTTTTATTTATAGGTGCCTTTCAAAGCACTCAAGGACACCTTAAAGCATATCGCAAGCACATTATGAAAATACAAGCAGTAAAAATAACAATCAACGTAATATTAAACCAGCAAATCATTACAAACTATAATAAACAAAAAAAGTTTTTTTCTGAGATTTAAAATTGGAAATAGTGTCCACCAGGCGAAAGGCGGGATTTCCATAACTTTGGTGCTTTACAACTAAAAGCCTTGCCACCAAACGACTTCATCTTAAAGTTTGGAACAGATAACAATTCAGCAGAAGATGATCTCAGTGAGCGCAAAGGAGTGTACAAATAAGATCAGAAAGATTGTGATGTGCCAAGTTAGGAAGAGCTTTGTATGTTAAGAGGAGGATTTTGTATTGTTTACGATAGTGAACAGGGAGCCAGTGCAGGTGAGAGAGAATTGGAGTTATGTAATCAGAAGCACGCAAGCAGGTAACTATCCTAGCTGCTGAATTTTGAATTAACTGTAGTCTATGAAGATGCTTATCAGGGATGCCAGGTAGGAGACAGTTACAGTAAACAATCTGTGATGCAACCAAAGCATGAACAAGCACTTCAGTAATTTGTTGAGATAGTGAAGAGCGAAGTGTAAAGTAAAAAAGGGCAGATCGTGAAATATTACTAATATGAGAACCAAACGAGAGTATGCCACCAGTATAACTCCAAGACTTTTCACTTGTTTGAGAGATTTCATGTGGAGTTATTAATGAACAGGGTAAAGGATTGAGCTTTGGATAAAACAGACTTAAAGCCAACCTGAGGGGCTTCAGTTTTACTCGCATTTAACTTGAAGACATTATTAGTCATACATATATTAATCTCATATAGACATTTAGTAAGAAGGAGGGTGAGATGTAGGTTTTGTAGGGATATAAACTTGTGTATCATCTGCATAAAAATGGAAATTTATGTCATAAGAATGAAATATACAGTTGAAGTCAGAATTATTAGCCCCCCCTAAATTAGTTTTTCCACAATTTCTGTTTAACGGAGAGAAGATTTTTTCAACACATTTCTAAACATAATAGTTTTAATAACTTATTTCTAATAACTGATTTCTTTTATCTTGCCATGATGATAGTACAAAAATATTTTACTAGATATTTTTACAAGACATTTCTATACACTTCTATGTAGTTAGGCAAGTTACTGTAAATGATGGTTTGTTCTGTAGACGGTCAAAAACAAATTAGCTTAAAGGGGCTAATAAGTTTGACCTTAAAATTGTTCATAAAAAATTAAAAAACTGCTTTTTTGTAGCCAAAATAAAACAAATAAGAATCTCCAGAAGAAAGAAAATATTATCAGACATACTGTGAAAATTTTCTTGCTCTGTTAAACACTATTTAGGAAATATTTAAAAAAGAAAAAAAATTCAAAGGGCGGCTAATAATTCTGACTTCAACTGTATGCCCTAGAGGTAAAATATAAATAACATAAAATAGTGGACCCATACCGAGCCTTGAGGAACACTATGAATGACTGAAATAGAATCAGCGTCTTAATGTTCAGCATTTTGGTCATTTTGGAACCATGAATCAGTAGATGTTTAAAATACATTCTGTCAGATACTCTGAAGTAAATTTACTCTGAAGTTAGTAGTTTAAAACAACCTAGTAAAAATCCCCCATATCTCTTTTGGGACTGAATTTTGTTGATAAACCGAAATATGTACACCTACTGACAAACCATTGCAACATTCTTTTAAACAACACTGTGCATTTCCCAATCCTAAATAGACTGTCTGAAAATGAATTGTCTGCTTTGTTATTCCAAACCTTCCTAGGCAAAAGGAGAATTATTTAAATCCATATAATGAAAGTCAGCTGTATATACAAATACAAGTTTATCTTTGAAATGTAAAGGAAATTTCTTTGAGGAAATCAGTTCGAAAGTAACCATTATATCTGTTGTTGGCGCATAAAGGACACACTTCAGCTACGTTTGTTTAACCCTCCATCTCACTCACCGTTATGTATTTCTTCTCTTTTAATTACTCGCACGAAATTCATTTTTAATGGTCAAGTGGATTTATTTTTTCTTTACAAAAACACAAACAGGACAATAGGTCCCTCTCTCTCCTTCTGCAGATTTCTCACTCAACCCTTACTGCTTCTCACTACTACTTACTGTTTGCTATGTTTTGTTTTTAAATATGTGATTTTTTTTTATGTAAACTTGGCAATACATTTGTAAGTCATGCCAATAAAGCAATTTTTGAATTTGAGAGAGAGGGAGAGAGAGGCAATACCAGGGTAAAACATGGTAACGTAACTTTGAAATGTATTAACGTTCACTTATTAATGAGAAACACCTGATCAGATTAGCTGTGGTTGGCTTTTTAGTTAAAGGGCACCTATGATGAAAATCATCTTTTGTAAGTTATTTGGAGTGTGTCCACAGTCATATTGGGGTGATATGAATACAATAGCCTTTTTTTTATTTCCTGGCGATAAAATAAAATACAAATCCTTCCCATTTTGAGGCCCACTGAAACGTGATGTAGGAGTGCGATTTCCCCACCCACCCAATTGATTGACAGCTGTATATTAACATATCATATCAACAAGAAAGGTCGTGTGCAAAATAACAGGGATTAAAAGATATGTTCGGCTCACTGTGATCATCAGTCATCAAAAAATGTGATCAAAAATGAGTTTTCCAAGTTTAAAAAGTTTTTAAAACAGTGCATGTTTTTTTAATGAATTACAGCGAATTTGCCATCTTTACTCTATCACCACAGCCGCATGTCAGTACAATTATACAAGAAGACGCTTCAATCCTGCATGTGTTGTGTTGTTGGAATGAGTCAAACACAATGCTGTTACAAATTTTAAGCGCATTTTTTACTTTGCACTGTTTTCGCATCGCAAATGTGACAGGATACATGTATGTATACTTGTATGAATATCTGGTATGGTAATGTACAAAATAAACCTGATTTAACATATCAAATAATCATTGAAAAAGTTCTTACTGCAGTAACAAACGTTCTGCTTCCTTCATGCTTGTCACTGTGCTGTTTTTCTGATGCAGGTGGAGATTGAGGCACACTAAAAGCACAGGCCACAAAACAAGCTACGTATTGTTCGGCACAGAAATTCCAATATTCTGAAAGGTATAATAAATAATCTTATGGGTTTTTTGACCTGAAACTTTACAGACACATTTTGGAGGCACAAAAGACTTTTCTTGAAATCTTGAAAAGGTGGCAAAATAGGTGCCCTTTAAGACTATTTTGGTAAACAACATTTCATCCTTGAATAGCTTATATTTTGCATTGTCTATGCAACAAGATACGAACAAAAACTACAAATAAACGACAGAAGGGCAAAAGTTGAATTTAACGTAGAGCTAATTTCACATTGTCGTTTTTATTCCCGACACTCCTATCGCTTTCATTTACGATTTAAATGCGCCGTGGTAGTGAATCTCCTTGAGTGTGTGTCTGTGGAGCCGCCAATAGTGTAAACCGGAGAAGTGTGTGAGGTTTGTCAGGGGAGGGCGAGAGGATGGCGAGAGGCGGAACAAACCGGTGTGTGTGCCCGGATACACGCTGAAACGGCTCGCCCGCACTGCAGATTAACCCTTCAGACGCCGGGGATGCTCAACACTAAAGCACAAGTCCCTGCATCCGCGTCCCTTTGTGTGTTTGTGGATCTGTTTGGTCGTGTTGTATGTTGTGAGGAGATTTTCCCTCTGATGTTGAAACACAACACCGGCTCTCTGCGATCCTTGGTGTAATCGAGTAATCTGACAGGTATGTGACATCATGAAGACGCGAGTCAATGCAGCCCGGTACACTCCGTCTCTCATGCTGAATTTAGTCTTTAGTATATATTTAGTCATATTTCTGTGCTGATTTGTGTCCTTTTAGGCAGAGATATAGCCTGATGATCCAGTGATGGACAGCTCCTCGACTGAGGGTAAGTGATGTGCACTGCATGACCTTTATTGATCCTAATGTTTCACTGTCACAACGTCTATTTGTGTCGGACAGTGTTATTACATATCGTTCATAAAGCTAAATTATGTCTCGGGGTGTTTTAGTATATGCTGTTGCTTTAAGTTTGCACGAGACGTTCTTAATCGCCATCAACTTGTTTGAGAGTTTGATCAAACCTGTAAAGAGTTTTTCAGGCTTCTTTCTGGTGTCGTTGTCTCTGAATAGGCCAGGGTTATAAATCCTTTGAAATTCTAATTTAAATTTCAGATTGACACCATTTGTTGTAATAATTTATAAGCATAATATTAAAAACACACATGGCCTGTTGATCAAAGACTAATGAAGTAAAATTGTTGAATGCTGTCTTTTATATCTACTTCAGCAGTATAAGAATATATTTCAAGTAAACGAAAAACTAATTTTAACCTTATTTAACCAATCCTTAATGCAAAAAGATAGTTGTCAACTTAGGCTATTTTTAGATGCAAATATTTAGCATATTATAATGGAAACAATGGTTTAATTTTGAGAACTTAATATTTATTTATTTATAAAAACACATGGACTTTAAACTGATTAAATATATATATATATATATATATATATATATATATATATATATATATATATATATATATATATATATATATATAATCAAAATAAATTTTTATACAATTATTTATTTATTTGCACAAATAAAACCAAATCAATCACAAACACTACAGTTCTTTATGCTGAGAGTATCATGCTGCCCTATATGCCAGAAAGTAAGTAGAAAGTCTTTAAAATTACATATTTTTTATTTCTAAAACAAGTTACAATGATTAAAATAGTAAATAAAAATCCTTTCATTTTCTTTTCGGTTTAGTCACTTTATTAATCTGGGGTCGCCACAACAGAATGTTCCACCATTATATCCAGCACATGTTTTTATGCAGCGTATGCCCTTCCAGCTGCAACCCATCACTGGGAAACATCCATACACACTCATTCATACACTATGGACAATTTAGCCTACCCAATTCACCTATACCACATGTCTTTGGACTGTGGGGTAACTGGAGCACCCGGAGAAAACCCACGCGAACACGGGGAGACCCAGCCGAGGCTTGAACCAGCGACCTTCTTGCTGTGAGGTGAATGTGCTACCCACTGCGCCACTGTGCAGCCCAAAATTTTATTAAGATTATGAATAAACATTTCATTATAAATAAAACTACCAAAAATGTTAAAGGGCACCTATGATAAAAATTAACTTTGTAAGCTGTTTGGACAACTGTGTGTAGGTATGAAAAAACCAACCCAGGCTCAATCTGAAAACGTACCTCTACAGATGTTTCTGGAGACCACGGAATATGTCCCAGCGGCACGTTTTTCTGCAGTTTTTGTTTTGGCGAATCCACAAGAGGCTGCTGTGTATGCTTTTTAGAGATCTCAAATTCCTTTCCCGAGTGCCATTCATGCCTGCTGTTCTTGCGTAAACCCACCAGAGGCCTGACTTTTTTGTCAGACTTTCTCCCCTTTCCTAAACCCAACCAACACGTTTCAAAAGCAATCCAGAAAAAGAAAAGCACTTGTCTGATTCTGACCTCGTTTTCAGATTTTACACATTCTCACCCTGCTATTTACTTGTTTATTATTATTTTTTGAAACCTGTTTTTGTCTTACCTGCTTTCTGGAACCGTTCTTCACCGGACTCGAACCCCGTCGTCATGGTCAACTCCTCTCTGTGTCACAAGTCCGTCAACGTACTTGGCAAGCTAACGGGACAAACTGATTGCAGCAAGAATATCGCCCATACGGAGGTAAGCGGTCAGCTCGTAAACGCAAAAAGGAACAGCGTCACACCGTCCCGTAGCATTCGTTTAAAAAAAACATGAAATGCAGCCATACATACCTCTGGCTACATAATTCGTGGTCTCCAGAAACATCTGTAGGGCTACGTTTTCAGAATGAGCCTGTGTTCGCAAAAATAGTGCAAAGTTAAAGCAATCTTCATTGTGTGGGACTCATCATTGCAGAAAGGCTTGAATTAACTCCACAACAAATTTAATAAATAGCCGTTGGGAAAGTTCTTAATATAGTAAGGGAGATCTGCTTCATTCTTGTCTGTCACTATGCTGTTTGTCTACATGAAGGATATGACTCTGACATGCACGTAGGAATGGTGGGTGGGAAGAACCAGCTCATTTGCGTTAAAACTTGTTAAAAATTTCCCAGATTTAAAAAGGTATAATAAATAATCTGATGGGCATTTTGAGCTGAAATTTTACAGACACATTCTGGAGGCACACAAATGTAAATTAAATTTTGAAAAAGGGTTAAAATAGGTGCCCCTTTGAATCAAATTTTTATTATAAAATAGTAATGAATAAAAATACTACATTTTTAGGATGGGTGAGTAACCATATTTGTGGGTCTGTCTGTACTATCCAAAAGATTGAAAAACCCTACTTCATACCACAGCTTTGACAACTAGTTTACATTTTTTTGTATATATATGATTTACTTCATCCTGAAAATAAATACATATTTAAGATAAACTACAAACGCAGAGTTCCTGCCATTTTTGTTGCTGTTTCCATTTGTTAGAAAGCTGCTCCTTATCGATTTCCTGGGCTCAAAGCAAGATATATTGATTTCAAAATGAGCAACGGCTATTTTCTGGTGTCTTTTTACACTGCTGGCAGAGACACTTCAACATATCAGGCTCCATCTTTAGTTCAGAAATATGCAATACAATTTCCAATGAGTTAAAGGTCAACTGTGCGCCATGCTTATACTCTAATCTAAACTGATTTGAATGATGAAGCCTCTAGTAGGGAAGTCATTGTGTCCTTTTGTCCTTGTCACAAGTACACGCTCTTAAGGGACTCTGTGGATTGACACACTCTGCTGGTTAATGGATTAAAGGGACGTGCACTTTCATAGTGACGTGTAGTTGTCCCATTTTATGTTTAGATACCACATTTTCACCTTCAGTAAAATGCACAGTTCAGCTTAAAATGAAAACACTGCATTTACTCATTCACATTGTTCCGAATTGATCAGACATTAATCTTCAAAACACATGTAAGGAATATAGCACTTTATTTTAAGATACAATTCTGCTATTAACAAACCATTTACTATATGACATTTAACAACAATAAACTCCCATTTTGCTGCTTATTAGTTTAGTTGTTAGGTTTAGATGTTGATAGGATTAAGGATGTGGAATAAGATCGTGCAGAATATGTACAGTATTTCTGTTCAGTTTTTTTAATTTATTTCACTAATATTATTGTGATATACTCATTCATTCATTTTCTTTTCGACTTAGTCCTTTTATTAATCTGGGGTTGCCACAGCAGAATTAACTGCCAGCTTATCCAGGATTTGTTTCATGCAGCGGATGCCCTTCCAGCCGCAACCCATCACTGGGAGACCCATACACACTCATTCTCACACATACAAACACTATGGACAATTTAGCTTACCCAGTTCACCTTACCGCATGTCTTTGGACTGTGGGGGAAACTTTAGCACCCAGAGGAAACCCACTCAAACACTGGGAGAACATGCAAACTCCACACAGAAACGCCAACTAACCCAGCCGTGGATCGAATGAGCGACCTTCTTGCTGTGAGGCAACAGCACTACCCACTGCGCCACTGCGTCACCTATTGTAATATAATAATAGTAATATTAAAATGTTCATATGATGTATTTACTATACAGTTTGTAAAGTAAGACTTTCTGTCTTTTAGTAGATATATTATATGAGACTTGCTTTGTTTACCAAATATGTGGATCTAATTGGATTTGCATTGTAAACGTTAAATAAAAGTTAAAAATGTATTATTTTTATTTCATATGTTAAGTTTTTAGTTTCGATACTTCTAATATCATTCTGCACAAATCTGCAGATTTTTCACAAAATTCTCTGCATAAATAGCAAACAATGTCTGCAGATTCCGTCTGGCCCTTGTAATAAGCCAGTAGTTACTAGTCCTTAAACTAAAGTGTTTCTGAAACAGTTCACTAAAATATGAAGATTAGCCTATAAAGTTATCGTTGGTGTTAGTGTCTTGCTTCTTTTAGATGAATGCAATCAGAGTTAGATTAAATAATATCCCCTCTGCTATAGGATTTTGTAATGACAGTGAATGATGCCTGAGTTTTTAAAGTTCCAATAAGAACATCCATCCACTATAAAAGCAATCTACACGACTCCAGGGAGTTAATGAGTATTTATATTTGTATACTGATGTTTTTATTTGGAAAATATTGGATGTATGGACAAATACGCACTAATGTTGATATGATTTTTTTTTTTTTTTGAGCCTGAAAATGTACAGCTAAACATAAACAGACAGTGGACAACTGATTTTTTTGTTCAAAATTTTACCCAGGGAAAACAATAAAAGAAACCTCTTGGTTCCCAAAACCATTTACAAATTCCAGTTCTCATGTCTTTCGCACTATTGACATCTTCTAGAGCATCTTCTAAATGTACAAATCAATAATTGATTTTCTTGTTAAGCTTAATTTAGATAATGGTCAAATTAAAGTGGTCATAAACTAAAAAACAAAAATTTCCTATAAAAATATCCTGTAAGTTTTGTAGCTCAAACCTTTGTTGTTGCTCTGAAAACAGCTTATATTGAAGGCTGTCTGCCAAAATGACATCAAATGGAATGTTCTACTCTATGATGTAATAATGTGAATAAATCCCGCCTATGCATAAGATCAATGCCTATTTCTACATCACTGCCTGTTTAGCACTGTTAATATGCATGACCAATCATAGCAGTGTGCATTTACTTCTGAGTCTACAGTCCACCACACCCATTTAAGCATTTGGATGAGCATCAAAAACAGCACAAAAAATAGTCATTAACATTCTGTTAACAGATATTGTTGCTTTTTATTATGAACACATTAAAGGTGAGTAATACACAATGTGCATCCAGTTCGCACATGTGTTTTGAATTGTATTTGAACATTTGTTAAAAACAGTTGTTGAAAAGTTGTTAAAATAATAACTACTGTATATGTTGGGTTTAAGAATAAATATGGCTTATAAGTTTTATTTCAGTAGTTTTTCTTGATAATCTGTATCAGAACACCCATTCTGATTGAATTATCTTGTTCATTTTGCAGGTTTTTTGCAAAAGTGAATTATTTAAGACAACAATTTAAGCAACAACAACAATTCATCTTTCTACCTCTGACAAGATCAGCCATCAACTCCGTTTGACCACAAATCTCTCTGAAGATCTCTTACATTTAGCCCATTATATTGCTGCAGGGACAAACCCTCAGCCAATCCAGTGGCTGACGGGTTTGGGGGAGGAGGAGCTTGAAGTGTCATCAGGAGAGTTGTGAAGTTGGTGGCGAGCAGCAGGCTGCTGGGGCCCGAATGCAGAATATCCTCGAGCAGAACTTGGACATGGCCACGGCTCTGCTTGCGGGTGAGAAGCTGAAGGAGTTGATCATGCCAGGATCCACACAGGATGAGAAAGGCGGGGTACTCGCGGGTCTCATGGTGCAACTCAAACTAGAGCTGCCCTTTGACCGGGTCGTCACCATTGGGACTGTCATCATCCCCATACTGCTGGTCACATTAGTTTTCACGCGGAACTTTGCAGGTTAGTGGTGGACAAATGTACCTAATGAATACCTTAAAATTTGCAAAGTGACTTTTGAGAGACTGCTGGGTTTAATAGATTTTTGTGGCCTTTAGCAACAGCAGTTTATATAAATCAGTTCTTTCATTCATTCAAATGTTCTTCACACTAAGAAATAAAGGGTTCTTTTAAGAACTGTTCAATGAAAGGTTATTTGGGGTGAACAATTTTAAAGGTTACGAAAGGTCTTGTAATGTAAAAGCACATTATGGTTCCCCTTAGAACTTTTCAGATAACACATTATTTCTAAAAAAGTTTCAGAAATGAGATTTTCACAGCAATGCTGTTGAAGAATCATTTGTGGTTCCCCAAAGACCTTTTCAATTAACAATTCTTAAAAAAACTATATTTTAAAGAACATTTTAATAACAAATTTGAACCACAGATTCTTTAGGACAGTCGAGAGGTTTCATGTATGGTAAAAGTTCTTCATGCCAGTTTAGAGCTAGTGCTAATTTCATCAACAAAAATAGAGGTGAAAAAATGTTGCCTATAGCTTGCCACAAACAGAAATTTCACAGGTCAACTCTGTGCCAGTACTGTGAGTGAAAACTATGAATGCTTGTGCTCTAATCCTCTCTTCTAATGAATCAACATCACATTATTGTTCATGTAAAAATATAAGACTAAAATTTTAGCAAAATTATGAAAACTAATGAGTGTGTCAGAGCTCAAGCTTTCAGTCATGTTATTGGTGCAGCAGACCTGTGAAGTTTCTGTTTGTGTTAAGCCATTTTCATTGTCAAAATGAACACTGTTTAGAACCTATTTTTTAAGAGAGCATTCAAAACATCCATTATTAAAAGAAACTTTGATATAATTAAATGTTTCCGGAGATGTTAAATGCTCTTCGTGTAATCACTGATACCAATACAAAATATATATTTAAAGAAATTTTGCTATTGCATACAAATACATCAGAGATTGTTTTGCATTTACACAACTTGGCGCTAATAAGGGAGCGCCAGATTTATTAAGTTGTTCAGCACTATCAAACATTCTACTTCACACTAAGAAATAAATGGCTCTTTTAAGAACTGTTCGATAAAAGGTTCTTTGGGGTGTACAATTTTAAAGGTTACAAAATGTTTTTTTTTTTTTGCAGTGATGCAATGTAAAAGCATATTATGGTTCTTCAAAGAACTTTTCTGACAACACATCTTTTCTAAAAAAGTTTCAGAGATGGGATTTTCACAGCAGTGCTGTTGAAGAATCATTTATGGTTCCCCAAAGACCTTCTGAGTTAATAGTTTTTCAAAAAACTATATTTTAAAGGACTTTTTAATAACATATTTCAACCACAGATTCTTTAGGACAGTCGAGCGGTTTCATGTATGGTAAAAGTTCTTCATGCCAGTTTTGAGCTAGTGCTAATTCCATCAACAAAACAAGAGTTCAGATGCAAAAGCCTCTAAGTGACATCTGAAATTTAATTCGAATATTAGAATTTTCCCTGCCCCCTTTGTTTATGTTGAGTTATTTCACTTTAAAGACCATGAAAAAAATTAATTCTTTGCCATGAAAATGAAACTACTGAACCTACACACAGGAGCCTGATAAAAATGCTCATTTTAAAAGAAAATTTCAGATGGCATTTAGAGGTTTTTGCATCTGAACTTGTCCTCTGCACAAGTACTGTGACTAAAAACTCTAAATGCTTGTTCTCTGATCTTCTCAACTAATGAATCAACATCACATTATAAGACGAGATTAAAATGTAGCCAAAATTATAAAAACTAATGAGTGTGTCAGAGCTCAAGCATTCAGTCATGGTATTGGTGCAGCAGACCTGTGAAGTTTCTGTTTGTATCAAGTCTTATTTCGTTGAGTAAATGACCACTATTTTCGGAGAGCATTCAAAAAAATCATTTTTAAAAGAAACTTTGATGCAATGAAATCAATGAAAGTGAAAAGTTTTTGGAGATGTTATATGTTCTTCATGTAATCACTGCCCAGCAGGTATAGGGTGTCAACATGACATCAGTTTGATGTTGTACCCCAACGTCGTGGGGATGTGGCATTTTGTTTAAAAAAAAAGTCCAATGTCAGGCCGACATCTATGTCCAACATCCAGCCTAAAATCAACCAAATATCAACGTCTTATAATGTTACAGCTTGACGTTGTGTGGACGTTACCACTATGACGTCTATCAGACAATGGATTTTGATTACCATACCTCATGAATCAATGTCAGGATTTGACGTTAATATGACGTCAGTTTAAGATGTTAGTTCAACGTTGGATTTTGGTCACTTTCCAACACAACCTACCATCAACCAAACATCAACATCATTTGCCATCGTTATTGGATGCTAAAATAACGTTGTCCTTAGACGTTGGCTAAGTTGTTCAGCTCTATCAGACATTCTGTCACCCTACAGTCCACTGCTGTCCAGCACTGGAGTGGTTAAATTATTTTTGCCAGAGATTGTAGGGTGATTAAGTAGGAAAGAGAGAAAAAGAGAGTTAAAGAGAGGTTGTGGTGGTAGGGAGGGGGTTTACTCTAAACGCTGAGTCAGTCTTACTGCATAGCAGCACCAACTGGCTGTGACTGAACATTGAGAACCCTGCTGGGCAGAAACATGCAGTATAGTTTAAATCTGCATAACTATTGGAAACATACTATACTAATATTTATGCTTAGAAAAGCTGTAGTAGGAAAACCTGGGAGACTGCAGCTAATCTGCGTGTTCATACAATTTTAGGGCTACTACATTAACATTGCACTATTTTAAACAGACTCACTTATTTGAATATTAATGAAGGTCAAACCCTCGTTGTTGTGTTGGATGAAGCTGTTTCTTAGATTAAATGCTTTGACAATAGTTGGAATCTATAAAATATGTAGATCCTATAACCATATAGGTCTATTCCTATGACACACCAATTATTATGTACATTTTTATTCTAAAAAATTAGCTTATCACCACATTATCTTGCTTAACTTACATTATTGATTCTGTGCAGGAGTGTAATCCACTGAGAGCCAGAATAATGTGGAGGTGTCTATAGGAGTTACAGCAGCTGTGGAAGAATTATACCTCTTATCTTTTTCCAGCTGGCGCAGATAAATGTACCGTTTGTTTAATTACTAATTCATCAGTAGTTTAACCTGTAGTGCCTTACACAGTAAACCCAGTCCACCTAATAGGAAGCTGATGACAGCTTATTACTAGAAACAAATCTGCCAGATTTTCCAGGACATAGGCAGTTGTTATGTCCAGTGTTAACAATTTAGATTATAGTTTTCATTTCATTAATTAATTAATTAATTCATTCATTCATTCATTCATTCATTCATTTTCTTTTTGGCTTAGTCCCTTTATTAATTAGGGACAGCGGAATGAACCGCCAACTTATCCAGTATATGTTTTACGCATTACTGGGAAACACCCATACACTCTCATTCACACACACACACACACACACACACACACACACACACTACGGACAATTTATCTTGTCCAATTTACCTATAGCGCATGTCCTTGGACTGTGAGGGAATCCGGAGCACCCGGAGGAAACCCACGCGAACACAGGGAGAACATGCAAACTCCACACAAAAATGTCAACTGACCCACCCAAGGCTCAAACCAGCGACCTTCTCACTGTGTGTTCACGTTCAACCACTTCCAGGTGAAATAATTAAGAAAGAAAAAATCCTTAATTCAGACTCTTACACGTCCTGATTTAAAAACAAACTTACTATACAACATTCTGTATCAATTTTCTGATAATAGAGCACAAACAACAGCTGCTCATTTTTGTCATTTTCTGTGTTCTATTTTTACTTAATGTGTAAATTGTGCAATTCAAAAGTTCCTATTTAGATATGCTTGGTATTAATAGCAGGTTTGGCATGCTGTCCTGGGAGAGAACCCAGAGCTCGGAGATAATTGAGCCCAAGGCTCCCGTTCGGTCAATAAACATATAAGGGGATCCGAGATAAGATAGGTCTTGAAAGCTTCTTTAGAAAAGGGAGAAAAAGGAGGAGGTGGGGTGGAAGGGGGGATTCTTCCAAAATCAGAATCAGTTTTATTGCCAAGTGTGCTTCACACACACAAGGAATTTGTTTTGGCTACAGATGCTTCCAGTGTACATAAAGTGACAAGTGACAACACTAAATAAAAATGAAAAAAAGACGATAAACATTAAACAGAGATGCAGTTAGTCAAGACAAGAAATCTGGATGTTAAGTTGTATGTACAAGTTTGTTATAAATATACAGGTAATACGATGCTATGTACAAATGTGAATGGAGAAAGTTTTGCATTTTATATTGATATAAGGTGCTTTGTACAAGTGCGTATGAGAAAGTGTTGCACATATTTATTGCACAGTTAGAGTATATTTAACTGTTCATGAAGTAGATGGCCTGAGGAAAGAAACCTTTCTTGTGTCTGGCTGTTTTTGTTCTTGGTGCTCTGAAGCGCCGACCAGACAGTAACAGTTCGAACAGGTAGTGTGCTGGGTGCGAGGCGTCCAGAGTGATTGTGCAAGCCCTTTTATTCACTCTGGAAGAGTACAGTTCTTGAAGTGTAGTAAGGGAAGTGCCAGTGGTTCGTTCAGCAGTCCGGACTATTCGCTGTAGTCTACGGAGGTCGGTTTTGGCAGCTGAGCTGAACCAGACAGTGATTGAAGTGCAGAGGATGGATTGGATGACAGCTGAGTAGAACTGCACGAGCAGCTCCTGTGGCAGGTTAAACTTCCTCAATTGACGAAGGAAGTACAGTCTTTGCTGGGCTTTCTTCAAAATAGAGTCTATGTGAATGTCCCACTTAAGATCCTGAGAGATGGTGATGCCCAGGAACCTGAATGACTCCACTGCAGCCACAGTGCTGTTCATAATGGTGAGTGGGGGGAGTGCAGGGGGGTTTCTCCTGAAGTCCACTATCATCTCCACTGTTTTGAGCGTGTTCAGCTCCAGATTGTTGTTTCTGCACCTTAACGCCAGTGAAGGTAGAACAGTAGCAAAAAATCAGTCTATTTATTATAAGCTTGGATCAATCTGATTGGATTATTATTGATTACAGATGAGCAGCCAGTCATGCTTAATCATAACACATGCCTCTCTTGAAATTAGTTTACGAAACTTCACTTAAAATAATTGACCAGTGGTGGTGTGCTTTTTTTTCTATCTTTTTTATTATTTTCTTTAAAACATTCATCAGCCCGTCAGAACTAAGCAATCAAAAGCCCCATAGAATAATGAGAAAATTATAAATCTAAACTCCACTAAAAGATATCAGGAAAGTCATAGCAGACAATAAAGATGAATTAAAACAAAACAGAAATCAGTGCCTCAGTTACTGTATAGGTATTATTTGATGTGACTGGGTTTCGACTCTGGTGGTATCTACTTGATAAGTATGGAATACTTTTGATTATTTTGTAAAGTGATTTTTTGTCGCTTTCTCTTTCAGAGGAATCTATATATTGTTACACCCCACACAACTTTACACGAGACCAGGCCCTTTATGCCAGAGGCTACTGCTGGACAGAGCTGCGGGATGCAGTGCCTGGAGTCGACCCTGAACTTCGTCCGTCATTGTTCGAGCACAAGTTTCTACCCTATGCTCTGCTGGCCTTCGCAGGCATCATGTACATACCTGCTCTGGGATGGGAGTTCATGGCCTCCACTCGCCTCACCTCTGAGCTAAACTTTCTCCTTCAAGAGATCGACAACTGCTACCACAGGGCGGCAGAGGGCAGGGCGCCCAAGATCGAGAAGCAAATCCAATCCAAAGGGCCTGGAATTACCGAGCGCGAGCGACGGGAGATCATTGAAAATGCTGAGAAGGAGAAAAGTCCCGAGCAGAACCTGTTTGAGAAGTATCTTGAGCGCCGAGGGCAGAGTAACTTTCTTGCTAAGCTATACCTGGCGAGACATTTAGCCATTATCTGCCTCAGCTCAATACCTATAACATACCTGAGCGCCTACTATGCCCGTCAGAGGCAGAATGAGTTTACTTGTGCACTTGGCGGGCCGCCAGACACAAGTAGCATTCCTGAACTGAGGCTGAATGTGAACTGTAAGCTACCAGCCGTGCAACTCCAGCGCATCATGGCCGCGGTGGACATTGCTTTGCTGTGCACCATGAACCTCATTATCCTTTTGAACTTGCTGCATTTGTTTGTAGTGCGCAAGTCCAATTTTGTCTTTGACAAGCTACACAAAGTCGGCATTAAAACACGCCGGCGCTGGCAGAAGTCACCGTTTTGTGACATTAACATTCTGGCCATGTTCTGTAATGAGAATCGAGACCACATTAAGTCTCTCAACAGACTGGATTTTATCACCAACGAGAGCGACCTCATGTATGATAATGTGGTGCGGCAGCTGCTGGCAGCGTTGGCTCAATCAAACCACGATGCCACTCCAACCGTGAGAGACTCTGGTATCCAGACTATTGACCCTAGTATGGACCCTTCAGTGCTCGGTGTGGGAGAGCTGGGAGGAGAGCCCTCGGTAATCAAAAGACCTCGCAAAAAGATGAAGTGGATCCCCACATCTAACCCTTTGCCGCAGTCTTTTAAAGTAAGACTTGGCTTCCGATTCTTGTTCATTGTTATGTGTTTGATTAATTGCTTATTATGATCTTTTTTTCTACTGCTGAAATGCAATGTGCATTTTGTTCTTATACAGGAACCCTTGACTCTAACAAGACTGGAAAATAGCATAAAGGCAGAGAAACCTAAACCAGTCCGAAGGAAGAATGTAGCAGATAGCATTATTGCTCCACTTCTGGACAGCAAGAGCACACAGTATCCTCCTACTAGCAAAGGTATCCTTCTACTAGCAAAAGGACCTTTTTAAAGAGCTTACTGTAAATTGACCTATTGGGAATTGCTACATTTTGAATTGCTAATGTGATTTGAATCCTTCTCTAATGTTTTTTTCTCATTGTATTTTTCAGATACATATAATACACAAAAGAAGCACTCTCTTAACCTCTCGCTGGATGTTCATCCCTACATGCTGACTATCCAGAAAGCTGAAACAGTCAACCCTGAGCCTCCCCCCGTGGAGCACTCTATCAGTAGTGTGTATATTGAGGGCCCACATACAGTTGTCCATGTCTCATCTACTCTTACTGGTACAGTATGCTTGGATTGCCTTCGGGGATACAAAATTTATCAAAATTTATGTTGTTTTGTTTTTATTTTATCAATATAAGACATATTATAGAGTGGGTGCAGTGATCACACATTCCCTACAGGCACAGGACACCAAAATGATGCCATATTAACCTTGTACCTCAACGTCGTAGGGATGTTGGATTTTGTTTGGAGATGAAAATCAGGTTGACGTCAAAATTCAAGGTCAAACCAACGTCGATGTCTAACGTCCAACCTCAAATCAACCTAAAATCAACCAAATATCAACATCTAATTATGTTACACCTTGACATTGTGTGGACGTTACCACTATAACATCTATCAGATGTTGGATTTTGGTCACTTTCCAACACAACCTAAAATCAATCAAATATCAATGTAATTTGATGTCAATATTGGACGTCAAAATAACGTTGTCCTTAGACGTAGGCAGGACATTGAATTTTGGTCACCTGGCGTCATGACCTAGATCTAACTTAATATTAATGTCTTATGATGATGTGTGCCTGCTGGGTACTGTAGGCAGGCCAATAAGTTGGGTTTTCTTAACAAAATGCCAGTAGGATTTTTCAATTGGCTTTTGAATTATTGCTAAAAATCAAGGTGATCACAAATTAACATAATACTTATGAATTTTTAACACAAAATATGGTAGATTCTAGAACAGGGGTCACCAATCTTTTTGAAACTGGGAGCTACTTCTTGGGTACCGATTAAAGTGAAGGGCTACCAGTTTGATACACACTTCTCAAATAAAAAATTTGCTCAATTTACTTTTAATTATGTGTTATTATTAATAATTAATGATATTCATCTATGTAAAGACAATGATCATGTTAATGTTTTCTCACAAAAGATATTTAAGTATCTACTTATGTGAGTAGTATGTCCAAATTCATAGTATTCGAAAAACAGTATGCGAGAAGTACCCGGATGACCTACTATTTTTGGCAAAGACTCTGAAGAGCACATATGATGGACGCTACGCTATCACAAGATGCCATGCGAGAGAATTCATAAATGGGAATAAAGCGACACAACTGATGTGGGTAGGTCATGTGACAATGGTGGCTATAGTACATCCGTGTTCCATTCATAGTACTGACGTGCATACTATATAGAACATACTTTTTTAATACTCATATAGTAAACTCAAATTCAAATGTGACACCTACTCAAGTAATAGGCAATTTCAGACGCAGCCATTCCCAGCAGGCACACAACATCATAAGACGTTAATATTAGGTTAGATTTAGGTCATGACATCAGGTGACCAAAATTCTATGTCTAGCCAGCCCTTATGGACAACGTTATTTTAACATCCAATAACAAAGTCAATTAAGTTGATATTTGGTTGAATTTAGGTTGTGTTGCAAAGTGATCAAAACCCAATGTCTGATAGATGTCACACCGTCTACACAATGTTAAGGTGTAACAAGGTGATTAGATGCTGATATTTTGTTGATTTTATATTGATTTTAGGTTGGACGTTGGATATCGACATCGGTCAGACGTTGGGTTCTGACGTCAACCTGATTTTCATTTCCAAACAAAATTCAATGTCCCCATGACGTTGGGGTAAAATGTCAATATGACGTCATGTTGACCTCCTGTGCCTAAAGGGTTGTCTTCAAAATTCACTACAAATCTATAGACAGGTCTGTTTGGAGCTAAATTCTGCAGGACACTGGACCTCCAGGGCTGAGTGTGCCCATTCCTGTTCCAGAATATACAGTACTATGCAAAGGTCTTAGACCAACGACAGCTGGGTTGTTTTAACAAAGTTTCAATGACCATGCATGCATATGTTTTGGTCTCTTCATTCAGATTCAAAGATAAGATATTAAGACTAAAGTGGCATTAGTGTGTTCACCCTTGGCACTCTTCTGTAGACTGAGGCTACGTCTAAAATCGCCCACTACTCGTGTGGGTACTATGTTTGAATTTGACTTTGCTACACAACCGTTAGAAAAGAGATTTCTATATAGTATGAATGTGAGTAGTAAGAATGGATTATGAATGTACTACTGCTGCCATTAGTCATTATCACGGGACCTACCCACATCATGTCACTTTTCTTCCATTCATGAATTCTGTCGCTTGGCATCATGGGATTGCGTAGCATTCTTTGAATGCGCATTACAGAATCTCACCGGAAGTAGTAGGCCATAGTGTTTTATACTGTAAATGAATTTGGACATACTACTTAGCTCACATACTATAGCAGGGAAGTATGCGATTATGGACGCAGCCTGAGGCTTCCTTTAGTACTTACCCCAGTCTATGTACTGTAAAGTACATTTTGGCATAACATTATTACCATTTCTGCTTGATGTTTTATTTACCTCGCTCACTTTGGTTAATATTTACTACACTAATAATTTATTAGCACTTTCATGTTTTCATGATTAAACCTAATTTTATGTTGTTACAAAAAGGTTTAAAGCAACTGGTAACATTTTATATTGATGGTCCATTTGAGTATTAGTAGACTGTCTGCTTAATATCTGTTGATACTGCTCCTTCAACAGACATTTAACTGACTATAAGAAACTTTGCAAGTACATATCAGCTTACACTAACCCCAACCCCAACCTAACAGTCTACTTATAATCTAATCAGAATTAGCTGGCATATAGATACAATCTAACTTAAATTCAACAAACAGACCATCAAAATAAAGTGTGACCAAACAACTTATTTAACAATATACAACTGACATAGTTTATATTGATATTACTGATAATTCTGTGCAATCTTTTTGTCCTCTTAGAAAAGAAAGAGTCTCCTCCACTGTCCACCACCACTGCCTTCTCCACAGCCACTCTCCCTACAAACTCATATTTGAATGGTGGGACGGCCAGCATGCCTCCTCCTCTAGACTCCCCAAAAGTCATAGGTCCTCTCAACCAGGAGACAGAGCCTGAGAGCCAGCCTGTGCCATTTAGTCGAAACCCCTCACTCCCGCTGCTGAGCATTCATCATACCTTATATGAAAAGGATGAGGACGATCAAAACAGAAGACTAGCCAGACCGGGCGAGCTGATTGCTGCTGGAGAGTGTTAAAGGAAAATGCAGAAACAGGCCTGCATGCACACAAACACACAACAATGCAAAAGCACTTAGAGCATCAACTGAAGCACAAAGGAATATGCTGGTTTTTAGGATCATATCTATATAGTTTGATGTTATGGGTAGATCTCAGATTATTCCATTTCTAAGAATTGGGGAAGGCGATGCTTAGCATTAAAAAATTCTTAAAGGTGCACTTTATTTAGGTTCAAATGATCAAATTATTTTTATTTTTAATTGAATAGTGTGATATATGACAGTGTTAGATTTAATGTATGCAGATTTTGGTTACTGATATGACTCTTGAACTATATATTGAAACTAGTTTCTGCCATTAGAAATAAATCTTATTCTTTTTCCGGTCACTTTATTAGGTACACCTGTCCAACTGCTCGTTAACACAAATTTCTAATCAGCCAATCACATGGCAGCAACTCAATGCATTTAGGCATGTAGACATGGTCAAGACGATCTGCTGCATTTCCAAACGAGTATTAGAATGGGGAAGAAAGATGATTGAAGTTTCTTTAAACGTGACATGATTGTTGGTGCCAGATTCTTTATGTATTTCAGAAACCGCTGATCTACTGGGGTTTTCAGGCACAACCATCTCAAGGGTTTACAGAAAATGGTCCAAAAAAGAGAAAATATCCAGTGAGCGGCAGTTTTGTTGGCACAAATGCGTTGAAGATGCCAGAGGTCAGAGGAGAATGGCCATACTGGTTCAAGCTGATAGAAAGGCAACAGTAACTCAAATAACCACTCGTTATAACCAAGGTATGGAGAAGAGCATCTCTGAACGCACAACACATTTAACCTTGAGGCGAATGGGCTACAGAAGCAGAAGAACACACCGGGGGCCACTCATGTCAGCTAAGAACAGAAAACTGAGGCTACAATTTGCACAGGCTCACCAAAATTGGACAATCAAAAACTGTAAAAACGTTGCCTGGTCTGATGAGTCTCGATTTCTGCTGCAACGTTTGGATGGTACGGTCATAATTTGGCATCAACAACATGAAAGCATGGATCCATCCTGCTTTGTGTCAATGGTTCAGGTTGCTGGTGGTGGTGTAAAAGTGTGGGGGATATTTTCTTTGCCAGATAGTACCAACTGAGCATCGTGTCAACACCACAGCCTATTATTGTTGCTGACCATGTCCATCCCTTTATGACCACAGTCTACTCATCTTCTGATGGCTACTTCCAGCAGGATACCATGCCATGTCATAAAGCACAAATCATCTCAGACTGGTTTCTTGAACATGACAATGAGTTCACTGTACTCAAATGGCCTCTACAGTCACCAGAGCTTAATCCAATAGAGCACATTTGGCATGTGGTGGAACGGGTGATCTGTATCATAGATGTTCAGCCAGCAAATCTGCAGCAACTGCGTGATGTTATCATGTCATTATGGACCAAAATCTCTGAGGAATATTTCCAGTACCTTGTTGAATCTATGCCATGAAGGATTAAGGCAGTTCTGAAGGCAAAAGAGGGTCCAACTCTGTATTAGGAAGGTGTACCTAATAAAGTGGCCGGTTAGTGTATATATCAAACCTCAACCTACCCAAAACCAAACCTTAAAGGTGCACTGAGCAATATTTGAAATTGCTCTTCACCACAGTGTTGGACAGAGTTCCAAAACACATCCAATCAGGAGTACGAGGTGTATATACTAACTATAGCGATAGAGAGATACCAAAAGTTGCAAGTTCATGTTGGGTTATGGCCGTATTTGTTCCAAATAACAACATTGTTTGGCAAAATTTGTACTTTTTTTATAGTAAAACACTGTGTGCATGTAAACACATATATTGTAAAATAAAGTGATACAAATATTTATTTAAGTTAAAAAGTGCACCTCTAAACATCATTACCCAGTCTTACATTCAAAGAAGATTAAGGGAAAATAAAATCGCCCATGACTTTGGTGCTCACCATATGGGTTAAAGAGTTCCCTAGGACATTCCAAATGAAGGCAAAGTCCCATTAGATTTTTGCACAAAGCACCATTTGTTCCTGTTTAACGTAGTGTCAATGCACTTTTGTGTTTTTTTTACACATTCAGTGTCGGCTTCATATAGATGTCTTGAGGTATTCAACGCAATACATGCATTCTTAAAATATGCAACCTCATTTCCTACTGTTGCAATAATATGCACATTTGGAATGTATATACTTAGCTGTACAGAAAAAAAGTTCTTAGATATGAGAGACTATAGGCTTTTTTTAAATGACGTTCATCTACACCTCTGGTGCACTTACTCAATGAGACTCTATCACTCTGGATCATTCAACTCCGGATCGCTTGAGGATATGTGGATCCTTATACCAGCTTTTTTAAAAGCTGTTTTGTGACAAACAGATTTCAGCTGCTCCAGACAGATGTTTTCCAACTGAAGCGGATTCATAAAATGGGCTTTTGATACCTACTGTATGTCCCCATGAACCACAACTCGTGTAAAAAATCATTTTATCTTTGTAAAACCTAGTTAAAACCTTTGATATTCGACGATTCCCTTTGTGGTGAAGTATTAGAAATGCCCTGCCAAAACACCTTTACAAGAAGCGCACAACAATTCACAGCAAATAGATCCCAGGAGAACCTGTTACCACATGGCATGAGATTGATATTAGGAGTAGTTGTTGCAGCTCACTGTTTTTTTAGCATATATTATGGTCCAAGTGCAATATTTTGATAATGATTATGCGATACAGGGAAGATCATGATTCACAATACCATCAGATTGGAAGGAACCGCACTTGATTTTTCAGGCTTGGATCTTTGTGAATATAATTTGATAGTATTATGGGTGCTAATATCAAGCTTGAAAATATTGTGGTGGCATTCAGCATTTGAGACTGAAAATGTTCAAAGGGGGTTAGGCACTATGGTTAAAATGTGTATGGCTTACGTCACCTAGTTTGTTTTGTTCTTGCATTTAGTGCAATTTCATTTTTTGTTGTCTATTTTGGCACAATTTCTTAAGAAATGTTTTATATATATGTGTGTGTGTGTGTGTGTGTGTGTATTTCTGGAACTGCAGCATATCAACCAAGTAATCTGCTTAGAGAAATAAATTATGCTAAATAGAAAAATGTTAGATTATCACATGGGTTGTATACTGCATGTCCAAAAGTTAAGCATATATTATTCACATAGGAAAAAAACATACATTTGAATCATAAACCCAAAAACTCACAGTCTGTCTTGCACATTTCAGCCCTTCATCCTTTTCTGTATGTTTGCTGAGATATCTCTGTTATAGATGAAGCTCAGAAAGAAGTATATAAAATTCATAATGTTGTAAGATTCTGTTTGAAGTTTTTTTTTGTTTATAAAGTGAACAAAATGTTTCATTTAGCTCATGGAAATTAAAATGAAAATCCCGCCCGTTAGGTCCTTAGACTGTAAAAGGTACACCTTGTTGGCATCAACAAAAAAAAAAAAAAAAGATTTTTCTATCATTTCATATGTTCTGGTTTATTGGAGAATTTTCACCAGGTAAGAAAAAATCTGTCTTAAAAAATCATAATTATGACTAAAGGTCAAAATTATGATACACAGTGTCTGGCAAAAATACATTAAATGTATTTTAAAATATCATACCAAATACCCTGTTTTTAGGTGTATCTAAACAAACTACAAAATACAGCAGCCACTAATGTATCAAAATAAAATACTGTAGATTTGTATTTTAAAAAATAATACAAAATATTTTTACAAGCATGCTTCTTTGAAAACCTATTTGATCAGTCCCTTCACTGTTAGGTGTGAAGTAAACAATATTTGATAGCAACAGCTTTTCTCTGAGCAAGTTTTAGCAGACCCTCTGCCACCTCGTTCACCTACTGTACATGAGTATCTATACATTTTTTTTAACTTGTTTCTTTTTTATTCATTTAGTATATTTTTGTACAAATTTCATACAGAAAGCCCTGTTCAATGCAGATAATGTGTTAGAAAATAGTACTATATCTGTTATGTTTCCACCCACCCATTGTGTGGCCAGTAAAATTGATATATTCACGTAGCCTATAATGATTATTCAACGTCCTACAATTCTTATATTTTAAAAAGGTGTTTTATTAAGTGTTTTATTGTTAAATGATTTTTTTCTTCTTTCTTTATAAGATATTACCTGAGTCCTGTGTTTTTGACTAGTCTGTGGACTAAATTGCTATATTATTAAATATTGTCCCACTTTGACATCTTCAGGCAGACATCTTTCCTTATTAACTACATGATGTTTAAACAGCTAGTGAGGTATTGGTATCGCCGTGATGTTATGCATAGTTTCCTTGCATACTCCAAGCACTGACCACCTTCTTTAATGTTAATCTGAAAAACAAAAAAAAAAACAGCATATGCTGGTTTTAATGCTGGTCTTGCTGGTTTCAATGCTCATTTTGTTGGTCTTGATGCTGGTCTTGCTGGTTTCAGTGCTGGTCTCAATGATGGTCTTGCTGGTCCTGATTAGCAGGGCCATCATTGAGTACAGCAAGACCAGCATAACAGAATTAAAACATACCTTACCAGCATATGCTGTTTTTCAGCAGGTTTTTCTGGTCTGATCTCAAGCATATTCAAATAACTGAGAAAGCACCAATCAAAGGCAGAATCTTAATGATTTCATCATGCAGCCTTACAAAATATTTTACAGTATTTTCAAACTACAAAAATACAAGACACTAAAGTATTTTAGTACAAAATATTAAGCTATTTTCATCAACCCTATCAAATTCAAATTCCAAAATACTATTTCATTTGACTATTTCTATTATATTTTGTATTTGAAATACATATTTGAAATAAATGAACCATAAATACTACCTATCCCTGATGATACATATAGAAATTACGACACACAATGACCACATTAAATTGATCTTCATTTACTATTAACACAACAAAATGATGCTTCAGACATGACAGTGATACATCTATACAATGGTGCACTTAAAAAAATTAGAGAAGATTTTGCTGCAAAATAAAGATCACTGGGGCCATATTTCGGCATATAACCCTATATTTCTTCATAATTAATATATAAAAATTTATTAGAGCTTGTACCAAACAAAAGAAAAAGTGTCTATGGACTACATTACCCAGCAACCGCTGCAATGGGCGGCGCTACATCTTTACTTCATACCACAAGCAGATGACTAGCTCTAACTTTAATCATTTCAGTTTTGCCGAAGCTAGCATACAAACCACAGACAGGGGGGTTGATTTAATAATATTTACATGTCTCTAATGTTAAAATGTAATATTATAATCGCAACAGTGAGTGAACTACATAACTTATTCTCGGGCAGTCCAGTAAACTTTTGAAGGGGCTTAGCTAATATTAGCATAGCATCAGCTAACAGCTGCGTGGATGTGTGCGCATTCAACGTTAGCCTGTAGCCTAGCTACCTGGTCAGGAATCATCAATTTCTACAACTGACAGTCCAGTCGGACCCGTTACTTTCCGTGGAAAGAGTGGACAAGCTCTCTATCAAGTCAAATGTAAGAGTTATGTTTTATATTCGTTGCTTTTCGGAGTGATGTCTGAGATTGCAGCCAGTCCCATCAGATTTGCGGTTTAGTTTCACCTTCTTGTCAGTAGTGTCAGTTGGTTTACAGTTTAACTTTGAAATACTATCATTTTAAATGTGTCTTTTTCAAAATAAATGTTTATGAAATCATTTCGGAAGCTTAAAAAGAAAAGAGTTTGATGTGCCAACCAGGTGGTCTGATGACAGTAGGTTGCCAGCTTTTAATGTCTTACTTTTGTAGGATTAGATCTGCTTCTCGGCCAACATAAAACCCGCTTTGTTCAGCAACTTCAAGCAAATGACCATCACATCCAAATCCTCAGCACAACTCCAAATGACCCTGATGTTTTGGAAATACAGTAGTTTGAAAAGTGTACGTGGACTAGTTGGACAAAGCAAGATGGCAGGCTGATTATGAAGTCTGATGACTCACTTAACTGAACCTACCCAAGTACACCAGTCAGAAAAGTTTGAAATCCTTTAATTGGACTGTGTCTGGTTTTCCTAACTGTGTTCCATATTTTCAAAACAAGCCAGTACACAGTCAACAGTCGCAGAGGTGTTCAATTCCATTTTGTGGAGTCATATGTGTGTTTTTATGCATCTGATGTAATATTTTATTTCAGGTTAAGGTTTTAGTGAACAGCGGACAATGGAACAGGACAACAACTCTGAGGTAAGAAAGACAGAGGGATCTTGATGCTTTGTTTGGCCTGCATGGTATGGTTGGAAATTTGTGAACTGATCTTATAATATTGTTAAACTCTGGTCCACTAATATTTAATCTAAAGAGCATTGTAACTATGTAAAACAGATAATGTTTCATGAAAGGGATTCTGTTTCTTTGTTGTTTTATTTACTTTAATTATTATTCAAAAATGAATATTCTGTGAAGTTTTAGACACCCTCCACTTGGTACAAACTTATCTTTGAACACATAAGAAAATATATTAACGGATGTCGGTAACTGATAGCAATTGACATCCAGAGCAGAAAAAATACTATAAAAGTTATTGTCCACCTAAAAGCATAAAGTTTTTCTTTTTAACGTACGTATAGCCTCTTTATTGCCTGCTTGTGGGTACTAAGAGTACTGGACAATGTTTTTGTTTATTTAGCTGGGCATTTCCCACATGAGAAAAAAATGCACAGCGTACTTGAGCTATTTGTTTTACTCGCACTTCAAAATATGATATATCATTCACTTAACCTTGAAAACAAAACTGCTCCATTTGAGTGTCCAAATGAATGCCAAGCTTGTACACACTGGTTTTGTGTACATGGCAAGATTTGAAGAGATTTGTAGGTTATTAAAAATTGTTTTTGTTTGTAGGATGACTCAGTTGGCCCAGCAGAAGATGACACACAACCTCCATTTCCTCTCGGACTCTGTGAGTAATTGCTGATTTAAAGTTCATCAGAGTACTTGGTTTCTTTGAGATTTTTCTTTTGAAATGGTGTTGTGTAGTTTTCAGAATAATTGTACATCATCACTGTTCATGTCAATTTTATAGTAACTAATTGTGTTTATGTATAAAGAAATAATATTATAAAAATAATTAATAATTTGTTAATTCATGGTAATATTATTACTAATTTAAGTTATTTATTGTTAGTTAACAATTTATAATTTTTGAATATTGTTTTTTTTTCCAGTATTTAAGTGTATTCTGTGTTCAGTTGTTTGTTTATATATTGTTATTGTATTAAGTACATCATTAAGTATTTAATACATTATTAGCTATTTATACATGAAAATATAATAATATACTTAATAATGTACTTCATATAATAATAATAATAATAATGTACAAACAAACAAACAAACAAACAAACAAAGAACAGACTTAAACTATATAATCTCCTGTACCATGCTTAATGTAGTTAAGTTACCAATTGAGCTGATTTGATCTGTGAGGATATTTCCAAATGTCACACCACCACAAATGACATGACTAATCTTTCCACTGACGTTTTGTGTACATGTTTTACTTTTAATTTTTCATCATGAGCTTGTATGGTAGAAAATATTTAAGAGTTTTGTAAACTTTTCGGGTTTCAATTTTACTATTTCTATTTTAATACATATTGATTTGATCAAAAAAAAAAATTTCATAAAAATGTACCATGACTTTAAGAAGACACCAACATATTTATTTAGATGTAAAATTAATTAATAAAAAAAGGCATATTTAAAACAAGAAACATTTTTTGGCATATTAAAATACACAATGCACAGCGAAATAGTATTTAATTGTTAATTTAAATCTTCATTTACATCTGTTGTATTGAATGATGATGGAAAATGTTCACCTATATTATTACATTTTATTTTGTAGTAAGTTGAAACATTACACACACACACACACACACACACACACACACACACACACACACACACACACACATATATAATTTGAAATGAAGATTAATTACCCAAGGAATATTTCACAGTATTTCCTATAATTATTTTTCTTCTTGGAAAAAGTTTAATTTGTTGTGCTTTGCCTTGAATAAAAGCAAGATTTATTTAAAAAATAATTTTAAGGTCTACAATATTAGCCCTCTTTGGCAATATATATATATATATATATATATATATATATATATATATATATATATATATATATATATATATATATATTTTTTTTTTTTTTTTTTTTTATCTACAGAACAAACCATTGTTATACAATGACTTGTCTAATTTCTAGGGATGCTCCAATCAAGATTTTTTCAGCCGATACCGAGTAACAAATTCTTGTCATGGTGTACGGCTGATACAGAGTACTAATTTTGATGCTTTAATCTTTAGAATGCATAAAGCACATTTTCCCTCTTAGTATAATACTTAAGTGTAGATCTCTCCTTACTTAATAATAAATTAAGGATGCTGCATTTAATCCCTTAAACATGTCTAACTATTATAATTAAGTATATTATATGTATTTATAAGTAATTATGAGACTAACAATGCAATTTGGAAACATTGCAAATGATGAAAGAAGAATTCAACATGTCTCAATCAAGAAAAAGTTTAGAGAACATATTTGATGCATAAGTCAAAATGCACACCTATAAATCTATTAGTTTCTTACTAAAAGTAGATAGGTCTCTACACTACTGTTTATTGTAAGAAGTAAATTATATTATTAAATATTCATGTTAAAAAATATCATTTTAAAGTTTTTTTTTTTATATGTATCTATTATCTATCTATTTTAGCCAGGTTTTAGTGAATGCAAATACTTTTTTTGCAATACTGTCAAAAACACAGAACTTTTAGTTATTGTATGTAAAAAGGCCTTAATGCAAGACCATTCAAATATTTTGCTCATCTCCAACTAACACAAACACTTGCTATCAGTTCATGAGATCAGCCAAATCAGAGAGTATCGATCGAGTCATAAATGTGATTATCGGCCAATACTGATCTCTGACCAATCAATCAGAGCATTCCTTCTAATTACCCTTATAGTGTCTTTCAATGCTAGTGTCTTGAAATATTTCTAGCTAAATATTATGTACTGTCATCATGGCAAAGAAAAAAAGAAGTCAGTTATTAGAAGTTTTAGTTTTTAAAACTGTTATGTTTACAAATATGTTAATATATATACACACACACACAGTTGAAGTCAGAATTATTAGCCCCCCTCCCCCCTGATTTTTATTTATTTATTTTTTTAAATAAATATTTCCCTAATTATATTTAACAGAAATTTTCACAGTATGTAAAATATTCACATCACTTTTTTTGTTTTATTTTGGCTAGAAAAAAAGAAGGTTTTTAATTTTTTCAAAAACTAATTTAAGGTCAAAATTATTAGCCCCTTTAAGCTATTTTTTTTGATAGTCTACTTTTTTTTTGATAGTCTACAGAACAAACCATTTTTATACAATAACTTGCCCAATTACCCTAACCTGCCTAGTTAACCTAATTAACCTAGTCTATGTCACTTTAAGCTGTATAAAAGTGTCTTCAAAAATATCTAGTAAAATTTACTGTCATCATGGCAAAAATTTAATAAATCAGTTATTAGAAATGAGTTATTAAAACTATTATGTTTAGAAATGTGCTGAAAAACATTTTTTTCTTCATTAAACAGAAATTGGGGAAAAAATAAACAGGGGCCTAATCATTCAGGGGGCTAATCATTCTGACTTCAAATGTATTCTAATTAAGCTGTTTGTAATTGTATTGTATTTGTGATCTTTGTCTGTTTAGCAGACTCTGAGGCGGTGGAAGTGTTGTGGCAGGTTCGGACCCAGCGACGGCAGAAGGAGCCTGATCTGCCAGAAACTGTGACGCGTCTCACCACACCTGAGGGTAGTGTTGTGTACCTGGTTGGCACTGCCCACTTCAGTGACAGCAGTAAGAAGGATGTTGCCACTGTAAGCACTGGCTTTCTCCAAAGATATTTGTATGCACTAACAACCAGCATTTAATAGTTGAACACCTTTTTGTTCATATAGACCATTTTGAGGGATTTATACAAAAACAATGGTCCCAACGTATTTCCTGTTTCACATTTTTCATTTCTATAGCTTCCGAGAATCCAAAAAGGGACACATATTAATAAATAATGTTACGATAACTCTTAATATGAAGTTATGATTGAATTGCCTTTTGTTACATTTATGAAATAGTTTGATAACAAGCAGGAAATGTTCATGACATCACCACATTAAAATGGTCTGTAGCAGCTGATTGATCAAATGTTGTTTTGAATGAATGCTTTTTTTGCTTCAGACGATCCGAGCAGTCCAGCCTGATGTAGTAGTGGTGGAGCTGTGCCAGTACAGAGTATCCATGCTTAAAATGGATGAGAAAACGCTGCTAAAAGAGGCTAAAGACATTAACTTGGAGAAGGTCCAGCAGGCCATTAAACAGGTCAGCCATGAGACGGAAGACTGTGCTGACATAGTATTATATTGTCAAACACTTTCATCTGGATGCTTTTATCGACATGTAGTGTTACTTGTAATTACTTTCAAAGTGTAATAAAATTTCTGATCACTCTCAAATAGTAAAGGATTATTTAAATGAAATTATTTAATTATAGTTTCTTAATCTGAACTGCTAGAAGGTGCATATTTTGTTGGTCGTGACTGGAATGATGCGAGTCATTGTCCTCATTACATATTATGGGACTCCTGCAGAATTCATGTTCATGGATGAGCTAAAGTATTCTAAACTTATTATCTTGGTAGTTTGATGCAAAGTAAGGCTGTTAATTGTCGAAGCAAAACTAGACCGCTGAAGCAATTGCTGATAAGAGATGAGCGTGACTCTGCACAAAAGCAGCAGAGCTTTTTTAGGCCACAGTCCACCACTGCTGGTTCTTTCAGTCATGATCACATGGGAAACAAAGCATTGCTGTTTTATCATAGTAAATATATTTAAGGGATGTATTATAATGCTGCTTTGTGTAGTCTAATAAAACACAATATAATAAAGCATCCTTGGTGTTTTCCATAAAACCCAACTAGAAATTGAGGGTGTATGATGTCATTAGGATAATGACAAATTACGCAGACCATGTCACTAGTTAAAATTGTTTATTTCTCTAGATTTGAACATTTTTTCAAACATTTGGGATAAAGTACAAACATCATTGACATAATCTCATTCGAAACATGAAGAGAGGGTGGGACATAGTGTAACCCCTCCCCCTCTTTCAAAAACAGCCAGTAGTGTTTTGTTTCATTACATCTCTGCCAGTGAGAGATGTTGAACACACATCAAATAAAAAGCAAATCTGAAATGTTTTGAAGGGGGCGGGGTGTGTCAGATACTAGAGAGCATTTGATTGGTTATGATTTGATGAGAAACTTTAGTATGAGGTGACGTGAATAAAATCATTGATCGATTTAGGTGGAAGTTATGTTATGTTATGTTTATACCAGTATTATGTCATCTGAATGCAAAATTTGTCACTATTTTAGAGCACACTAGCTTATAGATATCTTTAAAACTAACAATACCAATACTAACATCTAAAAAAAACTTTATTTTATTTTCATGAGACCTTTAAATGCTGTAAATTCAGCAGTTTTGTATCAAGATGATTGTGTTATTTTGCATGATAACTTGATTTTGAATGTATGTAATGTAATTTTGCATATAACAACGAATGTTACATTTGTCCGACAACTGCAAATACTTAAGAAACAATGAAACTTTGAAACATTAGATGTTTTCATGGATTTAACATAAGGCTGTCATTTAACATTTATTTTTATATTGATTAGTCTATCAAATAATTTATTGATTATTTGACTAATCGAAACAATTCATTTTATTAAAAAAAATATCAATTAAAATTCATAATCAATAATTTGAGAGATGAGTATTGTGATGTTGCATTTGGGAAAAACAATATGTAAATGCCAAAATTCGCATAAAACACTACTGCATCTCAACTATGAAAAATGAATAAAAAGAAAAAATGAAAAACGGTTACATTTCAATTTTAATGTAAAAGGCAAATTTCTCTAGAAAATGAAAAATCAAATCACTTTTTTGCGAACAAATTTTTTTTTTAAATTGTTAGAATTCGAAAATAACTAGCATCTCTTGCAAGAAAAACTAAAGTTTATAACGAAACATCAGTGAATTAATTATTTTCTATTTTTAATAAAGTTATAGGGCCCTGTTTGACCAACATTTAAAGAATTAAGAGTTCAGTTTTCTGTGTTGAGATTTATAGCAATTTTTAAGTAACATTGAGTCATTAAATTACTTGTATAAAAATATAATTACTATTCTAACAAAGTAATTTGCAAAAGAAATTTAATTACGATGTTAATAATGTATTTTGTAAGTAATTCATTAAACACTGACGCGGTCACTTTTTTCTTTTCACCTTTTTTCTCATTTCTCATGTCAGAACGGAGTGATGTCTGGCCTCATGCAGATACTGCTGCTTAAAGTCTCGGCTCACATTACAGAACAGCTGGGCATGGCCCCCGGAGGAGAGTTTAGAGAAGCCTTTAAGGAGGTCAGTATATGTACATGCATGCTTTTGCAGACGTACACGCTCCTCATGGTCCTGACATGCACTGTAACTCATGCACTCATTCCTGGCTTTTAGCAGATGTCACCAATTATCAAAGAACAATAAATGCATGCAGTCACGAAACCTGAAATATGAAACCCGATGGACACCGATGTATGTGTCACAGCGAAGACTGATCTGCATAAATAACATAAAGGATTTCCTTGTGGTTTTAACTGATTTCAGGCAGGAAAAGTGCCCTTCTGTAAATTTCACCTTGGGGATCGGCCCATTCCAGTAACCTTTAAGCGTGCAATAGCTGCTCTCAGTTTGTGGCAGAAGGCTCGTCTGGCCTGGGGCCTGTGCTTCCTCTCTGACCCCATCAGGTACAAGTCAACAGCACTTTGTCTTTACGTGCACAGCGTTTACTTTTTGATGTAAAATTGAAAAACTTCATGTGGCATCTTAAAAATGACACACAACTTGCAAAACTGCCAATATGCACGTGTACAAAACAAATCTTAATGGATTCTTGTGACCTTAAAGTGATTAAAAATTTTAGTTTGATGGTATGGCAAAACAAAATATAGAATTATTACAAAAGTCAGAATTATTAGCCTTCCTGTGTATTCCATTTTTCTTTTCTGTTTACGGAAAGATTTTTTCAACACATTTCTAAACATAATAGTCTTAATAACTCATTACTAATAACTGATTTCTTTTATATTTGCCATGATGACAGTAAATAATATTTTACTAGATATTTTTAAAGACACTTCTATACAGCTTACAGTGACATTTAATGGCTTGCCTTGGTTGATTAACTAGGCAGGTTAGGGTAATTAGGCAAGTTATTGTATAATGATGGTTTGTTCTGTAGACTTTTGGAAAAAAAAAAGTAGCTGAAAGGGGCTGATAATTTTGACCTTAAAATGGCCTTTAAAATATTAAAATCTGCTTTTATTCTAACCGAAATAAATCTGAAGACTTTCTCCAGTTGAAAAAATATTGTCAGACATACTCTGAAAATTTCTTCGATCTGTAAACATCATTTGAAAAATATTTAAAAAAAGAAAAAAAGTCAAAGCGGGGCCAATAATTCTGACTTTAACTGCCTTTGAAAAAAAATGAATAGGAGGGCTAATAATTATGAGTTCAACTGTATTTTATAATCTCTAGTAATGTCTATTGAGTAGGGCTTATAATATTCGTCATGTTAGTATGATAATAGTCGTTTTAACCGAGTGGACTGTAGTATAATAGCCACAACTTTAGACTAATAACAAGGTTGATTTTCATTTTGCATTGCAGTAATGAGAATAAAATACATTTTGATGTTTAGTTAAGCCTTCATTTTAAATCATCAGTTAATTGGCATTAAAATGTTCCTAAATCTAGGCTTTGTTTTACCTTGCCTTGTTATTCAGCCTTAGTATTGCTTTTTTATGTAAAAATCTACAAACATTTCAGAAAGGGATAGTTTACCCAAAAAATGAATATTCTGTCATCATTTACTCATCCACCTCTCGTTTCAAACCTGTTTGAGTTTATTTTTTTCTGTCAATAAATATTGAAGAATATTAAAAAAAATTAGCAATTGACTTGCATAGTATTTTTTGTTTCTGCTATGGATGTCAGTGGCTGTTTTTTTTTCTTTCTTCAAAACATTATTCAAAATGTCTTGTTTTGAGTTTAACAGAAGAAATAAATTCTTTGTGTGGAGAAAATTGAGGGGACTTTAGTTTTTGGGTGAACAGTTCCTTTAAGATAAAAAAAATCAATGATTCCTTGTGCCTTCACATTTAACTCTGTGAAATTATGCCAGCAAATATGTAAACTTGGTCACAAATGTGGTGTGAGATTCCATTTGAATATTTATTTTATTTCATTTGGTTGACTGAATTCACTCCACTGAAAGACAGCTTCTTTTTTTACCACAACTTTACACTAATGACAAGGTTGATTTTCATTTTGCATTGCAATACTGAGAATAAAATACATTTTGATGTTTAGTTAAACCTTGATTTTAAATCATCAGTTAATTGTCATTAAAATAATGCTCCTAAATCTAGTCTTTGTTTTACCTTGGCATGTTATTGTGTAATTTACATGAATTTTTATATACATTATATAATTTTTTTTTCTATCAGTAAGGAGGACGTTGAGAAATGCAAACAAAAGGATCTTCTGGAGCAGACCATGTCAGAGATGATCGGCGAGTTTCCAGCCCTCCACCGCACTATTGTTGCAGAACGAGACATCTACCTCACACACACACTTCGACAGGCAGCGCGCTGTGTAGAGGCGCCTCCTACTGCTGAGAGTGAGTACTGCATCCTCTGCTCATGCTCATGTCTCGTCCAGTGCTGTAATCAGTGATTGGGGAAAAAGTCTTGAGTTTTAAGGTGCACTACCAGCACTCTTATTGTTAAATGGATGGTCCACCCAAAATGATTTACTCACCGTCATGTCATTCTAGAGCTGTAAGACTTCTGTATCTGTGGAACATAACGGTAAATATTTTGAAGCACTTTGGTAACCAAATAGTTTTGTTACACTTCCAACTCACTTCCATTGTATAGTAAAAAAAATGGAACACAAAATTTACTTACTATCATATCTTTTTTTTTTTTTTTTTTTACTTTAAATAATGGAAGTCACACTTTTGGAACAGCATGAGTCAAAGCTTAAAGTTCATTAAAATAAATTTTTAATGAAATATAAAGTGTATATGAAAAGCCTAAAGTTTAAAGAATAATTAGAAAATACCAGAGCCAATTATTTGTTTTATACCTTCTTTGAAAATATTACATAATTTGAAGAACTGCAAATTAAAACCGTATTCTCTCTAGCTGTGTCTTATTTCAGAGGCTGCATCCTCCGAAGGATGCAGACTTCAAAGGTTAGTCCTTTGAAGTTCACACAGGCCGAAGAAAGCATTTTGAAATGAGATGATCTAGCCTACAGAGGACAGATCTTGACACCTAGCAACCATAATAGTTGCTGTTAATAAGTGATAATAAAACAAAAAAAACTAAAAACTTGTATTAAGCGATGAAGGCAAAACTAGGTTTATAGCAGCTGGAAATATATTTCCTTTGAGCCATACATGTACACATAAAAATATAAACTGTCTATAAAATCACTTTTTCGTAAGACATGTCATACTCTTTTTGTTTTTTTAACTTGTTTCGATATCCAAGCAAAATAAACCTAATCTATACATTTAAACCGGACTTTTCTTTTAAAAACATTCTGCTGTTATCAGCACGCAATGAACCTTGAGATGTTCGAGGCTACGAAGGATCCACCGGTTGTATCCTTCGTTACCTGGGAAATGAAGAATGCATTTTGAGGCTGCATTTGAAGAAGCCTTTGAATATCTTTGAAATGAGACTGCATTTGTTGCGCCACAGTAATGTAACGCACTTCGAATAGATCCTTTGGAGGATGCAACCCCTAAAATGAGACACATCTTCTGTTTCAATAAGCTGATTTTAAAGGAACGGAGTAAAAAAATTAACTGTGAAATGTTTTCATTTTATTTTTGGGTGAATTGTCCATTTAACGTAACAAATTCAATTCAGATTGTGGAAATTATTCATTCAAGTCACGTCACGTCAAGTTGAGCTTGTTTGTCTTTCCGCTACATGTGGAGGACATACAGTGTAACAAAATGTCTTGTCTTGCTAAACCAGGGTGCTGTATAAATAAACAATCATGAATATGAACAAAAAAACGAGACTGAGCTTTTTTAAACTTCTACATAACTAACATACCGGAGCTGTAATCTAACTTTACATATACTATAAATACTTAAACTATACACATTTATTGAGTATTTAAGGTCGAGAAACATTGTTATTTAATGCTTGTAAGATGGAGTTTAAGTAGTGTTCATATTAGGCCTGTCATGATATCTATTTTTTGTTGTACGAGATATTGCACTAAAGTATATTGCAATAAACAATATTAATGTCATTTTAAGACCGTTTTATGCCACTCATTAAATGCCAGAATGACAATATAATATCATTACAATGCAAGTACACTTCCAAAAAAACACGTCTTATTTTATTCTTCTTTCATTTTTTATTTTAGTTTTTATTGCAGAGAGATTCAATTCGCAACATCAGTTGACATCTCACTTTTCCAGCTTTTCCAGTTTAAATTTCCTATTCAGGGAACAAAGAGGAAACACACATTTCTTTATGACAGCGAAAGAACAACATATCCCTTTGCCTTATTTTACATCATCCTTATCAAAACTATATACAAAGGAAAGAAAACGGGGGAGGGGGGTGAAAAAAATATTAACGGTAAAAATAAATCTTGGTAACACTTTACAATAAGGTTCATTAGTTAATGCATTTACTAACATGAACTTATCATGAACAACACTTGTACAGCATTTATTAATCATAATTGAGCATTTACTAATGCATTATTAACATCCAAGTCCATGCTTGTTAACATTAGTTAATGCACCGTGAGTTAACATGAACTAACAATGAACTACTGTATTTTCATTAACTAACGTTAACTAACATGAACAAATACAGTCGTAGATGTATCGTTCATGTTAGTAAATGCATTAATTAACATTAACTAATGAACCTTATTGTAAAGTGTGACCTAAATCTTAAAATTCTATAGAAAAAAAACTAGGTTGAATAGGAAAAACGTACTCAATCCATTTAAACCACAAGTCAACAAATGTATGTTTTAGGTTATGCACACTGTATGTAATTTTCTTTCTAATGAATATGTTTTTTTAAAACATCAATCAAATCTTCAATTTGTGGTGGAATATGTTTATACCAGCATCTAGCAGTGTTTTTTTACGTGAAGCAAGGTTGACTCTATACATATATTTGTTTTTTTTCTTTCCAAGAAATCCATTGACAGCACACCCAAATATCCCAAAATACCCCAAAATCAATTGAAGTATTTAAGATATTTTCTAAAATGTTATGTATCCCTTTTCAAAAACTTCAAACATTAGGACATCCTCAAAAATGTGAAAATGGTTAGCGTCCTGTGATCTGCAATGCCTCCAACAATTTGAATTCCCATGAAATGGAATTTTCTGTTTTGAAGTAAGGAAAAAACGAATAATATTTCTCCTGAAAAATTCTCTTCAAGACGAAGAATGGGAAGTAGCCTGTTTTAATTTACATATATTTAGCCAATCCTCATTTGAAATGACACTTTCTTTCTCTCATCTTTTTTTAATGTACAGGAATGAATTCTCTTGTAGATTCATCAGTGTTTTTTATATTTAGTTATATATATATATTTTTTACATTGGTTCAGCCATATAAGCTGAGGAGAATAATTTACATATTTTATTCTTAAGAATATTTGATTTAACTATAGTCATTAAATGGTTTAATAGTTAAGAATTGAAATCTGAATGTGAAAACGTATATCCTAAATAAATAATAATAAATGTTAACAAAAAAGTGTAAGGTAAAAAAGTAACAGTGACTGCAATATCTGCTACCAGATCTATTGTCAGGCACCCACATCAAAATATACTGTAGTAATTTCAGTGTTCATTGCTAAGGATTTTATCTACTGGCCTGATTGGGCAAGTGGTTCTGATTCTTACTTGCCCTGCCAAAATTTTCACAGGCCCCACAAAAAAAAAAAAAAAGGCTATTATATTAAAAGCCAGACATAACTGTATACATACTTATTTCACCAAAACTTTTTTTAATACTACTGAAAATTAAAAAAATATATATAATAGTGATGTAACTAAATTTGAAATAATAAATAAATAAATAAATAAAATTAAGAAATCAAAAAATAATACATTTAATTTTCTTTTAAACGAAAACGTGCGCTTTAAATTTTGACACCCACAGGCATCGTTGCCAAATGTAAATCAGAGAGGTAAGACTTTCTCATACATAGCCCCATTTTAATTTGCAAGTTTTTTTTTTAAAATCTATCTATTAAATTTATCTTTAAAATAAAAAATAAAAAAAAAACTTTGGATAGAGTTATACATTATATGCTTTAATTATAGAGATAAATAACAGAGTAACCAAGACTGCAGTCAGATCATGAAGCAGATCAATGTTGATCTTTTTCTCGGTGTCAGTGCAGAAATGAACAAAACAACAGGCCTAATATAAAATATTGTAAGATTAAAATATGGAAAAATGGTGTCGCAGGGGCGCAGTAGGTAGTGCTGTCGACTCACAGCAAGAATGTTGCTGGGTCAGTTGGCGTTTCTGTGAATTTGTTAGGCTAAATTGTCCGTAGCGTATGAGTGTGAATGATGTTTCCCAGAGATGGGTTGCAGCTGGAAGGGCATCCTTTGTGTAAAATATGTGCTTGATAAGTTGGCGGTTCATTCGGCTGTGGTGACCCTTGATTAATAAAGCGACTTAGCCGAAAAGAAAATGAATGAATGAATTTTAAAAAATTAGCAGTAATTTCGGTCAGTTTTCCTAATGGATAAACAGCAATATTTCAGCATGCTTTCACTTCTGCATTCGAAATGACATGCACATTTACCGGTAGAAATAGCATCCCACCCTGCTCATAATTCTCTCTTCATACAGCCGTATATGTGGCTATTACACAACCAAAATACACTGTCATATAGCCTGGTTCGTTAGTTGGTTGGATCGTATTGCTTTCTCAATACGATCTCCTCCAGAGTTTGTTTCAGTCAAGCCGAGACTACCTCATTCAGCCGATCTCAGACCAAATGTTTTGGAACGGATCAGAGCGTGATTGCAGGATTCACATATGGAAAACCAACCATGCTAACTGGGCAAACGAGACCAATTACGAAACAAATGTCTAGGTGTGAAAGCACGCCAAGACTGTATTTGCAGGCAATTGACAAACATTCACAACCAAATTAAACTTTAGTGTCAAGGCAGCAATAGCCCAGTTGGGCCGGTAACGATCCTGTCTACTGTCCCAACCGTCTCGTTCTCTGGCCCCAGGCCACCGGGCAGTTCTTTTTGTTGAGCCCTGAAGCCCTGTCGTGTTTTAATGATTCCTTCAATAGAAATAGAAAGCTTGCACAATCAGCTAAAATGTTGCTGGAATGTGATTTTACCTATCGACGATATATATGACATCACCAAAAATGATTGAGGTCACGTCCATGTGTTGTGCAATAAGTCCATATATTGATTATTGTGACAGGCCTAGTTCATACTAACAACTGAATTAAAAACAACAACAACATCTGTTTGCATTTACTCACCACAAACACATCTGCATAATCTGATTAGTTGTGTTAATCTTTTTAGCATTTGGTCCATGTTCATGATATTTTATGTATTCATTTAATTATTATTCATTTGATTGCCAGAATATAATTAGCCTTTAAATCTGGATTTGTTTTTTTTTTTAAACAGTTGGGTGATGCTTATTGTTTTATCAGCCAACGCAGTTACTCAGTATCACTATCATAGAGTATAAACAATACTAGGATAACACTGCCAGAGCTTCCTTAAGCGTTCTGTTACCTGATACATGAAACCTTTTGTTCGTACTTTGTTTCTCAGAAGTGCCTGCTGTGGTGGTTGGGGTGGTTGGCATGGGTCATGTGTCTGGCATCGAGAGGAACTGGGATAAAGAGCTCAACATCCATGAAATCATGAGGTGCGTATCGGTATGGTACTTTGGTGCAATGTAATACCAGATCTGTCATAACAACAACAAAAATCTGTTTCCTTTTCTATTAGCGTGGCTCCACCGTCTCGTCTCGGCAGGGTGGTACGCACCGTGTTAAAAGGGGCCATGTGGGGGCTTCTAGGTTATGCCTGCTACCGGGCCAGCAAGGGTGTGGGCAGAGCGTTACTTTCCTTACCAACTGTGCAATCATTGCTTCAGAATATACGAACACCTTCCGTTTGACCCTTCTTTAATCTGTACAGACTTTCAGCAGTAACCACCAATAGCCTTAACTCTACAGGATGCTGGTTGGGTGAAGAGGAAGATTTTAGAGCAAAAAGCATCTCCATCCTACAGGAAATGAAACCGTGTGGATGGAAGTCTCTCTCTTTCGCCTACTCAACCTCTGTCCATCAGCTCTGTAGACTCAGAGCTGTACTGCCAAAGAAGTGGAGCGTGCTTTCATTTCCCTTTTCGACCCATTAGGAATTCAGTTGCTGCAAGATTCCCATGTCATCATCCACCTTGATTGATCATGCTGTGATTTATTCATCTGGTTGGCTGAACGACTGAGTGCAGAGTTCAGCAGTCCAGCATTGTTACTCCTTGTGAGTCGATATTTTTACTCTGAAGACCAACTCCAACCTTAATCTGTAGTGCATTCAGAATGAATATTAAGAAAAGATCAATTCAAAATCAATTCAAACCGCCAATTCACACTGTGCCACAAGACTCTGACAAACACACATTATTTTGTTTTGATTGATTGGTGTTTGTGTGTGTTAGCACACATTTTTGTTGCTTAAACATATTCAGATGCTCCTGAATTGTCTGGGAATTGATGTACTGTAATCTGGTTTGTTGGTTCAGTGTGAATTGGCATTAAAACAGTTAACCTGCTGTTGTTCTAATGCTGTATTACTTTCTTTTTTTGTACAACAAATGGAGAAAATGTCCTGTTCATGATTGTCCATACACTGTAGAAGTGATTAGTTACTTAACTTTCAAAAAAAGTGAGTTAACCCATTGTTAAATGTGGAACTGTTGAGTTAAGTTTGCGCAAAGTTAGTTCACTAGCAAAGTCAACTAATTTCTTTTAACAGTGTTTTATGGCATTAAATAGTGTTTTAATAGGGAAATTTCACCCAAAATACTCAACATTTACTGAACAATTGACATCCATAGTAGAAAATAAATATACCATGGCTTGCTCGCTACCAGTTTCCAACATTCCTCAAAGTATCTTTTTTTCTGATTGTCCATACACTGTTAAAGCTATTTGTTACTTAACCTAAAAAGTGAGTTAACCCATTTTAACTTGAAACTTAAATTGAGTTGATTTAATTTGAATTATTATGCACAGTTAATTCAAGTCTTACTAATTAAAATCAAGTCAGCTAATTGCTTTTTACAGTGTATTATGGCATTGAATAGTGACTTAAAGGGAAAGTTCACCCAAAATACTTTCACTCAACATTTACTGATAGCAATTGACATCCATAGTAGGAAATAGTAAAAAAAACTAACTATCAGTTTCCAACATTTTTCAAAGTATTTTTTTTGTTATTGTCCATACACTGTAGAAGTGATTAGTTACTCTACCTTAAAAGTGAGCTAACCCATTGTAACTTGGAACTATTAAATTTAACTACATTTTTATAATTATGCACAGTTAATTTACTACGTAATTTTAAAGCAACAAGTTGACACATCCGAAGTAGTAAATAAAAATACGATGGCTCCCTAACTAAGAGTTTCCAACATTCTTCAAAGTATCTTTTTTGTGATTGTCCATACACTGTAGAAGTGTTTAGTTAGTTAACTTTAAAAGAAGTGAGTTTTAACCTGTCGTAACTTATAAAAATTAAGTTCACTCAGCTTAACATTTGTAAGTATGCACATAGTTAGCTCATTACATAATTAAGGCAACAAGTTGACACTTTTATAAATAAAGTCTACTAATTGCTTTTTACAGTTTATTATGGCATTCAATAGTGACTTAAAGGGACAATTCGCCCAAAATACTTTCACTCAACATTTACTTATTGCAGTTGACATCCATTGTAGAAAATAAAAATACTAAGGCTCACTCACTACCAGTTTCCAACATTCTTCAAAGTATCTTTTTTATGATTGTCTGTGCACTGTAGAAGCATTTAGTTTTTTTAACTTTAACCCGTTAACCTGTCCAAAAATTAGAACTGTTGAGTTAACTCAATTTTTGCACAGTTAATTCATTACATAAATAAGGCAACAAGTTGTTTAGCAAACTAATTGCTTTTTACTGTGTATTATGGGATTGAATAGTGTCTTAAAGGGACAGTTCACCCCAAAATTTTACTTTAACTTTTTCATTTACTGATAGCAATTGACATCCATAGTAGGAAATAGTAAAATACTATGGCTTCCTAACTACCAGTTTCCAACATTCCTCAAAGTATCTTTTTTTGTGATTGTCCAATGTCATACACTGTAGAAGTGATTAGTTACCTAACTTTAAAGAAGTGAGTTAACCTGTTGTAACTTAAGTAGTTTTTATAAGTATGCACATAGTTGATTTACTATGTAATTAAGACAACATGTTAATACTTTTTTTTAAGTCAACTAATTGCTTTTTACAGTGTATTATGACATTGAATAGTGACTTGCCTTAAAGTGACATTTCACACAAAAGTTTTACTTTAACTCAATATTTACTGATAGCTACTATGGGTCACTCACTACCAGTTTCCAACATTCTTCAAAGTATCTTTGTGATTGTTCATGCACTGTAGAAGCAGTTAGTTACTTTAACAAAAATGAGTTAACTATCCTTTAATTCACTTTTTTTTTCTTTTTTTTTTTTTAATACAGGAGTATAAAGAATCGTGCCATCTGAATCTTGTCTTATACCATCCAGGTTTTCAGGGGTATAATATAGGGTTTTAGTGAAAACCGAAATTTAGATATTATTTAATGCAAATTCAGACCTTAATCACTATCTTTGTGCAAGAGAGCATGTTCATTAGACTATCAGCAGTGATTAGCTCAGAAAAAGCACACAAGAAATGGCATTTATTTGTCGGCTATCATTCTCACTTTAATCTAACATCCAGAGGCATTTAGCTCAGTGAAGGAACTACCAAGATATCTTTTTGGGGCATTGCATTTAATATTTTAATAATATGGGTTTATTAGAATCATGATTGTGCAGTCTTACACACAGAGATGGTCAGTAGTTTTTACTTTATTAATTTATTAAGTTTAGATTTGTTTTTCATCAAACCATATTTCTATTGACAGACATTATGTAAAACTTTTATTTTGTAATATTTCTTCTAAAAGAAAAAGGTTTAGTATTGGAACAACATCAAGCTGAATAAATAACTCAATTTGATTCATCCTGTAAGAAAACCGTACCTTGGTACTTATTTTAAAAACCTGAATTGTGGTACAAATGAGATTTACATGTGTGTAGTGAAACATAAATATGTTTTTATCAGAAGTATTACTTGATGATAAATCTTTGGGACATTGGGAAATTGACTACAACTAAATTATTTTTGGCTTAAAACGAGTAAAACTGAAACAATCACACAGTGTTGAAGAGCTTCAAATCACACACATTCAAATTTATTTATTTTTTTGGTCTTTCTGATTCCCTGATAAGTCCAACATGTAAACTTTGCCCCTTGCTTGCTATCAAGTGCCTCCTTCCACATGACCTGGAAAGGGCTAAAGTAAACAGAGACTGCTGTTTCACTCTATCTGTCTATGTCTGATCATAATAAATGTTTAATCTGAAGTTCTCCGTTTCACTCGCAGCATTTCATAACTGCAAACCATTTTTTGCTTCTGCAATTTACACAGTGAATTAAGGCAGTTATAGAAATTAGTGTTGATATAATATTTTGTTGTGAAATTAGATTCTGTTTAATTCAATTTGTTTTTAAAAGAAACTATTCGCTTTTCCCCCCAGTTTGTTTTAAGGACTGTGCTTTGCTACTGGCTCAGAGTTAAACAATCTTAATTAAAGAAACAGTTCACCCAAAAATGAAAGCTTGCTGTTAATTTACTCATTTTCAGGCCATTTTTTCCAATTTTAGGTTAAAACAAGGTCGTGATGTTATAAATTATTATTAACTTCTTGACCCCTCAATGTTTCATCAGGAGCCACGGGTGCTAACGGTTTTGTGTTTTTTTCGTACAATCAATGTAATTATCTATCTATCTATCTGTCTGTCTATGTTCGTTCGTATCATTTTATCTATATGGTTCTATCTATGTTCTATCTATCTTTGTTCGTTCATTCTATCTGTTCATTTTATCTATCACTCTATTTATCCATCTATCTATCATTCTATCTATTTATGTTCTATTGTTCTATCAGTCTATCTATATATTGTTCTATCTATCTATCTATCTATCTATCTATATCATTTTTTGTTCTATCTATCTTCATTCGTTTGTTCTATGTTCGTTCTCTTTATCCATCCATCTCATTCTATCAATTCATCCATCCATGTTCATTTGTTCTGTTTGTTCTATCGTTCAATCTATCCATCTGTCATTCTATCTATCTATGTTCTATCTATCATTATATCCATCCATCCATCTATCTATCTTTCTATCATTTTATCTCTATGGTTCTATCTATGTTCTATCTATATTTGTTCGTTCATTCTATGTTGTTTCTATTTATTCATCTATTTATCTATCATTCTATCTATGTTCTATTCTATCAGTTTATTTATCTATCTATCTATCTATCTATCTATCTATCTATCTATCTATCTATCGTTTTATGTTCTATCTTCGTTCGTTTGTTCTGTTCGTTCTATTTATCCATCAATCCATCATTCTGTCCATTCATCCATCCATTTATGTTCATTTGTTCTGTTTGTTCTATCTATCCATCTGTCAAACTATCTATTTTCTATCTGTCATTCTATCTATCATTTTATCTATCATTATATCCATCCTTCTATCCATCCTTCTATCATTTTATCTATCTATGTTCTATCTATCTTCGTTCATTCTATCTGTTTGTTCTATATATCATTCTATTTTTCTATCATTGTATCTGTTCTATTGTTCTATCAGTCTATCAATTTTATCTATGATTCTATCTCGTTATATCTATCCATCGTTCTATCGTTTTGTCGTTTGTTCTGTCTATCTATTGTTCTATCATCTATTTTTCTATAAACTGTTTCATTGATTTATCTATCGTTCTATCCGTCTTTCTGCCTGCCTGCCTATCTACCTACCTAGCCACCTAGCCATCCACCATTCTATTTATCTATCTCCTGTGGAAGAACAAGTGTCGCCTACATTATTAATAACCTGAGGTTGAGTAAATAAAAATAAATGACCAATAAAATGAGTTGAAACTGGCCTGTTTAAACTCTAGAGAGCCATTACACTGAGAGAAATTGACTTGACAATTCTTGTATAGAAAAGCCATCAATAGCATGGGCTGCAATTTTGGGAGTCCTGCATTATATGGACTGAAGGAAGCTCTGTGGGTGTGTGTGTTTCTGTAGTTTGTGTGCTTAAAGCCTTACACTTTTGGAACTGCTGCTTCACATCTTTGTTTTTCCCTATGTAGCTTTTTACAGTGTTGTCTCAGTAAAGAGTGACTGAAAATCAATTTTAGATGTGGCGTGTAGGTCACAGGCACAATCAAAGCACATAATGCTTATGTGGCGAGTAATGCTGATGCCAAAAAGCTGCCTTCCTTTTAAATGTTTAGATGCTGAACAGGATTTAAAGTGGGGTTTGAATAAAGATGTGTGTGACTGAAGCTTTGCATGTGAAGGAAATGACTAATTTGGATGTATCTGCATGACTCTTTTAATGTAGATGGCTGGTTGGGATGATTATTTGGAGTTATTCAAAACTCACCATGATTTTTAAAAATATATTATGGGAAATTTGTCAGTGACTTGGTACTTTTTGAGTTTTCCTGTTGGTTTAGTAACAGTAGGCCTACCTGCATTTAACTTCATACATGTGTGATGCGGGTGAAAACAAATGAAAGTGTTGACTAATTAATTGGTTTAAAATAGTGTATTAAAAAAAATTATATATATATATATATATATATATATATATATATATATATATATATATATATATATATATATATATTCTACTGATCCATTGACCTATGTAAACTAGCTCTCCTAATTTGTCTCAAAATGCTGCTGTCTTCCTGAAGTTGAATCTGTCTTCCTGTTAACTTCATGCAGTTTTTGATCATCTATCTTTTTCCTGGTCCTTTTTATTCTTTATTTTCTAAAAGCCAAATAGCCAATGCTCAAGTTTAACTTAAAATGTATCTTAAAATCTTATAAATAATAAAAGAATTAAAACATCACATTTCTCTCTTTAATTTCTTTCATCTTTCTTAAAAGTGTGCAATCAATGTTTCAAAAAGAAATTCAAATTAAATTAAAAACAAATGTAGAAATATGGTGAGGTAATATTCTGTTCTCTTTAGTTTATGTAAAACATTCACTTTGACCTCTAATTAATTATAACATAGGTGATGAAAATAAGTTGTATTATTTTACTTAAAAAAATGCTGATTAATGGATAAAATTTAATGTAAAAAGTGTCAAATAAATTGTTTAAAAATAAAATTTAGATTTAAAATGACAATTATTATATTTTTGGCTGCTATCAATATTATTATTATACAGTTTTTATATTTTTGGGGCTAATAGTTCTAACTTCAACTGTATGTATGTATACTTTGCACTGAACAACATTTGTTGGCATATTTTTTCTTAAAAACTATACAAATTAATAAACAAATATATAGCTAAATGGTGCGACCATTTTTTATTTTTAGCTTAAACAAACCAAAAGCCAAGCATGTCATTTTGGAAGTAAATATTCAAGGAATGTTTTTTTTTTTTTTTTAAATGCGTTATTACACAAGTAACAACTTTCATCTACATTTATAGAACAGAGCACAAATAATAATCAAATCAATAAGATAAAAATACAAATAAATAACATAGAATAGACACACAAACACAACCAAAGGAAAAAAAAAACATTTACACTACCGGGTCTTCAATTAATGATTTTTTCCAATAAACTAAACAGACTTCTTCCGTATTTTGGTTTTAGCAACTTTATAGATTTACAGTATAACCAAAATTCCTTTCGGAAAAGTAAAAGCAGTGGTTTTGTTTTAAGGCACTTGCATTAATGAATATAAAATTTGTCTAAAATAAGAATATTTTTCATTACAAACTGAACATTAACATATTTTCCTCATAAACCAAATAAAATATCTATGCAAAGAAACTTTTAAGGTCGCAAGGAATAAAATGATCGAATAGTTCGTTCCTGTGTTTGTGTTTCCAGGGGGAACAATAACAACAACGGACCATATTTCCAAGAACATTTGAGAGCAACTTGCTTCAGTTAAAGTTACGTAATGATGACAGCAGCACTTCTTATCTAACAACCTTAATTTAGACACGAGTACGATGTGAATGGCTTCTGTTGGATCTCGTTTAACCCGGTTTTACATCTCACGCCCCGGTGTTATTGCGCGTAGATTTCTGGCACATGCGGGAATGGACGACATGGGCGTAAGCCTGAGCCGCTCTTCCCTTGAACGACTCGAGTTTGACAATGTTGCTCTTAAAAAACTTCCTCTGGACCCGTCCACCGAACCAGGTGTCCGGCAGGTCCGAGGTTCCTGCTTCTCCAGAGTCCAGCCGACCCCTCTGAAGAACCCGGAGTTTGTGGCGGTCTCTGCTCCAGCTCTTGCGCTTCTGGGTCTGGATGCCGAGGAGGTGTTGAAGGATCCGCTGGGCCCGGAGTATCTGAGCGGCTCTAAAGTGATGCCTGGGTCAGAGCCCGCTGCCCACTGCTACTGCGGACACCAGTTTGGACAATTTGCCGGACAGCTCGGAGATGGAGCTGCGTGTTATCTAGGAGAAGTGAAAGCACCGGCGGGTCAGAGCCCGGAGTTACTGCGGGAGAACCCGACTGGACGCTGGGAGATCCAGGTGAAGGGTGCTGGACTGACTCCGTACTCCAGGTAGGTTCATAATCATATCAAACTTTATTACAGACTCAAAGTCCAATTTAAAAAGAAAAAATAAGAAAACAAAAAAAAAATATTTCATCACATAAAAAAACAGAACAATGTACAAAATACAGCAATACCAATGTCTCCACTTTGATTGACATTTGTATTACTGTATTACATACTAATGTATAACACTGCTGGTTTGGTGTATTTTCAATGTGGATCTTACCACATCATGTTGTGATACTTTTAAGTGTTCACACTCGTTTAGCTGCAATGCTGAGATTACATGTTTCATGAAATGCTGTATTTTACTTTTCTTACATCTTGCATGAAACATAACAAAAAAAGTTCAACAAAATTAATATTTCCCCTCCTTAAAGTTAACTTGAAACAGAAGGTAAAGGTCCTCGGTAAACAAATCCAATTTGAAAAATGTATACATGGTATTGTAAAAATAATGAATAAATAATTAATCAACAAAAAACACATTTGATTGTTAAATAAATAAACTGGATTAAAACAGTCCGTTATGTACAAGGGCATGGATGGAGGGGTTGTGTCATCACCAATAGCCAGCAATTACTGAAATGTCACCACCAATAATTAAATCACCTTCAAAATAAAACAATGCACTGTTAACCTTTAATAACCACATACAGAAAGGGTTAAATCATGTTCTCTTCTCGGGTCCTCCCTCCCACAAACACATAAGGCCAGTGTGATTGGCTGGGCCTATTTATGCTGTAATGACAGCTTTTTTTTTTAGCATTTCTCCTTCACTGTAAGTGTTGTGGACATTAGTAGCTACTTTTCAAAGATTCATGTTTTTAAAGTCAAGTTCACTTGGAGTCCACCATAATAATAATAAACAAATCTGTGCAATTATTCAAAGTTAAGTATATTTTTTTCATGATTATGAAAAATAATAATCATGATAAAATGGTTAAATTGCATCACATGCCTCTTTAAATTTCTCTACATTCATACCTCCTCAAAGCCAGATTGCAATAACATCATGTAAATTGACATATGCAGCATGGAATGTGCTTCATTAATTGTTATTCGCTTTATTAAGTGTTTAAAGCCTTTATTTATTTATTTATTTATTAAAAGCACGTGTCCACACCAATGTCAAGAGCCACTCTACATCCTTGGTTATTTATGAATGAATGAATGCAAAATCTTTTATTAAATAAGGTTCAAATAAATTATCAAAATGTTTATTAAATCAATAAAAACCCATCTAAATGAATAGCAATCAAATATTAAAATCAGAAAAAGAAAGTAAGTGTTAAAAAAATTAACTAAGCTGAAATATAATATTTTGGACCCATGTATATTATACATTTTTTTCAGACTATAAATTATACGATAAACTTTATACCTTTGAATGTTTAGGTTTTCTTTAGATTATTCTTTAGGTTATTCCGTTATTCCTCGTCAGTTTCATCAGTAGTAGCCTGAATTCTCTTTACATACTTACATGTAATACTTAAGTAATGCATAATTACATACACAAGCATCATTGTACAGTTAAATCTAAAATCCCAAACCCCACTTACCTGCCTTAAAATTGACTTCACTATGTACTTGGGTTGCCACTTGCCAGATATTCATTCCAAGAATCAACATACCATTTTAAAGGATGTATGTTTTTATTTCTTGCTACCAATACTTTTCATAAGCAGTGTAACAAGCTAGGGCTGGGCCGCAAACAAATTTATGTCAATAACAATGATAAGCTCTTTACTTTTTTACTCTATATTGATCTAAGAGCCAATCACACAGCAGAATGTGCAACAATGGGAATCTGGATGGCCACCAAAAAATTGTCATTCGAAAATATGTAATGCCATTTAATGGACTCTCTAATTTTTGTGGCTTTAGTCAGCATTGGGGTAGTCTTTTTAAATCCAGAAGCATTACCAAGCATTGGAAGCATTTATTGAAATATATATCGTTAATCTATATCGAGATTGCATTTTGCCATATCGCCCAGCCCTAGAGCAAACTGTTGCCCACGTCTCTCAAATATTTCCACTGATGCTATTTTCAAAACAGCCCAATGTGCAGGAAGGTCACAAGCCCCGGCAACACTACTGATAATTATTTATATTATTTATATATATGGATAATATTTCTGTTCTTTTTATTTTTTTGTTTTAGACAGGCCGATGGGCGTAAGGTCTTGCGCTCCAGCATTCGTGAGTTCCTGTGCAGTGAGGCGGTCTTTGCTTTAGGAGTGCCAACCACGAGAGCTGGATCAGTCGTGACGTCAGATTCTCGAGTCATGAGGGATATATTCTACGATGGCAACCCACGCATGGAAAGATGCTCTGTGGTCCTGCGCATTGCTCCCAGCTTCATTAGGTGACCTTTATACTCTGTGCTTTTTTTAACCATTTAAGTATTTAGCATTTATTTTCTCATATATGTGTTTTGTTTGAAATTTTATGTTAATTTTACTTGATATAAAATGTTTAATGTGCGTGCGTCACGGTGGCGCAGTGGGTAGCCCAATCCCCTCACAGCAAGAAGGTCGTTGTTTCGAGCCTTGGCTGGGTCAGTTGGCATTTCTGTGTGGAGTTTGCATGTTCTCCTCATGTTCGTGTGTGCTCTAGTTTCCCCTACAATTACAAAGACATGCGGTATTGGGTAAGCTAAATTGGCCATAGTGCATGTGTGTGAATGCGTGTTTATGGATGTTTTCCAGTAATGGGTTGCTGCTGGAAGGTCACCCACTGCATAAAACATATGCTGGATAGGTTGGCGGTTGATTCTGCTGTGGCGACACCTGATTAATAAAGAGACTAAGCTGAAAAGAAAATGACTGACTGATGACTGTTTAATGTAAACTTGGTAATTTTTTATCAAATTTTTCTGTGTACCTTTATTTTTAGTTTAGTTCTTCAACTATTATTATTATTTAATATTTTAAAATAAGGCAAAATTTCAGATTTTTTTCTTTTTCTTCTTCTTCTTCTTATTATTATCATTATAATGTATTATTAATATTTAAAAATAAGGCAAACTTCAGATTTATTATTTTATCATATAATATTCATTTTTTTACTTTATTTGCAGGTTTCCTATGCTTTATCAAAACTGCCATTAAATAATTGTATGTTTTTTTTATGGACAAAAATAAAGTAAACAAAAACACTTATTTCCCACCTCTCACCTTTCAAGTCGTAAATAAATGTCAATCTAAAATAATCTTACATTTACTTTATGTTTGCATTGCAAACGACTTAGAAATGAGTTGAGTAGATGTGATCACAGAATTAAAAATACAACAAATTTATTTATTTACATACTTACTTGCATACAACCATTATAAAGAATTAATTAACAGACACATATAAAAAGAAGAGCTTAAAATATTGACCATTCTACATTAAGTACTGGTTCAAAAAAACATAAAACCTCATTTTAAATTATCCTAAGTATTCTACCTGAGGGCAACGAAAAAATGTGTTTATTTTTTATTTTTTAAATTTTTCATGCTTTTATTTGCTGCAAATGTTAGACATTCATGTCATCAATAGGAGACAGATCACAGCTTCTAAATAGTCTACATTATATCACAAATTTGCCCTATTAATAAAAAAGTGTAAGAAAATGTAAACTTAATCTACTCTGTACTTTCATTACATTTACATTTACATTTACATTTAGTCATTTGGCACACACTTTTGTCCAAAGCTACTTAAAATTGAGGAGGCATTCAGCGATTCAACAAGAAGAGGAAACACATGCTAAAAATGCTAATTATACAAATGAACTGTTAGTGCTCAGAGAATTAAGTGGTAGAGAAAGAAGAGGGGAGTGTGTTATTTTTTAAAGAGAAGAATGTTTCTGAGGTGATTTGTCAAGTCCACTTACCTGTGTGAAGCAAAATATATAAATGCTATGTTTTTTGGGGGGATGGGGGGGGGGGTTGATTGTAAGAAAGTATATGGTGCAAATGTGCAAAAAAACTGGTGCAAGTGTCAAAGGGATGAAAAAGTGTGTTCTACAGGTGGTTTGTCAAGCCCACTCACCTGCATGAGGCACAGTTGGAATTGCTTAATGTATTGAGGTTATCATGTGGTGTGGTGGGCCAGACAATTACTCTCATGCTGTAATGTTGTCTCAGTTGATAAGAAGTTAAATCTGACAATCATAGCCAGTTTTAGGTAGCACTTTATATTCATCAATCAAAGAGTGTCACTCATGAAGGTCTTTTAGTTCTTGCATTAATTGTTCAGGATGTTAATATTTTTTTTATGATTTAGGTTTGGATCGTTCGAGATCTTCAAGCGAGCGGATGAGTTCACTGGCCGCCAGGGTCCCAGTTATGGCCACGATGAGCTGCGGACGCAGATGCTGGAGTACGTCATTGAGAACTTCTACCCTGAGATCCATCGCAATTATCCAGACCTCACTGAGAGAAACACTGCTTTCTTCAAAGAGGTAGACTTACAGCACTTTCTTGTATTTTATCAAACCAGGGCTAGATATTTTTTCCTCAATGTTTGGTTCCTGCTGTCGTTCATTGGTCTTCAGTTATCGTATTATCCTCCATGACCTTATTTACCTGAATGACTTAGGCAGGATACCATCATCAGATTTAGCTTCTTATCCACGGAGAGTATATTAGAGCATGTTAGTATAGAACAGTGAGTAAATTGACTAATATAAAGTAACCTTTGCTGATTTTTGTTTTCATAAAGCCATTTTAAAAGTAAGAAAATCTGTAAAACTTCTATAATTTTATTTGTTTAATTGCAGTTTTGACATTATATTATTTGAACATATTTGTGAACTTGTTATGACTGCCTTGTTGATTTTAAATATATGGATTTTTTTTTTGTTTTGTTGGTTTTTAATTTTCCTGTAGATTCTCCTGTTTTTTATTCTTCATTGTACTGCAAGTTTAATTTATTGTACTAACCAAAGGGTCTGATCAGTTTAAATAATTTTTTACATTTTACTGTTATATTTAAACCATTTTACAACTTATTAAACAGTTTTTTAAATAATTTTTATTGTTATTTATTATTATTAATATTATTATTGTATTTATTATGTAGTTATTATATTTATGAAGGAAGTACTTTCCATTGCGTACTGCATAATAGTTGTAGGCAACTTCAAATAATAAAAAAAAAGTATTGTATGTATTTTGACAAGATGCTATTCAGATAGTAAGAGTTTTTATGTTCTTAAGATATTTATTTATTTCATTTTATTTTTGTTCATATATTCATTTTCACATAGTACACATGTGCTTTAGTATGGGTCATAAACATTGACTGTAAAAGATATGGATTTAGTATCTGTGACGTCACCCATAGGTTTCTGAAGAGCGCATATATTTTTAGACAGGCTTTTCTTTTGGAGAAACGCTTAATACTTCATTACCTGTGACGTGTTTGTGTTCTGACCCCTTGAGCTTAGTTGTGTACTATATCACTAAAGTGTTTTGACTTTTTAAAACACGTTTAATACATAGAACCACTAAACATTGTTCTTATGCTGGTTTTATACAGGAGGAAATGCAAATTACTTCCAAATGCTTTAAATATAGTCTGTGTTAGTAAATGCAAGGCTATTTAAGAAATCCAGGCATAACTCTGTATGACAATGTTTCAGATGACTGTTCTGTAGCCCACAGCTAATCAATCTGTCAGATTTTGGAGTGCATTACAGGTCAAAAATATATAAATGGTAAGTTATCTTAAATAAAACAAATACACTTAAAGATATGATATATAGTAATTGTACGCACCTGGGAATGGTTTGTGAGCATAATTAAGTACACCCAGCATGCCAAATCATCTGATAATTGTAAGAAATAATTTTGAAAGGCAATTGACTGTGTAAAGCCACAGAAAACAAAACAAAAATATGATGTACAGTTGAAGTCAGAACTATTAGCCAATTATTTCCCTAATTTCTGTTTCTGTTTTTCAACACATTTCTAAACATAATAGTTTTAATAACTCATCTCTAATAACTGATTTATTTTATCTTTGTCATGATGACAGTAAATAATATTTTGCTAGATATTTTTCAAGACACTCCTATACAGCTTAAAATGACAAGTTAATATATAACGATGGTTTGTTCTGTAGACTATCGGGGAAAAAATTTGTTTAAAGGGGCTAATAATTTTGTCCTTAAAATGGTGTTTAAAAAAATAAAATAGCTTTTATTCTTGCTGAAATAAAACAAATAAGACTTTTTCTAGAAGAAAAAATATTTTCTGACATACTATGAAAATGGTTGTTTATACTGTTTTCTTGCTCTGTTAAACATAATTTAGGAAATTCTTAAAAAAGAAAAAAAACAAAACAAAGTGGGGCTTTTAATTCTGACTTCAACTGTATATGCCCAGATCAGCCGCTAATCAGCCGGAGTCAGCTGAGGTGAAGTGACGGCGACCAGTGAGACCTAGCTGTCACTCAAGTGGCAAATCAAGTGGACTTAATAATACAGACTTAATATAACTTAATATAAACAAAACTGATGAGTTATGTAACTTATGAGTTTAAAAAAAAAGACTTTACGATGGAGAGTGGGAGGTTGCCGCTTGGTCATAAAAGCAGTGCCCTTCATTTGCTTAAATGCAAAACATGCAGACCTCATATTTAAGTATTCTTTACCTGCACAACCCAATTATTCAGTAAATTAAAAAATATATATATATAATATTTTGTAATACTTTTTTATAAGCCTGCCTACATTCTCAGCATTGCAGAAATTATAGTGCCCTATTCTATAAAACATTCAACAGCATAAAAAACAGTTTGCGTGCTATTGTAATTTCACTTATTTACTATTATTATTAGGTGACTGTTCGAACAGCGAGGCTGGTGGCTCAGTGGCAGTGTGTGGGTTTCTGTCATGGAGTCCTCAATACTGATAACATGAGCATCCTGGGCCTGACTTTAGACTACGGGCCTTTTGGCTTCATGGACCGGTGAAGTTTCACTTAAATAAACATTTTGTTTAGAATGTTTGTCAAATATTGCTTTAGTGAACAAATAAACATGATTTTCCTGTTGTTGTTTTTTTGTCCTTCTAGTTTTGATCCTGATTTCATCTGCAATGCCAGTGATAACTCAGGCCGCTATTCTTACCAGGCGCAGCCGGCCATCTGCCGCTGGAATTTAGCCCGTCTGGCTGAAGCACTGGAGCCTGATTTACCTCCAGATCGAGCTGAGCAGGTGCTGGACGAGTATCTGCCTCTCTATAATGATTTCTATCTGAGTAACATGAGGAAGAAACTGGGTTTATTGAGGAAGGAGGAACCAGAAGACGAGATGCTAATCACAGAGCTCATGCAGACCATGCACAACACGGGTAGGAGGATAATCTCTGGCAAATAAATATGCAGTAGAGGTAATGAAACGAACAAGAGGCCAAAATATGAGATTTCTTAGTTAGTTTAATGTGGTATACTGTATACTAGTACTCTGTCCATGCACCAATTTTATTCATCATCAAAATTATTCAAACCCTTGGCAAATTCTAACTTAAAGTTACTTTTATTCACACTTCAAGTTTTTTTTTTCTGAAACAATAAAGGCTTCTTCCAAATAAAACGAAGATGATGTACAAGAGGCATTGTTGTAGAAAAAATATATTTCTCAGCTTTTATTTACATTAGAACATTTGAATACATGCATTTTTGATCCATTTGTCAGTGAATATAGCCAATATGTTTTGGTGCATTTAAACAGTTTTATTAAAACATAAATTGTGTTATTAATTATATTCATTAAAATAAGAAATTGGTCACCTTAAATCTTTAGTAAACATTTAAATTATTACAGTCAAAGAATTTCATTCATTCATTTTCTTTTTGGCTTAGTCTCTTTATTAATCAGGGGTCACCACAGCAGAATGAACCTCCATTCAAACAAGTTTAAAAAGACTCTACAAAATTTTATATATTATATTCTATTTTCTATGTATTCAAGATATTATCTTTATTGAAATTAAGAGACAGATGGAGATTGTATTGTTAAGATTTATTAAAACTAAAAAGGAAAATTAGAAAAAAGATTAGAAAGTGATAGTAATAGAAGACCATAGAAATGTAGTTTTTATACAAAAGTTTGAATACAGGATAACACTTTATTTAAGGTGTCTTTGTTACATGTTCCATGTACTTACTGTAGTAAGTACAATTGATTATTCATTACATGCAGCTAACCCACATTATATCCCTAAACAACATAGTAAGAACATGTAATTAGTTATTATAACTCAGTAGTTAAACTAATGTTTACACTGTAACAAGGACTCATTAAAATAAAGTGTAACCAAATATTATTTTTTAAATGAGCAAATAAAATTTTTATTTAAAAATATAAAATAGAAAATGGATTAGAAAGACATAGTGCTGAAGGTCCAGAGCAGATTTTTATAGATGGAACAGAAAATATAGTGTATGTGTTAGTTATAGAAGTGTTGACAAAAAAAAAATCTTTAGGTGAATCTTTAGAATAAAAAGTATAATATATTTAATAGATATATTTATAAAATAAAAAAATATATATGATGTGGCTCAGTGGTTAGCAATGTCACCTCACATCAAGAAGATCGCTGGTTCTAGTCCCGGCAGGGTCACTTGGCATTTCATGCATCTTCTTCTCGTATTAACGTGAGTTTCCCCCACAGTCCAAAGACATGTGGTATAGTTGAATTAAATAAACTAAATTGGCTGTAGTGTATGGATGTTTCCCAGTACTTGGTTACAGCTGGAAGGGCATTTTCTGTGCAAAACATATGCTGGAGAAGTTGGCGGTTCATTTTGGAAAATAAATGTAGTCCTTGAAAAAAATGGAAAATAAATGAATGAATGTAGTTCATGTGGGTTAACTACAGGACAGTTAATACCTATCCTGTCTCTAATTTTGTCTGATCTTTTCCTGTCTTTTAGGTGCCGACTTCACCAACACTTTCCGCAGCTTAAGTCAGATTTCCTGCCCGACTCAGGAGGAGGCTGAAGATGAAAGCGAGACTATAAAACAAGCCACAGAGCTGCTCCTGCACCAGTCTGCCTCTCTAGAGGAGCTGAAAGCTGCAAACAGACCCTCCATGGACCCACGGTAAAACTTTACTAGATGTTTTACATGTACAGAGACAACTAATGGTTTGAGTTCAGAAAGATCTCAAAAATATTTTTGAAAGAGGTTGTATATGTTAACTAAAGTTGCTTAAAACAATACCACAGTTTTAAAATATTAGTTGTTTTTCATTTGAAATTTTTAGCATCATATATCTAGTTGACAGTGTCAGATGATACTTTCATTCTAATAAGCAAATGTTTATAAAAAAGAAACATTTCTTTTAATCAGTCAATTTAAAAACTGCGTAAATGGATGGTTCACCCAAAGATGATTAAATGACCCTCCACTTTTCCCAAACCTGTTTGAGTTTTGGTATACAGTTGGACACAAAAGATGATATTTTGAGAAATGTTGTAAACTGCTAGTCATTGGCTTTCAAGCTACTTTTGCCTACTGTGGATATCAGTATTGGTTACCATCAAATTATCTTCTTTTTTGTTCTGCAGAAAAAATACATTCATTTTGGAACCGCTTAAAAATGAACAATATGTTAAGAGTGAATAAATATATTTTGATTATACAACAATAGTTTTTTCTGCATTGTCTTGAGTAGAAAGTTCCAAACAAGAACTTATTCACTGTGTTTTAACCAACTTGATGCATTCTTGTTGATTAAATGCATTATTATATATTTAGAAAGTCACACAATTACCTTTCTGTTAAAAACATTTGAAATTGAAAACATTTAATTATGCATATTCTAGTCATTGTTGTTTTGTGAATCAATAAAATCTATCTATCTATCTATCTATCTATCTATCTATCTATCTATCTATCTATCTGTCTGTCTGTCTGTCTGTCTGTCTGTCTGTCTGTCTGTCTGTCTGTCTGTCTGTCTGTCTGTCTGTCTGTCTGTGACTGACTGACTTGAATGAAAATGAAATTATGTTAACAAATGATAATTAAATATTAAAGTTACAAAAAATGAAAATAATTTTTTTAATTAGCGCATTTTGAAAGATTATAGTTAAACATATACAATCAATAGCAAATCATATTTACAGTTTTTCTCAGTCGTTTTAATGCATTTCTTACAACACTATTCACATTTGCATAACAGATAATGCATTTCTCAAACAATTAACTGCAAAGCCTAGTTTATAACCTGCAAAAGCGCGTCACTTGCTCAAAATGGATAGCTCATTCCTCAAAAACAAGTATTGAAGTCAATGAAACTGTCAGTGTCATCAAGATGAAAAGTCCTGACACCATTGTTTATGAACAAGATAGTCAAATGGCTTTGTCATGTTTTCATTATGACAGTTTACTCTGTACATTTTTTCCAATGCAAAAAAGTCATATTGCTCAAGAAAGCACTATAATATTTGCACAGCCGTTTGAAAACTGCAGTAAAGTGAGACATTAATGCATTTAGTGAGGAATCTGTGTACAAGACACTGAATATGTATGCTTCACATTTTTAACTGCAGATGTTTTTGCAATTCTAATTTATTCACAGCATTGTGCAAAAAAATAAATACACCCTTATTTACAACAAAAATAAACTTCCTTTGGGTAAATCTGGGCACAACTGTAAATAATATTGCAGTACATATTGGAACTGAACCTACAACATACACAGGTCTGTAAATCCTTTATGAAATTGTTCAATTTAGAAGACATTTTCAGGAAAAAAAATTAAAATCTTTTTATAAAATTTGCTCAACAGATTTTGACAACTCGTTCAACATTTTAGTATGTAATGACTCAAGTAATGAATTGAGGACTATCAGTTTTATGTGAAATGACTATTCAGCATTCACAAGTTTAGTTAATTTTGACTGACATGACATAGGCAAATAATAATGTTCTAAAACAGTAGAGAGTTGTGTGAAAGCAATCGATGCATGTCTAAAAGCATCTGCAATTTGTTGGAAGGAATGAGAAACTGCTACTATGATGTGCACAAATAACTAATTGTTGTGAGAAATGTATTAACTGTTGTGCAAATGTAAATAGTGTTGTGAGAAATGCACCAAAGCCACTGAGAAAATCTTTAAAATAAGTAAATATTTATATAGATATTGCTGAGTGATGTGTTTTTTTTCTTCGATGTAGTGAGCTTGCAATGCTGGTGTCCATGGCTCAGAGTAACCCTGCCCTGTTCCAGATGATTTCGGACAGGGGGACAGTCTCCCGGCAGCTGGAAAGACTCTCCAGACTGAAGGAGCTGATGGACACCACTGAAGAACAGCTGAGGGTCAAGCACACTGAACACTGGTCCGACTGGATCCAAAAATACAGGTACAGACGTGGCTGTCTTGATCTGATAATCTGTTGGGAGATTTATTATGTATTTGGATTTTTAACAGAGGTGTTTTTCATACAGGTGTATTATTATATACATTTTATTCTAAAAGACTTTCTGGTAGTTTGTATTTTTCTGTCTGTTTGCAGTATTTTTAAAATTATGAAGTAATAAAAAACACTCTAATATGGCCAAAAAACCCTATTTGGAACAAGACTTTAACAAATGTTCAGAATTTTGTGCAAAAAAACGTATGCTAATTAGCACATATTTAATGAGTTGAGGCCTCATTTACATTTTTAAACTTAAGATTTCATAAAACTTAAAAAAAAAAGTTTGGAAATCTTTATCTAATCAATTAACTGAGGAGTTATGGAGATTACAATTAATCCTGTTTTTACTCTGTTCACTTGCAGTTTCTTACTGCAAAAAACATTTATCAGTGTAAATATATTGGCTACTATTTTTTAATATATCTGTTCAATTTCAAGGCAGCGACTTGCTCGTGAGTGTGAATCTGGGGTCGATGTGAAAGATGTACAGACGGAGAGAGTGCGTGTGATGAACAACAACAACCCGCACGTGGTGCTTAGAAACTACATCGCCCAGAATGCAATAGCAGCAGCTGAAAATGGAGACTTCTCAGAGGTGAGGCTTCATTAGCTTGTTATTCATAGCTTCTAAATTGTAATTTTAGTTTAACAGGGAGACGGTTATCACTAAATGTTTTACTTTTTCTCAATGTTGATATTATGTTAAAAAAATTTTCTTTATCACCAAAGATCCATATTAAAAAGATTTCTGAAGATGTCACCACAATTACAATTTTTTAATACTTGTGTTAAATCATAATATTTTACTGTTTTTGATTAGGTTACTCTAACTTTTTTTTTATTATTATTCTTTTGAAAATACTTGATCGATCACAATTACTCTGTCAGTAGGTTTTGTTAAGACTGTTAGTGTGGGTGCGTATTCCACACACTATGGGGACCAAATATTTACTCACATCTTGCAATACCAGTACTTTTGTACTTCATGGAGACATCTTTTTGGTCACCATGAGGAAAATGGCTCATAAATCACACTGTATGACTTATTTTAAAAATATAAAAACAAATGTTGTTGTCTATGAGGTTTGGGTTTAAGGGTAGATGTATAGGATATACAGTGTTCTATAGGTGTGCGTGTGAGATGGATGGATGGATAGAATGATAGATACAGTGCATCCAAAAAGTATTCATAGCACTTCACTTTTTTCATGTTACAGCCTTATTCCAAAATGGATTAAATTTATTTATTTCCTCAAAATTCTACACACAACATCCCATTATGACTATGTAAAAAAAGATTTTTGGAAATTGTTGCAAATTTAATAAAAATAAAAAACCTGAAATATCGCATGTACATAAGTATTCACAGCCTTTGCTGCGAAGATCTAAATTTTGTTCATGTACATTATGTTACTACTGATAATGCTTTAGATGTTTCAGCAGCTTAATTGGAGTTGACTTGTGGTAAATTCAGTTGATTTAACATGATTTGAAAAGGCATACACCTGTCTATAAGGTCCCAGGGTTAACAGTGCATGTCAAAGCACAAACCAAGTATGAAGACAAAGAAATTGTCTGTAGACCTCAGAGACAGGATTGTCTTGAGGCACAAGGCTGGGGAAGGTTACAGAAAAATGTTTTGAAGATGTTTGGCACCACCAGGACTCTTTTTAGAGCTGGCCGGCCATCTAAGCTGTGTAATCGGGGAAGAAGGGCATTAGTCAGGGAGGTGATCAATAACCCGATGGTCACTCTGTCTGAGCTCCAGCGTTCTTCTGTGGAGAGAGGAAAACCTTACAGAAGGACAACCATCTGTGCAGCAATCCACCAATCAGGCCTGTATGGTAAAGTGGCCAAACAGAAGGCAACTAAAGGACTCTCAGACCATAACAAACAAAATTCTCTGGTCTGATGAGACTAAAATTGAACTCTTTGGAGTGAATGCCAGGTGTTATATTTGGAGAAAACCAGGCACCTCTCATCGCCAGGCTAATACCATACTTACAGTGAAGCATGGTGGTGGCAGAATCATGCTGTGAGGATGTTTTCAGCAGCAGGAACTCGAAGACAAGTCAGGATAGAGGGAAAGATGTACAGAGACATCCTGAATGAAAACTTGCTTCAGAGTGCTCTTGACCCCAGACTGGAGTGAAGGTTTGTTTTTCAGCAAAACAATGACCCAAAGCATACAGCCAAAAATCAATGGAGTGGCTTTACAACAACTCGGTGAATGTCCTTGAGTGGCCAAGCCAGAGCCCAGACCTTTATCCTAAGGAATATCTCTGGAGAGATCTGAAAATGGCTGTACACCGTCACTTACCATTCAACCTGATAGAGCTTGAGAGGTACTGCAAAGAGGAATGGACAAAAATTCCCAAAAGACAGGTGTGCCAAGCTTGTGGCATCATATTCAAAAAGACTTGAGGCCATAATTGCTGCCATAGGTGCATCAACAAAGTATTGAGCAAAGGCTGTGAATACTTATTTAATGCAACAATTAAAATAATCTTTTTATACATTGTTATTATGGCGTATTGTGTGTAGAATTTTGAGGAAATAAATGAATTTAATCCATTTTGGAATAAGGCTGTAACATAAAAAAATGTGGAAAAAGAGAAGTGCTATGAATACTTTCTGCATGCAATGTAGACGGATGGATGGATAGATGCATAGATCTCATAATGCTTCAAAATTTGTATTCAAAACTTTGTCTCAAATCACTTTAGGTCCAAAGAGTCCTGAAAGTGCTGGAAAAGCCTTTCTCAGTGCAGGAAGGTCTTGAACAGCCAGGTTGGATGGGAAGAGGAGGAGCAGCTATTCCTGGAGAAAGAGACGAGACTGAAGAAGAAGGGAGTAATAGTTCAGGAGCAGGGGCTCGAGGGCTTGTCCCTTATGACAGCAAACCCCCTGTCTGGGCCAATGAGATCTGTGTCACCTGATCATCATAAAACCTTCGTGACAACTAACCTGCTCATTAAAGCAGAATAATCCTGCAGAAGCTGGTTAGGCGTCAGCGGAGGTATTAAATGAGGTATTAAACTCCTGTCTACCAGTTCAAAAATGGGTAAGGTGTAAGTGAAATGTGACTGGTTTTTAATGATGACTTTGACCAGCAGTCTTTGCATGACAGGTCTCAGTCGGAAAGACAGAAGTTAAGCCTCTCTATGTATAAAATGACTTGGATTTGAATGTAGAAGGAGCTTTGAAAGGAAACGCACAAGCCATTGAGCAAGACAGCTTAAACGCACAAACTGGTGTAATTGTTTACTTGGAGAGCATCTTTTTCACACCAGATTAATTAGTTGCACTAATATGTAGCCCTGTTTTAACATACAATCCATTCGTAGCTGGAACAGTCCATTGTACAACAATTACTTTTAAATAGTAATGAACTATTTAACACTTTATTTTTAATAATTTTCTATATAATCAATAATTTTCTTTTTTCCCTTTTCTGAAACCCCCTTTCAAAAACACGATAAACTGTGACAACATTATTTATATCATTTTTATGAACTTTCCGGATTAATATGTGCTATTTCTATTTCTATAATAAACGTAGCAAATTTCACTGTGTTCTAATCCTTTTATCCAGGATTACTTCTGTGAGTTTTTCATTTGTAACAGCTTTTGGAATGGGAGCAGATTTCATTGTTTTCATTTAGGGAGGAATGTCTTTGCCTGAGGGCCAGTACTTGGGTAACATGTTAACACAGGTTCTGGTGTTCACCTTAAAGAAATTAAGGCAGATTTTAACTGTGTCAAGTATGAAACTTGTTGCATATAGCTGGAGAAACTAGTATTCTGTTTCATGTTGTAAATGACCAAATGCCATGGGACTCCCAAAGCCCTCGTTTTAATGGTTTTCAAGGCTGTGGAGGAACAAACAGGCAGCTGTTCTCACGTTTAATGAAGGACGAACATGTTCTTGGATATTATGTCTTAGTGACGCAAGTCATGTATGGAAAGCTGCTTTTACATTAATCCCCTAAAAAGAGCTAATAAATTTTTATGGTACTAATACTTTTATTACCTGTAAACAATTCCAATGGTGATTTTTATTAATGGTAGTAGCTTGTTGAAGAGAGTTAGACAAGGATTTTACAATGTTTCTGAAAAGTCAAGTGTCCAGGTTTTTGTCAACTGTTACGATAGCGTTAGAACATTCTACTATACTCCCATTATAACATATATATATATATATATATATATATATATATATATATATATATATTTACACTGAAAAGAGTGTAAATAATGTTCAACTTAATTTGTTTGTTTAAATTCAGCCCAAATAAATTGTTTACAACCACTTAACGTAAAAAATTTAGTAAATCCAAGGAATCATCTTTGAATAATTTTTTTTCAGTGTGTATATATATATATATATATATATATATATATGGATTTATATACACATTTATTCATTCATTTTCTTTTCGGCTTAGTCCTTTATTAATCTGTGGTCACCACAGCAGAATGAACTGCCAACTTATCCAGCATGTTTTATGCAGTGGACGCACTTCCAGATGCAACCCATCACTGGGAAACATCCATTTACACACATACACTATAGACAATTTAGTCTACCCGATTCACCTGTACCACATGTCTTTACACTTGTGGGGGAAACTGGAGCACTCGGAGGAAACCCGCGCAAACACAGGGAGAACATGCAAACTCCACACAGAAATGCCAACTGACCCAGCTGAGGCTCAAACCTTCTTTCTGTGAGGCGACAGCACTACCTACTGCACCACTGTGTCACCTATAAATATATATATATTGTATATATCTGACAGTTGAAGTCAGAATTATTAGCCCCCTTCAAATTTTTTTCTTCTTTTTTAAATATTTTCCAAATGATGTTTAACAGAGCAAGGAAATTTTCACAGTATGTCTGATAATATTTTACTTATGCATTAAGTCTTATTTGTTTTATTTCGGCTATAATAAAAACAGTTTTTAATTTTTTTAACAATTTAGGGACAAAATTATTAGCTCCTTTAAGCTATATTTTTTCTCAATAATCTACAGAACAAACCATCTTTATACAATAACTTGCCTAATTACCCTAACCTACCTAGGTAACCTAATTAACCTTGTTAAGCCTTTAAATGTCACTTTAAACTGTATAGAAGTGTCTTGAAAAATATCTTGTAAAATATTATGTACAGTCATCATGGCAAAGATAAAAAAAACAGTTATTAGAGATGAGTTATTAAAACTATTATGTTTAGAAATGTGTTGAAAAAATTAGCTCTCCGTTAAACAGAAATTGGGGAAAAATAAACAAGCGGTCTAAAAATTCAGGGGGGGCTAATAATTCTGACTTCAACTGTATATATACCTTTTTGTCATATGGCTCACTGGTCAGGTATTCATCCGCTCTAAATATCAAGGTGAAAGTCATCATAGCTTGCGTAGAACAGACCCAGCTCCCAAACCAACTTTGAGAATAGATAAACGATGATATTTCTATTTTTAAGAGCCTCGCACTAACGCATTAACGGCTGACCACTAATATATAAATATTCAGCTTATAGCAAAACCTTCATCATTATTTCTTGGTGTCATCCTCATGTATGTTGACTATTACTAATGTAACATTACGGACATTTTAAAATAACATTCACAATGTAATGTAATGTGTTCTATATAGTGCATTTATCGTGTATGGCCATATACCCAAAGCACTTCATCGGATTTGAAATCACCTCAGAGAGTGAAGACCTCAGTTTAACGTCTTGTCTAAAAGACGGCACCTTCACTATGGGGCATTAGGACTCACACAGACCATAGGTTGAGCACCCCCTGCTGGCCTCACTACCATTTCCAACAGCTGCCTGGTTTTCCATTGTGGTCTCAGCCCTGCTTAGCTTCAGCAAGAAACCAGCCTTGGGCTGCAGGTAGATATGGCTGTGGCCATTACCATAGCCCCTTTCACACATTCAGACCTTTCCGGAAAATTGCTGGTAATGTGTGAAAAGGCCCTTTTTGAAAATAACGGTAAATTCGTTCTGGCAATTTTCTGGAAAGAGAAGTTGTAACATTACCAGTAATTTGCCAGAATGCCGCTCTGTGTAATTTTATTTAAGCTTTAAACAAAAAAAGTGAAACCATCAACAGAAGACTGACCACTTCTATGATAACAAATACAAGCGCAGCCGTTTAGAGCTGATTTCTGATTAATGATGTCTGAATTTACGGTTGTTCTGGAATGGATGTGTGAACAGTCTTTTTCAGAAAAATCATGGAAAATTATTGCCTGTGTGATCATGTGCTTTGTTTTATTTATCGGTTAAGTCGTTCCAGTAATTTTCCAGATATTTACTGGCATCACTGTGTGAAAGAGGCTAATAACTAATGATATAGAAAAAAGTACTAAATTTGAAGAATAAAATCGATTTATCAGCTAGGTAATGCTACGACTTCAGGTTAAAACGGCTTGCCATACAGACCGCCACGCCGGAGTGGGAGCGGTTACGCGCACATGTACAACTCAAGAACGCGCACAGGTAGATCGCTATTATCAGTGTTGAGGTAAACCTGGAAATCACGGCCTCGGGACTCGAAGTAGCGCGTTTAAAGGGCTATTAGACAATATGACAGCCCGATCGAGACCTGGCTATTTTCGACAGGAGATAAATAAAACAATCTGGGAGGTGCCGGATAGATACAAAGATCTGAAACAGGTGGGGACGGGGGCATATGGTACAGTGTGGTAAGTGTGCCTTCATTTTCTGTACTTCCTGGAAAGATTCGTGCTTAACATTTTAAGAACCGTTTCACTGTGACAGAACTGTCAGTGTATCCGGGATGTTTTCAAAACAAATGATGTGGAAGGAAGTAGGAAAGTAGCACAAGTGAAAGTATTAGTTTATTTATATACATATTTTCGTTTTGAGCTGATACAAGTTAATTATTTCCCAGTCAGTCTGCGTTTTATAGAGATACACAACAATAACAATACTTAAATTGAATATTAAATGCAATTGTTTGCTAAATCACGATGTGTAGAACTCATTGCATTACTTTGAGGTTAATAATTGTAAGATGGCAGCTGTTGACCAGAGATCAGGTGAGGATTTATTGCATGTTCTTCAGTTTCTGTATTTTATTTAACATCCTCAGAGTTGTATTTCATAGTACAACAGTTCAAGTTTTAATTTGCTATATTTCTACGTAGAAAATGGTTCCAAGATGATAGGGTAAGTAGAGCATCAAAACAATATAATGTAACCCTCCAAAAACCCTATAACCCTGCTTTCTTGGTTTGTTTTATATATATATATATATATAGCACAAATATCATTTAATATAAATTTGAGGAACTGTTCTGCATAAGCTGTTTTTAAGATATTTTAAACATTATAATAAACATTGTATGTTTTATATGTATTTAGCACTTTCCCAAAATAATAAAAAGTTGTACAAGGAAGGTAAATTTGTTGCATGTATTATTGACATAATAAATGCAAATATCAAAATGTTGTAACTTGAATACTACATTTGGGTTCCTTTTAAGAAAATTTCCCATGTCCACTCAGAAAATCCTCGTGTATATACAATCACGAAATATATGGACAATAGATTTCTTTTCCATGCAACAAAAATCACAGGAATAATCAATATTCAAATTTATAAAATCTCTCTAAAACCTCTTTAGCTGGATATATACAATGTAAAATTGTTTTTATAACTTCTTTTATGGCAAGTCGTTTTGACTTTTATTCATTTTCAGAATATGTATTCTTGATATAAAAACAAAATTATATCATCAATTCAATTTTTGATATCAACAATTACCTTTTTGATATCAAGAACTGAATTGTTGATATTAAGAAATAAAATTGCTGATATCAAGAATACATATTCTGAGAATGAATAAAAGTCAAAACGGCTTGCCATACTTCTTTTACTTTGTTATTTATACAATATATTTCATAAGAATGCCAAGCTTTTTTCCCAATTTAGATTAATGAATACATTGGTCCATTTTTAGTTATTATACATAATTGTATCGACTGTTATGATATTTCTAATATATTTATTAGTATAACTTTAATAATATTAATATCTCCTTAAAAAGGTTTTCTTTTACAAGATTCATTTCCATACTCTCTTATAAAATAAAGAAGTTGTTGAGATGTGGTATCAAATACAATAGCATACTTTTTTGGAGTAACTGGAAAACCAAATTTATCTAAAAGTTCACTGCAAGATAATAAATTACCATTTAATTTTGAAGTTGTCAAACTAATACAATATCATTTTCATACAAATTTTGGAACTGCCGCTATCCTTAGGTACCAACCATTGTTCAACAATGATGTTTTTAATCAATTAGTAGTATTGATATGTCTTCTATGTACAGTTAAGTCCATAAATATTTGAACATCGACACATTTCTAAATTTTTTTTGCTCAATACATCAACACAATCATCGAAAAAACATGCAAACATCAAAATCAGGTGAACGGTGTAGGAATTAAAACAGTTTGCAAATGTGCCTCCCACTTGTTAAGGGTCCAAAAGTACTTGTAATTATCCCATTTACAATGAACAGATAAAAGATCCAGGGTTAATTTCAAGTGTGCTATTTGCATTTTAATTCTGTTAGTCAACTCTCAAGATGAGATCCAAAGAGCTTTCACTATCAGTCAAACAAGCCATCATTAGGCTGAAAAAACAAAACAAACCCCTCAGAGAGATAGCAAAAACATTAGGAGGGGCCAAAACAACTGTTTGGATCATTCTTAAAAAGAAAGAACGCACCAGTGAGCTCAGCAACCCCAAAAGACTCTGAAGACCTCGGAAAACAACTGTGGTGGATGACCAAAGAATTCTTTCGCAGGTGAAGAAAACGCCCTTCACAACAGTTGGCCAGGTCAAGAACACTCTCCAGGAAGTAGGTGTATGTGTGTCAAAGTCAACAGTCAAGAGAAGACTACACCAGAGTGAATACAGAGGATTCACCACAAGATATAAACCGTTGATGAGCCTCAAAAAACAGGAAAGCCAGATTAGAGTTCTAAGAAATCCTTCACTGGAACAACATCCAATGGACAGATGTGATCAAGATCAACTTGTACCAGAGTGATGGTAAGAGAAGAGTACGGAGAAGGAAAGGAACTGCTCATGATTCTAAGCACTGAAGCATGGTGGTAGTAGTGATGTGGCGTGGGCATGTTTGGCTGTCAATGGAACTGAATCTCTTCTTTTTATTGATGTTGTGACCGCTGACTAAAGCAGCAGGATGAATTCTAAAGTGTCAGGCAATATTTTCTGCTCATATTAAGCCAAATGCTTCAGAACTCATTGGATGGTGCTTCACAGAGGAGATGGAGAATGACCCACAGCATACTGCAAAAGCAACCAAAGAGTTTTTGAAGTGAAAGAAGTGGAATTTTATGCAATGGCCAAGTCAGCCACCTGATCTGAATCCAATCGAGCTTGTATTTCACTTGCTGAAGACAAAACTGAAGGGAAAATGCCCCTAGAACAATCAGGAACTGAAGACAGTTGCTGTAGAGGCCTGACAGAGCACTAGCATAAAACCCAGTGTCTGGTGATGTCTATTCGTCTCAGACTTCAGGTTGTAATTGACTGCAAAGTATTTGCAACCAAGGTTTAAAAAGTGGAAGTTTGATTTATAACTATTATTCCATCCAATTACTTTTGGACCCTTAACAAGTGGGAGGCACATAGGCAAACTGTTGTAATTCCTTCACTGTTCACCTGATTCGGATGTAAATATTCTCAAATTAAAGCAAATCTCATTTCATTTGAAATTCATTGTGTTTGGTGTATCAAGCCAAAAATATTAGTAATTTGTTGATGTCCAAATATTTATGAACCTTACTGTAAATAAAATATATACAAAATATAGCCCTAAAATATTCCCCCATGTTCATTTGTTTGATTTGCATGTTTAAAAGACCCATGACTACGTCTGTCAGGGAGGACATTCTTACCATTTGAATCCTCTTTCTAAAGCAAGCCTCTTTTTGCATGTAAATAATAATATGTATTTAAATTGTGTGCATTTACAACTGGTGATTTACTCCTCAGCTATGCATTAGACCGGAGGACAGGGGCAAAGGTGGCCATCAAGAAACTCCATCGTCCCTTCCAGTCTGACCTGTTTGCCAAAAGAGCCTATCGTGAGCTCAGGCTGCTCAAACACATGAAGCATGACAATGTAGGACACCAAAGATTGACACTCCAACCTGAGGCTCATGATGTGTGGTTTGTGACAGCCTTTCTCTCTTTGAATCGGTGCAGGTTATCGGACTTGTGGATGTGTTCACTGCAGACCTTTCCCTAGACAGATTCCACGACTTGTGAGTACTTTATAAGCATGCTGTGTAGTCTGCTGGCAGTTTGAAGAGATGCATAATCGTCATCTGACTGACCTCATCTTTTGCATAGTTACTTGGTCATGCCTTTCATGGGTACTGATCTGGGAAAGTTAATGAAAATGGAGAGACTTTCAGAAGAGAGAGTGCAGTATCTGGTCTATCAGATGTTAAAAGGCCTCAAAGTGAGTATTAATAATAGTCTTCAGTAATGCACTCATGCAAATATATCATCATAAATCTTTTTGTGTTTGCAGTATATCCATGCCGCTGGAATCATTCACAGGGTGAGTATGCTTTAAACGTTTACAGTGGAGATCAAAGTAAAAAAAAAAACTATTTCTAAATACCTTTTTTAAAAGAAATTATGATATTTATGACAAGATATTTAAAATATAAAAGACCATATAGCTATTTAGAAGAGTGGCTAGTGAAACAATAGTTTGCGAAATAATCAGGGGAATTCAGCAAAAGTACTTTCTATTTTAGTGATAAAAATTGGAGAACTATGATTGTTGTTGCACTGTGGCCTTTTTACAGATTCTCCTAAGTATTGAGACACTACGTATATGCAGATGTCTTTATCCTATACTGTTAATCAACCACAGTTGCGGTGTTGAACAATTGTCCATTGAATTTGACTTTCTCTGCATTATCCTTTCTTCAATGTCCTAATTTTTTTTTTTGGTTTTGTTTTTACTTATGTTTACAACGGCTGTCGGATGTTTTCAGTCACTAAAGGAAGGCTCACTGTAGGACTGGGCAATTTGGCCTAAACTAAAACAAAATCTAGATTAATTGTACATTTTTATTAGATTACGATTAATAGAAATATATTATTATATATAATATATACATATATAAACAGAGATATAAATATATATATATATATATATATATATATATATATATATATATATACATATATATACATATATATACACACACAGTTAGCCCCCCTTTTAATTTTTTTTTTCTTTTTCAAAAATTTCCCAAATGATGTTTAACAGAGCAAGGAAATTTCACAGTATGTCTGATAATATTTATTCTTCTGGAGAAAGTCTTATTTGTTTTATTTTGGCTAGAATAAAAGTAGTTTTTATTTTTTTAAACATCATTTTAAGGACAAAATAATTAGCCCCTTTCAGCTATAAATTTTTTCGATAGTCTAAAGAACAAAATATCAATATACAATAACTTGCCTAATTATCCTAACCTGCCTAATTAACCTAATAACTGTCAACCTTCTCATACTGTACTTCATAATATACAGTGCCCAGCATAAATTAGTACACCCCTTCTCTCTTTTAAATTAATATTTTCTTTAGGATGCTATATGGGATGTATATGTGTATATTTTTGGGGCGTTGGGGTGGGTATTCAACACATTGTGTCTTTTTTCTGAGAATTATAGATTTTGGTAAAAACCCAAACAATACCAACATAAAAATAAAACAAAACAAAAATATAAAAAAAAAAAAATTATGTTTAATAACAATGCAATGACACAAGGATAATGTACTGAATTACTGAAATGTATATAATACTTTATATAAAAGGCTTTTAAAGACGACTTTCATATGGAGAACGAAGTAACGTTCATTGTTTAGGTATAATTTTTTTTACAAACTTCAACAGAGTGTTGATGGTTCTGTGAGTCTCCTCTATCAAATCTGATCTTTAATTTGTATTTTCTATTGAATTCGAGTCAGGTGATCGGCTGGGCCATTCTACAGCTTGATTTTTTTCTCTGAAAGCATTTGAGAGTTTCCTTGGCTGTGTTTCAGATCATTGTCTTGCTAAAATGTCCACCCTGGTTTCCTCTTCATCATCCTGATAATGTAGATGTTGGACTGAAGCAGTGACTATTAATTTACACTGATGAAGGGAAGAGGGTTGCTGAATGAATAAATACTGAGAGATTTTAGCTGATGTCTATGCGTTCACTGCCTTTTTATACCTCCCTTTCTTCATGTGTTCAATACTTTTTTCCTGTGACATGTAATTTTATTACAGTACACATAAATTAATAAGTAAACAAATTGATTTTTGTTCTCTTTATATACTGTTTGCATTGCCTTGGTTGTTGTCAACATCTGGTGAAAATTTAAAGTCAACGTCGCCTTTAGAAATGTTTTCTGAGAAAAATGATGACATGTTGAATACTTATTTTCCTGACTGTACATTAGATCAGTCAGTACTAAAGCCAAAACTGGAGCTAATTTAACAAAACCACTTAACATCATGGTCCAAAAAAAATAGCACTTCCAAATAAATATGTTAGGGGAAATTATTAAATGCAATTTTAATAAAGAGGATATAAAACAGTAAATAAATAAGTGCATTTTTATGCTCATTCATTTTTTGGTGATGCAATGTTTATATTATATCAAAAATAGGTCATCTGAGAATTGCCCATCTGCTGAAAAGCTAAACAGAGGATACTGCAGAGCAGAATACACTCATCATCCCTCAAAACACTGAAACTTAAAACAAGTTTGATTAATAAACAAGATAATAATTAGGTTCAATGAAGCATGTATTACACAAACTAGCATTATCAAAAAGTTGTCTTCAGATAGATCTAAGCAGTGATCTTGAAATGTTGTTGTTCTCTACTTGTGATGTCCACTGTATATAATCACGCTATATATAATGCACGGTATACGAGATGTATTTCTCACTCATAGCAACTGACTCCATCTGTTATAACCTTGCAGGATCTCAAACCAGGCAATCTTGCAATAAACGAGGAGTGTGAGCTTAAGGTATCTCACCGTGTGTATGTTTGAAGTGGTATAATTGTACAATTGTATAATCGTGCTGTATTTTTATTCTAAGGATAAAACACTGTGTCTTATGTTATAGATCCTGGATTTTGGCCTGGCTCGGCAAACAGACAGTGAAATGACGGGCTACGTTGTGACACGCTGGTACAGAGCGCCTGAGGTCATTCTGAGCTGGATGCATTACACACAGACTGGTGAGTCACACATTACTCACACTAGACTCTATTTGTTTTTCGTTTTTTGCTTATATACAAAAATTATTCTTTGTAGTATTAGTTATTAATATCAATAATATTGTACTGCTGGGGAAGTTCACAAGTCAAGAACTTGAGTAAATATAGTTATAGTTATAATAGAAATTGCTTCAGTAAAAGTCCTTTATACACTCACCGGCCACTTTATTAGGTACACCTTACTAGTACCGCCATTTGTACCATCTTGAAATGATAGCACCACGCAGTTGCTGCAGATTTATCAGCTGCACATCCATGATGCGAATCTCCCTTTCCATCACATCCCAAAGCTGCTCTATTGGATTGAGATCTGGTGACTGTGGAGGAATTTGTTCAATAAAAGCTTTTCCATGGAAGTTTATGCGCATCTTTTCTTATCGAATAAAAAGTTTATCCTACTCAGCTATGCGCAAATATTTTTTATGCGCTTTTTCAAAATTTATGCGCATCATGGCCTTTCTATCAAGCAATTTTTTTTTATGCATATTCAAAATGCGCATTAAAATAGGTGGATGGAAACAGCTACTGTCATGTTCAAGAAACCAGTCTGAGATGATTCATGTTTTATGACATGGCGCGTTATCCTGCTGGAAGTAGCCATTAGAAGACCTCATTTGTAACGAGGGGTTATTTGAGTAACTCTTACTTCTTACTTTGGCCATTCTGCTCTGACCTCTGGCACCAACAAGGCATTTGCGCCCACAGAACTGCCGCTCACTGGATATTTTCTCTTTTCAGACCATTCTCTGTAAACCTTAGAGATGGTTTTGCCTGAAAATCTCAGTAGATCAGCAGTTTCTGTAACACTCAGACCAGACGTCTGTCACCATCAATCATGCCACTTTCAAAGTCACTTAAATCACCTTTCTTCCCCATTCTGATGCTCGGTTTGAACTGGAGCAGATCATCTTGAACATGTCTACATGCCTAAATGCATTGAGTTGCTGCCATGTGATTGGCTAATAAGAAATTAGCGTGAATGAGCAGTTAGACAGGTATACCTAATAAAGTGGCCGGTAAGTGTATTTTTTTTATTTAATGTAGTGTTAACTATTAGTATTAAGTATTTTTTTAAGAAAATTTTTATTTTCTTACCATAACTTGTCATACTGATAACCCTACTAATAAGTAGGGCCAGACAAAATCTTCAGACATTTTTTCCTTTTTTTTTTAACAGAATTTTGTAATAAATCTTCAGATTTTTGCAGAATTATTTTGGGAGTATTACAACTAAAATCGTAATATACAAAATAAAAAAAATACCTTTTTAACTTTTATTTAATGTTTACTGTGCAAATCTAATTAGATTCACTTAATTGGTAAACAAGGCAAGTCTCTTGTTTATATTTACTAAAAGACAGAAATTATTACTTTACAAACTGTAGTGTAAATAAATCATTTTAATATTAATCAATTATATCACTGAAATTAATTTAAAAACTGAATAAATATAAATTTACACACATGTACACAAGTAAATACATAGACCTAATGATGGGCTAAAAACCTGCGGACATCTGCATATTTCTGTGCGTGCAGATTCTGTGTGGGCCCACTAGTAAGTAATGATTATCTAAGAATGCAAAACGCAAACCAGTGAAAATAGCTAATTATACCAAATTGTATATTACAAAAATGGTCACACTTTACAAAAGGTACATTAGTTAATGTTAATTAATGCATTTACTAAAATGAACAAACAATGAACAATATATTTACTACTGTTTTTGTTCATGTTAGTTAATGTTAGTTAATGAAAATACAGTAGTTTATTGTTAGTTCATGTTACTAACAGGTGCATTAACTAATGTTAACAAGCATGGACTTGGATGTTAATAATCCATTAGTAAATGTTCAATTATGATTAATAAATGCTGTACATGTGTTGTTCATGATTAGTTCATGTTAGTAAATGCATTAACTAATGAACCTTATTGTAAAGTGTTACCACAAAAATGAATGAACACCAAACGTGTGTTAATATTTGTTGACAACTATAAACAAACAGTATAAAAAAGAATCTGAAGATTTTAACAAGAATGCTATGTAACCATACTAGATTCATGTCTGTTATTGTGCTACAGCTGTGGGGGTAAAATTCATCATTAATTTGTGTTATTTTTACCTTTTATTTGTTTAATTGTATACATTTTAAATCAAAACCTACCTTATTCAGATAGTAATACACAAATACAAACATGTTCAAATTCAGATATTTCATAAAGTGAGTGTAAACAGCCCACAGATGACATTAGTGGCCCAAATATGATTTTTATTTGCAATAATAAATCCTAAAATTTTGCATTTGTATATTGAATCTTAGTTCCATCACTAATGCTCACTCAAGCTCTTAAGATCTACAATTTCAGACCTTTTTTTGTCCAAAAATGAAGATTACTGTTATGCTGTTTATTGCTCATAAAGTGCTTGATTAATTAGATGCTCCACTTTGCTATTTAAATTACTAAAATATGAGCTGAATCAACACAATTCTTGAATTTTTTTGTTGGGACAACTTAATTTTTTATGTTAAGGTACTTACATTTGTAAAAACTATTAACTTATTTGATTTGTGATGGGGCAACAGGAAGGAATTGTGTGGAAACCAGCATGTTTACAGTGCTGATTATAATATAAAGGTATGTTTGTGCTTGATTACCTTTTCTCCCTAGTGGACATCTGGTCAGTCGGGTGCATCATGGCAGAGATGCTGCTAGGAAAACCACTATTCAAAGGACACGACCGTATCCTTCCTGCCAGGAAAACTGGGGTTTTGTGCACAAATTTGGAGATTATGTGTCATTGCCATTTTTAAGGATGTTCACTAAATTGCATCCCTTGTCATTTTTTAAAAATAAATTCTTAACCAATATCTGTTAGACCTGGATCAGCTGATGGAGATCATGAAGGTTACAGGGACACCCTCAAAAGAGTTCACAGCCAAGCTACAGTCTGAAGATGTGGGTTTCAGCTGTGCAATATTCATTTGAAGATATATTATGGAAAATGAAAATATAGAATAGCCTGACATTTTTTTTTCTAGGCTAGAAACTACGTCACAAAGTTACCAAGATTTAGAAAGAAAGATCTGCGGATTCTATTACCAAATGTTAACCCACAAGGTAAGAGTTTGTTTTTTCTTAATTTTCATTAAGATATCCAATAACATCTAGAAAAGGGTGATAATTTTTGCTGACTTATGTACTTACATCATTGCAAATGTTCAAAGAATGTTCAAATCCAGAGAAAGAAGCTATTTTAATTAGTGACATGGTCCATGTCAGTTGTCCCTATGTTAAAGTCACATTACTGGTTTGGTTTTAAAAAAAAACAGGAACCACCAAAGGTGATTTAATAGGTTGTGTGTTTTATTAGACTTTACCAGTGTTGTGGGAATTTACTTTTGAAAGTAATGCATTACTTAAGTTACTTTTTAGAGTAACTAATACGGTACGTTACTTTTGAGCTACTTTTACGTTACTGTTTTTTTTACAAATTTTTACTTGTTATCCTAGAACTTCCTTTCCCCAGAGCTATACATGCCATATATACAGATTATTGGAACTTTAAAGCAGCGTGTTTGCTACTTTTGCACTATTTGTCTTAAGTAAAATCACTGTCCATTGAGACAATCCCCTTTTCCCCTCCATTTCTTCGATGCATTCAAGATAATGAACACATTCTCTCATTGACTGCTTGATTCACTGTAACTACTTTTTTTAAAAGCTAATTCATTAAACTAAAAATTAACTTGGTTCTATTACCAAATGTTAACCCACAAGGTTTTGTTTTTTAAGTAAAAAGAAAAAAATTAACTTATATTCATTTGTAAGTCGCTTGGGATTAAAGCGTATGCTAAATGACTTAATGTAAATGTAAATTCATTTACATTACATTACATTTAGTCATTTAGCAGACGCTTTTATCCAAAGCGACTTACAAATGAGGACAAGGAAGCAATTTACACAACTAAGAGCAACAATGAATAAGTACTAAAGGCAAGTTTCAGGTCTGTAAAGTCTAAGAAGGGAAGTGTTAGTAATTTTTTTTTTTTTTTTTTTTTTTTTTCATGAAGATATGCAAAAACCACTAGAACAGTGTTATTATTTATGCTAACTTATGTACTTTTACATTATGTTCAAAGAATGTTCAAGTCCAGAGAAACAAGCTATTTTAAGTAGTGGCAGTCCATGTTGTCGCCATGCTAATGACTTGTGCGTGTTATTAGACTGCACAGAGCAGCATTATAACAATCTTCTGTGGCATAATAAAAGCTCTGCTGTTTTTTTTTTCAGCGTCTCGTTTTACTTTGACAATTTTTAGCTTTACACTACATTGATAATAGGCTTGTAATTTATTTCTGCAGTGGGATCTGTAGGATGTAATGAAGACGATAACTCCCATGATTCCCCACTCAGTCAACATGTAATTAAACTTCACCTTTGTTTGAATGCGTGCCCTTAGTGGCAAAAATGACATACTGTGATTTTTAAAAGGCGATTTAAGTTAGTAGTTATATTATAGTTATTACTACGCTGTGAAAGTATTTAAAAACAAAGCTTATTTGATTTTTATTATGCAATTTTTGTTTGATTTGTTCTTATGCAATTTTTATAATATTCATGTGGTTTCAGTGACATAGTAACAATTTCGACAGTACACTGAATAATTTACTTATAAAAATGTATTTATTGGGTGACGCGGTGGCACAGTAGGTAGTGCTGTTACCTCACAGCAAGAAGGTCCCTGGTTCGAGCCTCGGCTGAGTCAGTTGGCATTTCTGTGTGGAGTTTGCATGTTCTCCCCTTGTTCGCGTAGGTTTCCTATGAGTGCTCCAGTTTCCCCCACAAGTCCAAAGACATGCCGTACAGGTGAATTGGGTAGGCTAAAATTGTCCGTAGTGTATGTGTGTGAGTAAGAGTGTTTGGATGTTTCCCAGAGATGGGTTGCAGCTGGAAGGGCATACGCTGCATAAAACATGTGCTGGATAAGTTGGCGGTTCATTCCGCTGTGGCGACCCCAGATTAATAAAGGGACTAAGCCAAAAAGAAAATTAATGAATGAATGATTTTTTACATACTACAATCTTTATTTTTAAATTTACTCGTGAAGGAAATAGCTTATTTTTTTAAAATTAGCTAATCATCCTGAAAAGAAATGCATTAACCAAAAATTTTGAACATGTGAAACAAATTTTGTCTGTTAAACATTTTTTTTTATTTTCTACAATTAAATATATTCATTTGCAGATTTTTTTATTCAAAGTGACGTTTATTGCATTCAATTGTTCCATGCTTTTCTTTGGAGTCAAATCCATGCACTGAAAAAAATGCATATCTTACTTAGATTTTTTGTCTTGTTTCTAGTCCAAATATCTAAAAACTCTTAAACAGAATTTTCTAGACAAGCAAAATATACTGTCTTGTTTTAAGATATAATATGCCAAAATTAAGTGAGTTTTTCCTTAAAACAAGTTAAATAATCTGCCAATGAGGTAAGCAAAATAATCTTATGCCAAGAGGAAAAACAAGATTATTTTGCTTACCTCATTGGCTGATTATTTTGCCTGTTTTCAGGGAAAACTCACTTAATATTGGCTTATTATTTCTGGAAACGACAATATGTTTTGCTTGCCTAGTAAATGCTTCTTGAAATAAGAATTTTTAGATATTTGGACTAGAAACAAGACATAAAATCTAAGTGAGAAAAGCATTTTTTGCAGTGTGACTTTACAATTGTCATCTTCATTCACAATGTGATCCAAGCACACTTTGCAACTTGAACGTCACAAAATAGGTTTTATCATGATTCCTGGTTTTAGGGTAAACTGTAGTCATTTTTCTGATGGTTAGTATTTCTAATTGTTTAAAGGCTGTGCTGTGAATTAGACAGTTAATGATGAGCAATATCACACAAATAGCAGTGCGATGTGGCTGTATTTTGGCACTGGTGGGAGGCAAGCAGCCAAGTGCCTTAGTGTCCCACCTGTGACCAGCCACATCGCACAGCTACGAGTGTGAGATTACATTTATACAAAAGTTTGATGGTATAATCGTGTATAAAAAAGAAAATCAAACACAGAGAGTCTCAAAACCCTTTTGTAAGAGGAACTACTTTCTTACACCATTCTTTCACATCTGCAACTGATGTCAAAACAGCAGAAACAGTTACTAATTTACCAATGTCACTTTAGAGTTAGTGTTTGAATGACTCTCTATAGCTTAATGTCTAAAGTGATGACAAAACAGCTGATTTTGTTCAGATTTTCAGATTATAAGGCTGAATGCAATAAATGTCATCAGTCTACAGAGATTTCCCAGTATTTCTCTGGTGCAATCAGGAGATCACAGTATTACTATGGTTTAAATACAGCACTACAACATACAAAAGAGAGATCGACTTAGACAGTCATTTACCTGTTTAATAATGGTTTGATCAGCTTAAAATTTCGCAGTTTTTCTCTAAGGGCTTATTATGCGGACTCTATTGCCATCTTGCTGACATCATCAGCCATCTTTCCTCAAAAACAGGCTAACTGTGCATTCACACCAAAGCATCCAAGTTCGCTCTGGCCAACCAAGAGGGTCAAGAGGCCGGACGAGTGCTGTTATTTGGAAAATATCACTTGGCTATCAGCCGATCAGATTCAAGATCTGATTCAAGATCACTCTCTCTCTCTCTCTCTCTCTCTCTCTCTCTCTCTCTCTCTCTATATATATATATATATATATATATATATATATATATATATATATATAGAGAGAGAGAGAGAGAGAGAGAGAGAGAGAGAGAGCGAGAGAGAGAGAGAGAGAGAGAGAGAGAGTTGAAATAGGTTGTATTCGTTTTAAAGTGTGAACTGCACATTATTGAAATAATTTATTCAAATAAAAATTGCAATATCAGTCAGAGACATTGCAATTAAATATTTTAATCAAATCACTAATTGTAGTAGTTTCCAAGTGCAGGTTTAACAAACAATGCATTCTAGGAAATTAATCACGCTCGCACGCAACACGCACACACATTAATTGCTGTTTGTTCATGTTCACATTCTTTCAGATGGTGGAATGCTTTAAGTTTGTGTGACATTTTATCTTAGAACATTTTCAGAAAATTTTTTACAAAAGCGATGGTAATGATAATTGTGATAATTTTGGTCTCTATAGTCACGAAATGAACGTTTCGTACTGTCTCAATCACAATCTAACTCAGGAAAAGCCTTTCTCTTATCAGATCCTGTGACTCATTGGAGTGTTTTAAATCTGTGTTTTGCATTGAATGTGTGTGTGTGTGTGTGTGTGCGTGTGTGTGTGTGTGTGTGTGTGTGTGCGTGCATGCATGAGTGCGTGCATGCGTGCGTGTGTGTGTGTGTTACAGTATAAAATTGTGAAGCACTTTGGGCAGCTTGTTTTTAAAGGTGCTTTAGAAGTAAATTGAATTGAACAATTGTTTGGCGTTGACATTTGGTTGCTCTGCTTCTCAGCGATTAAAGTGTTAGACGGCATGCTGCTTTTGGACCCTGAGAGCCGGATAACAGCAGCAGAGGCACTGGCTTTTCCTTTCTTCTCAGAGTTTCGTGAACCAGAGGAGGAAACCGAGGCTCCACCATATGACCATTCGCTGGATGAGGCTGATCAGTCGCTAGAGCAATGGAAAAGTAGGTTTGGCGATGCTGAAAAGCTTTAAATTCATGGCAAATGTGTATTTATATTGGGGGTGCTAAGAAATAACCAGTTTTTCCTCCTCCATTTTCTCTTCTATCTGTTCCTTCAATTTTCCACAGGACTCACTTTCACAGAAATTCTGACCTTCCAGCCGGCTCCTGCGGTGGCTGAATCTAAAGAGACGGCCCTCTGAGAGCTTATTTTGACATCAAAGCTACGTTTACTTTGTATCATTTGTCATATACAGACTTTGAACTATTTTTGTGAGAGCAGTTTTATTTTTAGACGATCAGCCTGTTGTGTGCTAGTGTTCAGCACAGCTGAAATAGACACAACTGAGCCGTTAACAGACTCCAGTGTGAGTTTGGAAACATTTTTTACAAATTATTATTGTGGTTGTTATTAAAAATGAACACTAGTCAGCATTAATGCAGACAGGTAGACACTGAGATCATTTCATTTAATCATTGCAATGTAAATGTATGTGCATATTTTATATAGTTTCTCAGGTGGCAGAATTCTGGCCTAGATTTGGCATAAAGCTGGCACAGCAGGCATTCATTCGGCACTGGCTTACAACATGTGGGCCAAACTTGGCCCGGGTTTGGCAGATCTGCCACCTTTTTTGAGGTAAAGCGGTAAAATGAGGTGCTGGATCCGGTGTGTTCTGGCATAAATTAAGCCCTGGGTCCATATAAGTCTTGACCCACATTTAAAATACACTAAAAAAAATTTGGAGTAAAGAAAAAAATCTACCAGTCAGCATAATGTTTTATGGGTTTATCAATTTTAATTGCAATAGTGACACAACAACCAATCTGGCCCAGTTCTGAGTTATTAACATGGCTGAGACTTGGCCCAGATTTGGTCAATGTTTGGTCCTTTTCTGGAAGCCAGGCTTGGTCCAGTCATTTACTGTAATTCATTGCAACATGTGGGCCAAGCAAAACCTGATTGTGTGGGCCAGAGAAATTTTGCTATGTGGGTTACGGTTAGACCTGAAAAAGGGAAAATAGTTGCTGTTTCAATTTTAATTTTTGCCAAACTCCTCAGCCAAACTAACTGTAATAGTGTTCACTTACCATTGAAAGCATTTTAACTATGCACAGTCACAAATCATGTTTTTATGCAAAGAACAGTATGTGCTGTACAATAAGCATTTTTTTTTTACTTTTCACATTACACTGCATTTCTTGGGTGTACATTTGTAAATCAGTTTTATTTCAAAAGAAAAGTAGAATGATTAAAATACAGCTGGTCAATTTACTGCCTTTTCTGTTTTTAATTGTATCCTCCGTGCTTTATTTGAATGTTCCTGAGTTTACTGTAAAGCAGATGGAATTGTGGACCATCAGGAAATCCAGCAGAGGGCAACATTTACACTTACATTTATTTTATTTTCCAAAATTAAATCCTTAAGATCGCTGCTTTATTACTGTAAAATATCGATTTAACACCACTTTGATCACAGATTCCTGGCCCTATATTGTAATGTTTGTTTAGGTTGGGTTTTTTGCTACATAGCCTAGCTAGCATTGGTGTTAGTCAAACAAATATTACTAATTTATGTTTGTCTCCTGAGTAGATAGTCAGTTTAACTTCATCTAAAATAAAAAGATGCTTAGTGGTTGGCTCTGTCGCCTCACTGCAAGACGGTCACTGGTTTGAATCCCGGCTGAGTTATCTGAGTTGGCATTTCTGTGTGGAGTTTGCATGTTCTCCCTTTGTTCGCCTGGTTTTCCTCCGGGTGCTCCGGTCTCTCCCTCAGTCCAAAGAAATATGGTATATGTGAATTGGGGAAACAAAATTCACCGTAGTGTGTGTGTGTGTGTGTGTGTGTGTGTGTGTGTGTGTGTGTGTGTGTGTGTGTGTGTGTGTGTGTGTGTGTGTGTGTGTTTGAATGAGAGAGTGCAGTACTTTGTTGCGGCTAAAGGCATCCGACCGCTGCGTAAAACAGTTGGCGCTTCCGCCTGATAAATAAGGGACTAAGCCGAAGGCATTAAGCGAATGAATAAATGTACATTTGACCTTTGCACTATAGTTTAGGGACACATTTCCCTATCCCATGAGAATCTCCCTCTCTTTCTACAGCCTGTGTTTGATACCTGGCCTTTGTGTGGCCTGTGTTTAGAGTCTTTGTGCGGTTCGTGTGGTCGGAGAGTGTTCTGCCCGAAGGAAAACAGGGAAAATACATCCGTCTTCCTGCTCACTTCTTGGCAGCCAGATGTAATGACACAGAGTGAAAGAGGAAGATTGCAAGAAAAGCCAGCTAAGTTTCAACTCTTGCAGGTTTATTTAAAGAACTCCGATTTTCTATAGTTATTTTGTTTGTTAGTTAGAATAATGGATAACGCTTTAGTGTATGAGGATGTCTTCACTAATTTAGCCTCAATAAACTTTTCATTTATTGCTTATTAATAGTAGGTTGTTGATGAAGATGTCAAATTTGGTCAGGCAGAATAAGATATAGGAATGTGCTTTATTAGTACAAATAAACAGTCAAGATGCAAGCTAATAAGCAATTAGTTAAACGTGAGAATTGGTCCTTATTAATAGGGAAATACTTCATATATATTTTTTTTAACTTTCCAGGTTCTGCAGGTTGCAATGTCCCGAATTATGCTTGCTAATTGTAATCGATGGTTTTGGTTAAATTTAGATTTTCCCCAACTAGTGCAGAGCCCGGGGGACCAGAGAAAGTGCTCCGACTTGGCCCCCCAGGTCCACTTCATATATTTTAATATAGACTATTTCAATGGGGTGATATCATTGGCCCATAAACATTCCTGTTTGTTGTCGAACTATTTTATAACTGTAACAAAAGACAATTCAATCATATTATGATATTATTTATCAACATATGGACATTTGATTCTTGGAGGCTATTGAAATTAGAAATTTAAAACAGGTAAGGACCATTGTTATTGTTTACATCCCTCAAAATGGTCTCTACATGGCTCTCAAAATGTATTTACACACTGTAAGTCACACTTAAAACCTTCTGAATGTCACTGCATTGTTAATTTAAGTAAAACATTTATCACACTGTAAAAATGCTGGATTCCACAAACATTTTGTCATGTTGTCCTAACTGAAATCGATTAAGCTAACTTTTTTTTTATATATATATACAAATTTAAGTGAATTGAACATGAACCAATTAAGTTGCCCCCCACCCCCAACCCCGCCAAAAAAAAAAAAAAAAAAAAAACTCAGGAATTGTGTTGATTCAGCTAATTTGTAATAAGTAGTTTGAAAAATCAGCAAAAAAAATATTTTTTGAGTTCATTTAAGATTTCTCTGATGCTTTCTGGTGTCATGCTACTGTTAATTCATCTACATAAGCCCTTACATCATATATTTATAGCATTATGCAATGTTATTTGAGCATTTAAGAGACTTGAGTGTCAAATACTTCTTGAGCTACTGTATGTTTATGTACATGCCATTTCACAGCTATATCCTTTACACCGAGAACACAATGTCCAGTCATTAAACTGTGGTAGTCTTGATCAGGCATCCTGTCTTTTGCAACTCTCTCGAAATAGTATAAACACAATATTTCATTGTTTGCTTATGTTTACATAGTTCTTGGAGATCTTGGAAGTGTTGCGTAAGTGCTTTCAGCTTGCTTGGTTCAGCATCAAATGCCTTTTATGCTCACCAAAGGCTGCTCCTGTTTGTATGATGTACATAGTAATACAGACAATGGAAAATGGAAGTATTGTTACAATTAAAAAACAGCTAGTATTTATTATAATTTATTTTAAAAAACTATTTATTGCTGTGATGGCTATGCTTGTAGTGCTCCGACTAAAGTGACTTAAACGCACCTGACATTTTAGGCTCCTTACGACTTGCCAACCTGGATACAAACCTCCTAGGACCCATTGGATGTGAACAGGTTTGTGCGATACTGTGTCAGAAATCGTATACCTCCATACAACAATCATTCATTCATTCATTCATTCATTCATTCATTCATTCATTTTACTAAAAAACACGGTTCTGTCTAGCCAAAGAAAAGGGAAAAAGACTGAGCTAAACAAGGCCTTGGTGATCTTCAACAAGCAAAAAAAACAAGGAACTGCACCTGTATGGCAGGGTATGTGAACACGTTTCATTCTAAGCATTCAGTGTCCGCAGTTTAATTAAGCATATTTAACGTTTTTTGCTGAAATCATTGCTGCAATCAAAAATGAGTTATGTGTATGATTCAGCATAGCGTGAACTTTCCTAAAATGAAAACTGCAGAGTCAAGCATTTTTAATCAGGTCGTCACTTCACTCAGCTCCCTTTTAGCCAAAGACATCTGCGGTTGGCATTCAAAGCAGTGTGGTGTACGGTAAAAGTTACGTTTTCTTTTTTTGGACTTTGAATTTGGCATCCTTCCGCACAACACAAAATGTTTGCTATTGTAACCGGCCTCTTTTTGCAACCGGGAACCCTTGTGACATCATGCGTGATGTAGGTTGGTAAATACTCTATTTGAAACGCAGTAGACTCATGTGAAAATAGGTGGTTTCGCTTATTTCTTCACATTTTGCCACCTACTGGCCTGGCATGTATATTGCAGCATTTTAATCTATTTTCACTGTGAATGAAAATCATTTTGACTAAATCCTCGGAAAAAAAGTACATAGTTGTCCTCTTCCCTTCGTCCTTCCTGACCCGTCCATGGCTTCACGCTCTCTGCATATTTTCCATTCTGTTTATGTTCTTTCACAAGCACAGGGAGATGCACGTGCCTCCACGCTGTTTAGCCCATCTGAAGGAATCCTCTGGCTTAGCGGACTGCGCAAGAGGAAATTCCACTGGCTCAAATGTTCTCAGTGAAGGCCCAAGCGTGGATCAAGGGCCCGGAGTCCCTCAGCCCAGCGCCCCCTCTGAACGGGACGCTGCCACAGATGGTTCTCCTCCAGTCGGCAGGCAGACTATGGTTAGAATGGCATTTTAAGTGTCTCCATGCTCATAAAAATAACTGTTACTCAAAACATATGCATGATCTTATGAAGTTCGTGCTTTCCCGTTGATGCTTGTTTTCTTTCCACTTTGAAAATCTGAATAATAATAAGGGTAGAGAGTGCTTCCATCGCAGATTATAATGCATTACGACTGTTTCCAGAAAAGATTAATCTCATTTAATTGGATATAAAGTTAAAGTCAGAATTATTAGCCCCCCTGAAAAAATGATGATGTCTCTTCATTCGACAGTTTGTGTGATATTACCCCCCCCAAAAAAACCAAGAGAGCAACTGTGTACTGTACATAAGGACTGTACATGACTGAAAAACATCAAACCTGACCAAACTTGTTAAAGTAACAAGGTTAACAACTGCCTGAAGGTCAGAGGTGGTTCCTTGACTATCTTTTTTGGAGGAATTTAGCCGTTTTAAAGAACAGAATGTTCTTCCTTGTGGCGTAAGAGGAACTCAACAACATCCTCCTTCACCTCTGGAGCAGTTGTTGGGGGGCTTTTAATTTTCTTTAGCTCTACTCCAGGAAACTGCGGTTGGGGTTTTGCTGTGGTCAGTCGTGTTCAGTTGGCTCGATGCATATAAAATAATAATAATAATAATTAAGAGGTTTGTTCATTTGTCAGGAGAGCACTTTGTTATTGCTGAAATTCAATTTTAGAATACGCGGATATATTTATTTCTGTCAATTAATTAGTTGTTGTTTTTTTTGCATTTATTGAGCCAAAAAACATCTGTGTCTAAACATGAAAAAATAAATAAATTCAGATTGGTGCTATTTTACAAACAGTGTGAATTTTGTTTAGTGTTTATTTAAAAGGTTTAGCGTTGTTTAACGTTTTTTTGTTTAAGTATTCTAGTTTTAATATGAACAAAATATTTTTTGTAATTTCTTTTCAGGTACGAGATTTTCTTTGCAACTATAGTTTAAATAAATAGTTTTATTTGCTTTTATTGTTTTCAAATTAGTTTTACATTTATTTATTTATTTATTTGTTAGGTTTATTTTTTTAAACCCTGGCTTAAATACAATATTTTAATAGTTCATTGTTTAGTTTATTATTATTATTAATATTATTATTTTAGTTTTAATTTAAAATGAGCATTCACATCAATTAATTTATTTTTCTTGCCAAATATTTTTCATCATTTGTTTATTTTCAGGTCAAAGATTTTCTTTGCAACTAACTAAAATAAATACTTAATTTGGCTTTTTTGTTTTGAATTAGTTTTAAAATAGTTTATTTATTTATTTATTTCAATTTATACCTGAAACCCTGATTCAGATATTTTAATAATTTGTTGTTTAGGCATTTGAGTTTTAAATTTAAAGGAGCATTTACATCAGTTAAATTATTTTCTTGGCAAGTAACTCGAATCTAATATTTTATGGGAATACCCCACATTTACACAACACTGTTTAAAAATCGGTGGTCATTTTGTAAATTATTTAAAGCAATCACTCGCACTGTATTCATATTCCACTTTATTCTGTGGTCAAGCTATTTGTAAACTCTCTGGCTTGTATATTCCTCATTAAGTGCTTTTCTAAGGACTGTGACGGAAAACAGTGGCTCAAAAGTCAAAAGTGTTTATTTGATATGGGTTCTTCATCTCCCATTTCTCAAACTCATATCAGATTACATAACTCCCAGTACTTACGTAATGTACTTTCCAGAATTTGGGGAGCGAAGGTAAATCACAATTTCATGCTTAAACATCTGTGTACCTGCATGTGGCAACAGCATGTAGGAGATTTGCTTGTGGGTCTCAGTGGCCAAAAGCAGATGTAAATATGATATGCAGATGTACAGTAAATATGATATCTGTGCTGGAGATGGATGTAATGTATCATTGTGGTCTCTTCTCTCATTCAGCTCTCGAGGGACGGTGTCCGGCAGCAAGGTCAAGGTTTAGGACACACACATTGCTCAATGCAGTTCACAGTGACCTGATTAGGAATTTCATTAGGATTGCAAAACATGCTGCCTTTTCTGCTGTACTGTTTCTCTTTTAGCTATTTGAAGTGATTTAAAGTTCATATCGATGTATCTTAATAATCTACCTAGTAATGACTTAATATGAGATTTGAATTTCACAAAAAAAAAAGAAAGCTACTTGACTTTTGAAAGTTTGTGACTTTTTAAATGTTTCGATATATTTTGTATTATTATTATTATTATTATTATTGTAGTGAATATGTAGTGTAGCAGTGATCTATGATCTAAAAGGGTTTAAAAACATTTCAAATTTTTATGTAATCTTATCAATCTACACTCATCAGCCACTTAAGTACACCTGTCAAACTGCTTGTTAACGCAAATTTCTTATCAGACAAATCACATGGCAGCAGCTCAATGTATTTAGGCATGTATAAATGGTCAAGACGATCTGCTGCAGTTAAAACCAAGCATCAGAATGGGGCATCAGGATGTGGCATGGTTGTTGGTGCCAAACAGGTTGGTCTGATTATTTCAGAAACTGCTGATCTACTGCTATTATGATGCACAACCATCTCTAGGGTTTACAGAGAGTGGTCCGAAAAAGAGAAAATATCCAGTATGTGTCAGTTCTGTGGACATAAATGTTGTTGATGCCAGAGGTCAGAGAAGAATGGCCAGACTGGTTCAAGCTGAAAGAAAGGCAACAGGAACTCAAATAACCACTCGTTACAACCGAGATATGCAGAAGGGATCGCACAACACATTGAACCTTGAGGCAGATGGGCTACAGCAGCAGAAGACCACACCGGGTGCCACTCCTGTCAGCCAAGAACAGGAAACCGAGGCAACAATTCACATAGACACAACAAAGACGGACAATAGAAGATTGGAAAAACATTGCCTGGTCTGATGGGTCTCGATTTCTGCTGCGACATTCAGATGGTAGGGTCAGAGTTTGGCTTCAACAACATGAAAGCATGGATCCATCCTACCTTGTGTCAATGGTTCAGGCTGCTGGTGGTGGTGTAATGGTGTGGGGGATATTTTCTTGGCACACTTTAGGCCTATTAGTTTCAATTGAGCATTGTGTCAATGCCACAGCCTACCTGAGTATTGATGCTGACCATGTCCACCCATTCATGATGACAGTGCACCCATTTTTTGATGACTACTTCTAGCAGGATTGCGCGCCATGTCATAAAGAGCAAATCATCTCAGACTGGTTTCTTGAACATGACATGTACTCAAATGACCTCCACAGTGACCAATTTCAATCCAATAGAGCACCTTTGAGATGTGGTGGAACGGGAGGTTCGTATCATGGATGTGCAGCCAACAAATCTATGCAGTTTGTATATCCAAAGTTATTTTGGCATACCAAACATTTTTAAATAATATTTTGTAGTTTTTTTAGTGTTTGTGGGATTGTTGTTGTTTTTAGTTTAAATATTTCAAAAGAAATATTTCCTTTTATCAATGTTTCCTTTAGATTTGATTTATTTTAGTTCATCATATTAATGAAAATTTTTATTAAAACATTACAAAGTTCAAAGGTACTTTTCCCCATAAATCCAGTATAAATGTGTTGTTTTAGTTTAGATTTTAATGTTAGTTAAGTATAATAATTATAATCATGTCATTTAACACAAACTTTGTTTTCCTCCCTTTTTCTCAAAAATTCCACAAAAAAATGACATTTCTTTTATATTTGTAAACTTTTTTTGCAGCAACAGCTAAAGGGTTAAAAAAAGTGCACTGTCCATTTAATGGCCTGCAGTGGCAGCTGTGCTGTTAACTTTGTCCCTGCAACACAAAGACACATTAAAGCTACTTTAAAAACCCTCCATTCAATTGTCCTCTCCCCACACACGCACACACACATACACACAAACTTGCCATATGTCTACCCTATAGGCCCCGCCCCCATTCCCTCAGATCCCGCCCACCAACCTGGTGGATCGAATATCACGTCCGTCTTTCACCGCATCACTCGACTCCGTATTTCATCCTAAATTCGCGTTCTGACTTGCAGTGTTTGAGCCGAAACCTCTCGCATTTGACAGCACAGAGTGTCAGCATGAAACACCAGTCGTCTTCTGTATCCTAAACTGGGTGGTTGGGAGGGGAGAAGCGGATCTTTTGACCCCAGCCTTCATCACCGCCTGGATAACGGGCACAGAGCCACCCGACAGCCTCAATTGTTGTTTCCATTTTGCCGACATCTGCTGCGTGTTGCTTACATTTACACCCGAAGCAACAAGAGTTTGATGTTAGGATGTGATGGACCACTTTCAGCACAGACCCTGAAAAGAACAACCAGCTTTTTTCTCGGGGGGGATCCGAATATTTCTTCCAGCCGATTTTTGTTCATTCATTGGGAGCAGAACAACAATCCGGGGCTCGGTGACATGATGGAGAGTGTGGAGAAGGAGTGCGGGGCTCTAGGTGGATTGTTTCAGGCGATCGTCAATGATATGAAGGTACCAGCTCTGCTTTATTGATGCAGATATTTAGCAAGAAAAAAGATGGTTGTGTTTTACTGCCTTTGTTTTCATTAGGGGTCCAGCTGCCTGCACCACTGATGCTGTGATTAATGACATGGGGGTCTCAGCATGGAGGGCTTTGTTGTGAAATGTGAATTGGATCCTTTTGTAGATGTTTTTACAACCTGTAATATGTTAAACATTTATATTTTCGAGCGTTTACTTCATGATAAATACAAAACTAATGGGTAGAACACTAAGCTAAAAAAGAGAAAATACATTTTAGCAAATATTGTGCTTCTAGTTAGGGTTATAAATGTACAAAATTATTAATATTATTTTTCTGATTGATTTTTTAAATACAAAGCTCTGCCACCACCCACATTTTTAAAAGCTTGAACGGAATTATAAAATATCATTCGATATTCAAGTTTTATTATGTTTTATTTATTATGTTATTAAGTGTGTTTGTAATGGTTATGGTAGTTTACATTTTACACCAAAAGAATCCTATTTTAACCCAATTAATTTCACTTAACATAGTCCTCGACTCCTCAGCATTTACAGATTTAAAAATGCTGCACTAAATGTCTGCCTAGCTATTAGTTGTCCAATGAGCGAAAGGTGTTTACTGTTTTGGACTCCAGTCAGAATATCTCTCAGGTTGAGCCTCTATCATATTGATGAATTCTAAAAGCAGTGTTAATGTGCAGGGATTACCCATGGCTCATACAGAGATATAAAAGCTTCAGAGTGAGCTTAAATGTGGAGCTCAGATAAACTCCCACTTGCTTGTGATGTACAATTACACTTTTATACAAAGTTTTTCTTTAAATATTGATATTAATGTATTAAGGGTGTAGTTTAGCTGACTGAATTTTGTTTTGACTGACGACAAAAGTGGATAAACTCACTCTAACTATTTGGTATATGAAAATTGAAGTGATAATATCAATACAAGAAATTATATTATAAGACATGTAAATAGTGGTTTTCTTTCTTTGCACTTCTTGTTATTGTATTTATATACTGTACTTGCAATTAGGGCTGAGCGATTTGGCCTAAAATCAAAATCTCGATCAATTGAACATTTAAACTCGATTATGATTAATGAACGATTATTTAATTTATTTATTTTATGTTTTTGCCCTCTTAGTTCACTGACAGGTTCAGTACAGTAAATATGTTCACATATTACAAGTGAGGTGATGCAGTGGGTAGTGCTGTCACCTCACAGCTAGAAGTTCGCTGGTTTGAGCCTCGGCTGGGTCAGTTTGCATTTCTGTGTGGAGTTTGCATGTTCTCCCTGTGTTATCGTCCAGATGTCCAAAGACATGCGGTATAAAGGAATTGGGTTAGCTAAAATAGTCCATAGTATATGTGTGTGAATGAGGGAATGAGAGTGTTTGGATGTTTCTCAGTCATAGGTTGCAGCTGGAAGGGCATGCGCTGCATAAAACATATGCTGGATAAGTTGGCGGTTCATTCCGCTGTGGTGACCCCGGATTAATAAAGGGACTAAGCTGAAAAGAAAATAAATGAATATTACAAGTAAGAGATTTCTGAATGAAAAGTGCATTACTTGATTATCTATGATTATTTATTGAACATCAACGCTGAACGATTGAAATTAAAGCACACATAGCCTAAAACGCGGCTCTTCATACCGCCCACCCTCGTCACCGCCACCAAACCGACCAGTCACAAAGCTTATGCTATGTGTCGTTGTGACGTGTATTTACATTTTTGAGAGTTGCGTGGGTATGTGAAGGCTGTGCCGGACAGTATGTGTGCGCTTGGCAGAAGTATATTATCGGAATAATATTAAAAGTATAAATCATAATATATTAAATTCTAATATAATAATAAGTAAATAAGCCTTAACAGAGGAGGGACTCGTGACTCCACACACCTGTATGGTAGGGAAAGTAATACAAAAAAATTTATCTGGAAAAATTAGATCGATTATAGGTTCTCAATGTAGATTTTGAATACTTTTCGATTAATCGCCCAGCCCCATTTGCAATTTTATATACCAAAGTTTATATTTTATAGTTATGTTCACCCAATAATGACAATACTTAGAATTCAAATTAGTTTACTCAACCTGAGGTTGTTCCAAACTTGTTTGAATTGCCTTGTTTGTAAGAAAAAATATAATGTCAGGGTGTCCGCGGGGTCTTAAAAAGTATTAAAAGTTGATAAATTAATGTAGAGAAATTTAAGGCCTTTAAAAAGTATAAAAAAGAGTCTTAAATGCTATTTTGTGAGGTATTAAATCTTATATCATTTTAATGTATGGTTGTATGCTGAAGTTTGCCTGAATTTAATCTGCAAATATTAGGATGCTCTGTAGTTTGTGAAATCAATGAAATCCTGCTAGATTTGAAATCAGGCTGCTTTGTTTACTGCAGTAACTCACGCAAAACCATTATTTCTGCAGTTCTACAGGTGTCAACCTGCTGAATTAGCTTGAGTTAATAGATTGTCATTTAGCATATGAATGATGTTTTAGTTTTGGATTAGTTTCTTACATTAATATTTAGTAAATATACTGTAAGTTAAAATCTCGCCAGTGTTTCTGGTTGAAACCTAAAGTGGCTATAAGGTCTTAAAATGTATATAAACAGTCTTAAAAAGGTCTTAAAATGTTCACTCTTTGATTCCTGTATATACCCTGAATGTTCTCCATTGACTTCCATAGTATTTTTCGATTAGTGTTTAGTTTGGTGACAAATGTTTAACGAAATACCTTTTGAATGTATTTCAGGTGATAAAAATGACTGCATTAAAATTTTTGGGTGAAGTATTCCTGTGAGAGGAAATGTTTGTAGTCCTTGATGAAGACAAGCCAAACTTTTACTGTATTATTATGCAAAATATGTCATATCGTCTAAAAAGTATGTAAAAATATAGAGTTAAAATAGAATGTAGAATTGGTAACACTTTAAATTAAGGAACATATTCATTATTAGTTGATTTTTATGCGAATTATACTACACTGACTGTTTATTATGCATATAAAGTGCATATTAGTTATTTATTCTGCATAACTCTCTTTTAAACCTCTTAAATATAATTACAACAACTATCAATAAGTATTATTTATTGAGGGGAAAACTGTGAATGTGTTTCCTCAACTAACCGCATGATGTTGTTGCTGAAAGGTTCAAGGTTTCTGCACATTTGTGTGGATAAGTTCAGTTTAATATGTAACATTTAAACCTCTCATGGCCATCTCTCAGATATGATTTCTTTTCCAAGCTTTTTGTATTTTGGAGTGCTTTCCAGCCTGTTGCGTTGCTGGAGCAGAAGCCTGCGGTTGAACGTACTGTTCCATAAATGGTTTCCATGTTCTCATGCGGCTCCAGTAGTGAATGTTATTGCTGAAAGTTGGCGTTTGAGTGAAGTTCAGTGGCCAGATGCCAGATCTGGAGTTCATATATTGTGAACGGCTTCAGACTTGGCTCAGGCCCAAAGCTGGCAACGTTCAGCTTGTATGACATGCAGTTTATCAGCACCGGTGAAGAGGTTGCAGCCGGAGAGTGTTGTAATGTCAGAGATGATTCGAGTAGATAGGGCAACTCCTCTCCCAAAAAATGAGCATTTCTCTGCTCAGCGATTTCACTTGGCAGACTGGAGATCAATAAAAAGAGTTTACAGCTCTGGCCAAAGGTTTATGGAAGCTATTTTTGTAAGAATAATTGGAAGCGAAGCACTGAAAAACGTGCACATGTGCTTTCACTTCAAAAATGTAATCTAAATATTATTAAGTTAAGAAATAATTTAAGTCATTTATAAATTAAGCAAACATTTTTCTACATACTTAACATTTTCAGTGAATGCTTTATGTTTCAGCTGCTTTTTGGGTTTACAGATAAACACAAGGCTTGATATGACAGATTTAATACAGGCTCATTGGGAAAATGTGCCCTGGTGTACATTTTTTGAGAACCCTGAAATATGTGCTCGCGGGTACATATGGCTGCATTTTATGTGGAAGATAAACACTATAAGGTGGTGCCACTGACTGCTTATGTCCACACTGAAAGAAATGACGTTTTAGTGTAGTCAAATCTAATAAATAGACTAATAATAATTTTTAAATTGTTATATTAAGTGTCAAGGATAACTAGAAGTACATATTTAATATTTACACATTTACTTCATGTAATAAATGAAATGAGTGGAAAAAGTTAAATACTTATATTCATTTACTCGTAATAATTAAATATTTTGCAATCGTCACAAACCTAGTAATATTAAGTACGTTTTAATAATGGATATGTCATAATGGATAGTTCCCAACATGCTTTGCAAGGGAATGAATAAAAATAAAAGTATTTTGAAAATAAAAGCAATCTTAGGTGCTTAAATTTGAAAGAGACTTTTTAGAGTTTGAGCATCATTAGAACAGTTTTGAGTATGTCTTTTAGTTTTAAGGTTACCACCTTGCAGAAGAGCAGCATCCGTGGCACTGGCATTTTTATTATCAGCATTTATGTTTGACGCTTCACTCAGAAAATCACAGCTGTGCTAACACTAGCGCTGACACCAGTAAGCATTTATAAAGTGAATTTGCTCTTGCTAAATAAATTTGTTGAATAAATACTTTGTTAAAATAAAGTGAAATATCATGTTTCAAGTGGAAATGTGTTTCTTAAATAAACCAAGTTGCACCAAATGTACTAAATTATTGCTAATTAGATTGATTTGAATTGATAAAATCAATGTTCCTTCTGCTAAAACAAGAAAAGGACATAACTTGGTTCATTTAAATAAATAAATAAATAAAGACTCAAAAGTAAAGATAATCAATTAACTTTTACTTAATCTTTAACCTAACACTCCTAAATAAAGTAAACTTTACATGATATTGACAAGTTAATTGTACCTGATCTAAGGTTGTAAAATTTACTTAAAATTCATTTGTGCAAATTATTACTACAGTGTTTTTTCAGTGCATATAGATGGCTTTTCTTGCATGAGTGGTTTGC